TTGCTGTGTCTCTAAAGCTATTTTCTTTCCTGTTAGTGTTACACAGGCATGATGTTGTTGATAAACCAATTAACAACAAACCTTTTTTCCTACATTTTCAGATAAAAAGAACTTTTAAAAGATTCACATCTAGCCAATATGTATGTGCATCAAAGCTTTTGAAACTATGAATCTGTGTCTCTCTAATGCATTTTTTCCTGCACAGACATGATGGGAACAGTTGGTCCGATGGACCCAAACCAGTTGAACCTGGGCATGATGGGGCAGGGCATGCTGGGGGACTGGAACCAGGCTGCCTGGGGCATGGGCATGTTGTCCAGCCCCACTTCTGGGGGGCCTGGTGGGAACATGGGGCAAGGTGGCATGGACCCAAACATGATGACAGAGGTGGGGTTCTGTTCTGTAATCATATACATTTGTAAATCAACTAGAATTTAGTAGAAAGGTAACATTTGCAAAGCAAATAATGTTTACCTTTGCATATGGTCTGCTCTGTTAATTCTTACTCAAACAAATTCATATATATGGTAAGACAGGAGTCTAAATCCCTCCTGCTATAAAATTGCAACAGACGCCTGGTTCAGGTCCTCTAACTTTTGTTAGAGGAAGATGTAAATCAGATATGTATTTCCTTTTGTCCTTATAATTTTTTGCTTAGAATGTATTTTTAGATTGGTTGTTCTGGTCCTTCTTGCAGGGGATGAACCAGTTTGGCATGATAGATCCCCAGTTTGGTGGCTTCATGGGGGGTATGATCCCCCCACCCCCACCTCCTGATCTACAGAGGGAGATTATTGAGCTGAAGAGCTGCACCTTGTTTCCACCCATGCCAGGTAAGGCCTAGGAAAAAAATGTTGTGTTTCCTGTTTCAGTCCTGGAAAAATTAGGTTCGGTAGGTAGGGATTATCTCTTTTTTTTCTAATTATTTTTAGACTTCTGTGATATCTATATAGGGGTCCAACTTATGTAATATAGTCTAACAAAGTGAAACTTGCATGAGGGCACTTTTATTTTCAATGTCAATGTTAGAAAACCAATTGTACAACATTTTATCACTCAGGTGTCAGATCATGGAGCTAGATCAACTTGAAAAATTATGTCCCTTGCAGGGGTCTACCCCCCAAAAATATCGTTATCTGATACAAGGCTGTTTTTATGTAGAATATTTGTATGACTATTTGTGTTGCTGATTTTTCCCCAGGCATGCCCCCACCGACGACCCGTGAGCGCCCGCCTGGCTGTCGGACCGTGTTTGTTGGCGGTATGCCGGAGAGCATGACCGAGGACATCATCCAGGAGGTGTTTGAGCGCTGTGGCGGCATCGTCAGCATCCGCATGAGCAAACGCAACTTCTGTCACATCCGCTTTGATGACCAAACAGTGGTGGACAGGGCAATCGCTTTATCAGGTAATGTTATAATTGTCTTCGTCAGAAAGACTATGGAATTGTCTCGCCGCATTGTGGGTGACTGCGGATTTAGCGGAATAACTCTTGCAGGCATGATTCGACGGCCATGATTTTTGGCAGGCAGATTACCATTGTTGAGGCCAACGTCAAGTGCAAGTTTGGGCTTCATGGGGGATCCCTACATCACCCTAAGGCCAAAAACCAAGTAATTTTTATGGATGACGTCCAGTAGAGACCTTAAATTCAATGAAATTCAAGGATAAAATACATTAAGGGCCGAAAAAACAAAATGTCTAGATTTGGAAAATACTAACTGTACTTTACTGTGGCATGAAAATTTCGCGTTTTATAAACACTATTGATTTCCTCATCAGGTTACAGAATCCGGCTGGGTCAGAGCAGCGACCCGATGAACATGGGGCGTCTGCACGTGGACTACGCGCAGGCGCGGGACGACCAGTACGAGTGGGAGTGTATCCAGCGCCGCATGCAGCGGGAGGAGCGCCACAGACGCAGGGTGGAGGAGATGAGGATGAGACCCCCCTCCCCACCTCCCGTCACACACTTTTCAGACCACGAGTGCCAGATTCTCGCTGACAAGCTGAAAGGTAAGAAAAAAAATGTTTACTGTTTCCCGACCAACCCCATCCTTTTTTTCTGTGGACCCCTTTAGTTTAAAAGATATAATTTTTTGGAGCTGATAAGCCTTTTTTAGCTCCATGATCTGCCAGAAGTGGATCCAGTTACTTAGTAACAATTCTTTCTGCATTTCATTAACTGGATGTCTAACGTTTATCCTGTTTTGTATTGTATTTGTCCATGCATGTTCCAATGCATGTTTGACCAACTACGACCAATGTGACCCGAACTTTATGTAACTTTCTTATTTTCAGATGAAAAATCATTTTACTTCAAAGGGAGAAAATTTGTCAGAGGTCTACTTGCTCATTTTTGTATTTCAAACCCAGACATTGCAAAATATGTTCTCCTACTTTCCAGCGGATGACACTTTCTCGCCAGCAACTCAGCAGCTCATCACATGGCTGGAGCGAGGGGACTGCAACAAACGCACCGCCAACAACTTCTACAGCATGATCCAGTCAGTCAACAGCCACGTACGCCGTCTCATGAATGAACGCCAGCAGTACGACGAAGAGTTCCAAAACGCACAGAGGGTCCACAAGGGACGCCTCACGGGCCTCCTGCTGCAATGTAAGTGCTCGCTACGTTGTGTTAGAAGGGCTCAAAGGACGGTGGTTTATCAGCTATGGACATAGCCTGCGACATCTGGTAACAGTTGAGATTTTTCTTTTACGGCACAGTAGTATGTACATCTGTTCAGCCTGATTGTTGTGAAGTCAAGCCAAGATGATGACATCTCTTAAAATCTTGAGCTGTTTTGATGCACATGTTGGCTTCAGGAGGATGTATGGTACACGTGGTGTGATATGTGAGTATGGCAGTATGTGTGTGTGGTGAAAATTTGATGTGTATTTATGTGATGATTATCACTATCAGTTGCTAGCCAACACAGACAGCAATGGTCAGTTCATTCTGAAATCTACTGACGATTCTGTGCTAGCATGAAGACCACTGAGAACTACTGGACCTACTATACTGGGAAAGCTGTTGAACACCAAAGTCTCTCAAGCCGGAAAGACACAGTAGTTACTGAAGGGAATGCTAAGACAAAGTGCACTTTGATTCATATCTTCTTTAAGTTATATGTGGAAAAAAAAAACTGATTGGTGAAGAAAGATACTGTTGTGCTGCGAATCCCAAATAATTCTCACAGCAAATTGTAATACATTAGGTATAAAGCAACAGGGCTCAAAATACTGGGTACAGGTGTGAAGCAAGGTGCATTTACTGAGTTAGTGGCCATGCCAGTTGTGGGACAGGTGACTGGGTTTGTAACTCACGAAGCCTCAGATCTTCCACACAGAAACACGGCCAACCCAGGAACCAGGGCACAGCAGACCAGGACTGGTAAACTATCCCCCATTCTGTGGCTCTGTCTTCTAACCTCATGTCATTGCTTTGGTAGAGCAGCAAAATCATCTGGTGACATGCAACAAACCAACTACGCTCCAGGAGGTAAAAGAAAACTAATAGTATGGAAGCCTGTGCCACTCAAATCTTCATGTAGTCTATTTCCAAGTTTATCCTGATGAAGGCAACAGTAGTCATTGAAAATTTGATCTCTGTTTAACCCTTGTGTTGGAATAAAGTTGAACATTTTACCATGATTATCACCAACACTTTCATGTTATTTCCAAGTTTATGTCATCCTAAATTTGAAAGGTATCGATTCATATGCCAAGGTAAAGCTGAAGTTATGACTTGAGGATTTGAATTGCCAGGCTTCCACATGTGTCCGATGTATGAATGGGTGTGTTTGTGTGTGAATGTGGGCCAGGCACAGAAAATTGTAAAGAAGCATTTTGTTGCAGCACCATGTGTAGGTATGTGCTCAGGTCTTTTCCAGACAACGGGAAGCCTTGATGCAAACTCGTTTTCTTTTTTTGGAGGTCAAGCCTTTTCAGCAAACTCCAGTGACGGAACCAACAGGAGAGTTGATCCACTATAACCCTTTTCTTCTAATTCCTACTCAAGTTGATCAGATAGAGAAAGTGTTTGGTGCGTCCACTAAGCAGCGGGCTTGGGATCATTTCTCCAAGGCTCAGAGGAAGAACATAGAGATGTGGAAGAAGCAAGCTGAGGTGAGTGGAACAGGGGTGAATCCAGCACATCGTCAGAATGTACTGCACCTGTGCAAAATCCATAATGTATTATGCATAGCACTTCAGCAGAACATCTCATATAAGGTCGTATTCATGCAAATAAGGTTAACACTCCGTCTGTAGTTTCCAATGTTATGTCGGAATTCGGAAAAGATACCTCCTGCAACAGGAAAAATTCTGATGCAACGTTGACCGAAAATCCAACGAAAACCATGAAAAATGGGGGGTTTGTGCAGGCGCAGTACGTTCTGCCGACGTGCTAGTGAATCCGTGCACTACCACAGCAAGATACAAGGCCTGTTACTCAAATGCACTCTTCCCTTCCACACTTCCTTAACTTTCATTTTACAAATAAAGTGCTGTCTCTTGACCAAGGTCTTTGCATGTCACAAATACCTGATTTTTTTTTTTTAACTGAGTATGACAGTGGTGGAGTTTCTTCTTAAATAGAAAGTTGTGTCAAATGTGGTAGTGCATTGGTACAAAATTGTTGTGTTTATTCCAAAATCAGACAGAAATGACCCATCAGTAAGATTCCTTGTCTATGGTTTCTAAAATGGTCTTGCAACAAACGCTGTCCACTTGCATTTTGTAATTTTTGGTCAAAAAGGGATTTTACTGATGTTGCCACGTACGGTAGCAGAGCTTCAGTTAAAACCAAAATGATGGTCTTGTACATAATCATGCAAATCTATAACTACAGACATAGTTGTCTATGATATTGGACTATACTTAAATGTAGATACCATCAACCACATGCCCATAGCTGCTAGCATCAGCAGAATACAACAAAAGGTAAGTGCCAGGCTTCTACAGTCACAGAAGATCAGGTAAGTTAAAAGCAAAGCAGGATCTCTCTTTAAGAGTAAAATAGGCCAAGTACATGTAGTCTCAAGATGCCATATTCCAGATTATCTGCTGCTGATTTTAGTATCTGGTAAAGAACTCCTCTGTTTTGTAATTATTTTGTGAAGTTTACTGGTACATTCCAACAGTCATAGATAATTTGCTGGATTTCTCTACAATGATGTTATTCAACTTATTGTGCATAGTTGTAAGTCAAGTGTCTTGTGCCGTTTCAGTTTCTTTCAAAGCACCTTGTTTATCATTGAAGTCTGAGGAATGTAGCAGGAAATGCACTAACACAGGCAAGCTTCATTCAACAGTTGCTTGACTGTGCAAGTATGTTGGTAGCAGACTTAGGGGGACTGCGCTTCCGTTGACAACTGACAGGTGGCGCTTATTGACATGGCTGTGTGCTCTGTAGGAGATCCGCACCACCCAGCAGGAGGAGATGATGAGTGACAGGAAGGAGGAAGACATGGAGCTGTCTGACAACGAGGATGACTCGGGTGGCATGATCATGAAACGGAGAAAGGTCGACTCTGCTGGCACATGTAAGTATTCCTAAGTCCATGTTGAAATTAAAACTATATCATCCAACACAAAGCAGTTCTCTCGCCTAGAGCTTTCGACCAGTCACTCTGGTCTTCCTCAGTAGACTGACCCAGTGAGGCTTGTTACATGGCTTCTTTGTAGTGTGACGTCAACACTGGGTCAAAGATACAATGTCATGTATCTGGTAGACAATGTTGTCCCCTGCCGCAGTTCAGTGAAGGGTGATGGGCCCTGGTGTAAATAGTCTCTTTCACCCATCTCAGGAAATAGTCTTGTCCGATGTCCTTTTCCTAAGACAATGTGGATTTATTACATGGATGACATCCTCTGGAAACTCCAAAACTGATGCAAGCATGCAACTAAAAAAAAGAAAACATTGCCTTCATTATGAGATCTACATGGTCATGAAGGTTAAACAAATGACTAAACACACAGAGTATCGTATGGCAAAGACTCTTCATTTTCATTTCTTCACATTGTCTTCTTTTCCTTTAGAATTGATTTTGGCATTCTACGACAGGATAGAAATGCATAATATTACTGTATTCAGATGCCAAAACAAGCCATTTACATTATGCTATACATGTTCAAGTGTAATACATAAATATTAAGGCTTATATTTCTACCGGAGTTAGAAGTGCAAGAGGTCCAATATTATGTGCCCAAATTCTGTTGTTGATCTGTTCCATCTCTCCCCATGTTGAATCCCTGCATTAGTCTTTTCCTATTTCCCACAAGCCCTGAAGGAAGAGAACGACAGTCTGAAGTGTCAGGTGGAGGCCTACAAGAACGAGTTGGAAGTGGTCAAGTCGGAGGCTCAGTACAGTCTGTCGGAGAGGGACAAACAGATCCAGCAACTACAGATGGCTCTACAGGGCATGCAACAGGTAGGAACGGCTGGAATTGGTCTTCTGAAAGTAACATGAAGTAACGTCCAATCTTCTCAAACCCAATGTAATCTTCTGCAACAGATTCTTCAACAGTATCTGGGTCTGTTTAAAGTTAAAACTTTTGATCCAACATAAAAAGTTCTCTTAACTAGAGCTTTCGACCAGTCACTCTGGTCTTCCTCAGTAGACTGACCCAGTGAGGCTTGTCACGTGGCTTCTTTGAAGTGTGACGTCAACACTGGGTCAAAGGTATCTGGTAGACGATGTCGGCCCCCGTCATGGTTGAGTGAAGGGTGATGGGCCCTGATGTAATATCTGGGTCTGTCTGTACTTATAGTCATAACTGTTGTTATCATGTGTGTTTCTACAGTTTTATTTGTATGTTTTCTTTTATATGGGCTATGGATGCCTGAAATAAAGTAAAGACATGAGAGAATTGCTTTAGGATACGTATATGTTGTTGGTCGGTAACGAAATGTGCGGCACATGATGATGAAATTTTCACAGCAGACATTTGAATCCTGAACATTTTTGATGTCACAATATATATCTGATGCTGCATATAGAATTAACACAATTACATAAGGTAGACACCATTTGCTTAGAAGGAAAAGTTTCAGAATCATTGCATTTGTTCCAAGTTTACTTGGCCTTAATTACTATGACTAGTAGCCAGATGTTTTGGCCAGATTGAAACCTCTGACCTCTTTGGTTGCCTAGCAACTTATTGCTGCCAGGACTGAGATGCAGGTGAAGAAGGATGAAGAAGAGAAGAAAGAGGAAGAGGAGGCTAAAGCTGAGGTCAGTGTCTTAGTTATACTGTTAGTATACAGGCCTTTTTTTCTCCCTGTCTCAGCGCTGTCCCAAAAATAAATTTCAACTGTTCCGAATTGAGGATGAACTGTCCCAACCTGTTTTTCGGAAAGTATGTATAACTTCAACTTTTAGTCAACTTTATTTGCTGATGTTCACTCCCAGGTGCACTATAATTGCAGAGTAGACAGGAAATTCGGGGTGACTTTTCCAGATCCAAAAGCTAAGATGTGTGCCTGATAAATTAAAGAATGGCTTACATTCTGATGTTATTTTTCTATTGTCCCCAAAAATGTCCCAAAGTGTCTTTTTAGTTGTCCCAGCCTAAATGCTAGTGGTCAGTTTCGAACCCTGGTATAAGGTGGCATTTTTCACCCAAGGGTATGTTGTTGACGGTTGAAATACTGTGCAGCAGATGATGAATCATTTACTGCAGACATTTGAATCCTGAACTTTTCTGATGTCACATTATATCTGATGCTGCACTTGTATTCTTAACTACTGTAATAGCTCTTGGATTACATACTGTATGTACATGTACATGTATGTAAGACTCAGGAAGAAATCATTGCCTATTGAAGCCTAAGAATAAGGCATGTGTAATGTTACGGAGGCCTCCAATACCTTTCTGTAACCTCTGTAGCTTTTATCATAAAGAATTTATTTCAAAGACTCTTTTTTCCATGCAGCCACCGAAGCCGTCTGCTTTGATGCAGTGGCTTAAATCAGCCAATAAGGACAAAGCTGCCTTTGCCGGTGTCCCGGATCCGGACAAGTCCCCGAAAAAGGAGAAAGACTCCAAAGTCAAGAAACCAGCCTCACTGGATCAGCAACAGGCACTCCTTGTCGGTGAGTTCTCTTTTTTTGTTAGTAGATGCAAGGTTTTCTTTCTTTTATCACAGCAAACCCATGCTCACTTTGTTTGTGGCATATCTAATTCTAATCTTATGTATTCAAGACACATCAGCTTTTGTCAATCATTTTGAAAAATATTCTCTCAATTTATGGCAATAGCAGTTGCTGGGAAAACCTATAACAGTATTGCCGTCATGTTGTAACAGTGGAGGTCATTTGGTGCTATATAACTACAAATGTATGTCTGCTCATGAAAAGTTTTGATGATTTTCATTGAATGCTTGGTCAATATTCTGTCAAAGAGCCATGCACAATATGTTATGGGTTTAACACAGGCATAGTACATTCTGCTGACATGCCAAGTATAAGAATGTAGACTGAATACTTAATAGCAGTTACCTGTAATCTAAGACTTAACGATTATTGTGCCTTGGTGGCGTGCATGGGTGATGATCCTTATCTTGTCCTCCTTCAAGGAGTGCTGCTTTTTTTGGCCCTTCTTGGTTTTCTTGCTCTCAAATTAGGTTTAGGGTCATCCATAAAAATTACTTCGTGTGGCCTTACCTGTAATCTAAAACGTATAAGAATTATTGTATTGTGGTACGTGTGTGATGATCCTTATCTTGTCCTCTTCCCAGGAGTGCTATCTTCGTTCCTCCATGTCCATCCCTTTGGCGCGTCTGTGGAGTACATGTGGTCGTACCTGCAGAGATTGGAGCTCACCGTCACGCCAGCGGAACTCGAGGAGTTGCTGATTTCCCTTCCGCGATGCTTCTGCCAGGAGCTCTTCGGAATCGGCGCCACTTTGGAAAAGAGATGGAAATTCACCGGCTTTGAAAAACCTCCGCCAAAAGTAGTGGAGGAGGAGGAGAAAGAAACTCCAAACGAAGCGGAGTGACTTTAAAGTTTCGTTCTTTTTTTTCTCATAAAGACTCCAAGAGTTGTGCATAATATTCCGTACATATATTGAATGTAGAAGAGCTTGTTCAGCATTATGTGACAAAAAGGGGCAATATGTTGAGTTTTGCAAACTTCTTGAACTACTGACAAGACAGAGAGGTGTAGACGTTCACTGCCAAAATATTGAAATGAGTTAGTTTCCAAGTAAAATGGAACCTGACAGTTATATACCTGTTGAAGTCATGTTTTGGCAGTCTAAAGTGTGGAAGAATTATTCTATAAAAATCAGTCACAAGAAAAAGAAATTTACAGTAATAGAAACATTCACAGGCCAGTATAGTCATTTATGGTTTACATTAAACTGAATATCTTACAGCTGAAATATGGCAGTGTACTTTATCAATTATCATATGGTGGTATTTCCTTAATATCAATAAATATGCTTGATAATTCTCCACTTTCTAAATGGCAAACATTCCATTAACTGCTACTGGATAACTTGGATTCTCACTACCACTTAAACATGTTTGATCTTAAACAAGTTGGACTTTATCATGGCTAAATCTTAAAGTGACAGCTGAAGAGGGCCATGAAGTACATACATTTGTACTAGTCTTGTAGGAAAGGATTACACTTATTGTTTTCTGAAAGCTGCAAGACCTCACAAAGGCTTTCTTGATAATACCAATAAATATCTAACATGACATTTTTTGGAGTTGACAATATTTATAGTAATTATGAATAGTTTTCCCTCTATTTACAGAAAATGGACTTACACACGGCATTACACAGCATTTACTGGTTCGTTTATTAGGGTCATTTTAATCCTGTATTCTTACTATCAATGACCTATAGTGACAATACATGCAGCAGAGTATTGGTGGTATTGCATCCTGGCTTACCTCTAACAAAGTTAAAGCAAAGACGGTGGCTTCTTCATAGTTAATCCACTGAAGAAGTAATACAAATATGATGATAATGATACACGTCTGAAAACATTTGAGGTACCGGTATGATGCACTGTGACTGAAATACAAATCTGGACCAAAACATGCATATGGTAGCAGATGAGCCACAGCAGAACTGCTCACGAATGGAGGACAGGGACGAGTGGAGAAGAAGAACCATGTTGACATCCTATGATGTCCCTGTTCAAGGTACCAAGAACATCACATGAATATGCTCTATAAATTAATTAACAAACTTCTGATTATCATTACACAGATATTTCTTTAATCCCACTTTATCCATTTAAGAGCCAGATATTCTATTCCTCCTGTTTGTTGTCTTCTGCCTTCTCCCTGGGTGAGTCCTTGGCAGTCTCCTCCGTGTTTTTCCCCTTCCCTGTGTCCTGTTGACGTCTGCGAGCCCCGGGCCGGTACAGCTGCATGGTCGGGCGGTCCTGCAAAGCAAAAGTCACATTTGTAATATGTCAAAGATGATATTGATGATAGGTATTTGTTTCACATAACCAGTAAACTGCCTTCAGGCATAACACCAGTTTTGTACATGTAGGTACAAGCTGTACACACCAGGAAGATCCCCTACTCTGTTCGATAAGTGCAGTGGATTTTTTTCCGTGCGTGGCGTGTGTCTCTTCCCAGCAGGACATCAATTTAACGTCCTATCCAAAGGATATCCCTAAGCAAAGCTAGGTACTCATTTCCACCTGAGTGAAGTGAGGGAAGTACTATAAGTGTAAAGTGCCTTTCCCAAGGGCACAAGATTGGCGACATGATAGGATTCGAACCCGGGACCTCTTGCTACTGACCCAAACATGCTACCATTTACGCCACATGACCCCACAGGTGTGGCCTAGTTTCTATCTCTCACATACACAGACAACACGATTTTATGAAGAAACCACTGTTTTCCCATTGGTATAATGTTATAAATCTTGCATCATCTGAAATGGTATAAATCTTAATCACCTTGTTTCTTAAGCGCCTTCTCTCTGCTCTTGCTTCCTCCTTGGTGAGTTCTCTCTCCCCATCATCCTCGCCACCTTTAGCCCCTCTCCCCTTCTCTGTGGCGTCTGATTTCCTTGAAGTGTCAGACTCCGTTGATAGGCGGCGCTCCTGCACATGCCTGGCCTCTGGCTGTTCTTTATCGTCTGTCTTCTGCTCAGCATCAGTCTTTTCAGCAGAGTTTCTCTTCTTTTCCTTCTCCCTCTCTTGTCTTCTCTTCCTTTCGCGCTCCTCCTTTTCCCACTGTTGTCTCTGTTTGCGTTCGCGTTCCCTTTGGCGCTGCCGTTCCCGTTCTTTCTCCCGTTGTCGCTGACGCTCTTTCTCCCTCTCTTTATCGTCTTTGGTAGCCTCCTGAAATGTAATAAACAGTGAGGCTGTGACGAAGTAGTTTGTTCACAGCAATTCCTCGAGCTGACCAACATCTTTTGCACCAAGTCACTCTTCAGTGCAAAAGCATTTTGTACATGTGTAACTCTAAGAACCATCGTTGAAGAAGGTTAGACATCCAGGTAATAAGATACGCCAAAAAGCAGTTACTCAAGCAACTGGATATGATTTTGGAAACAGACGTTTCAGCTAGTATCCACTAGCTTTCGTCAGTGACTGAGTGGATACTAGCTGAAACGTCTGACCGTTTTCAAAATCATATCCAGTTGCTTGAGTAACTGCTCTTTGGCGTATCTAAGAACTATTGTTATGAAAAAAAAAGGTGACGGGTTCTTACCTTTCTGTCCCCACTGTCTTTTGTCACATTCTTTCCATAATCCCTGAAAAAAGCACGATAATTCAATTATATTTATTATAATTTAGGTAACTATAGAATATATAATACCATCACCAAAAGTAAAACCAAACTGGAAAATGTGCTTAACACACACAAGTACATATTAAAGCAGTGAGTTGAAAATGTTTCGGTGGCCTTCTGTGTCGCAGGAAGACAAACAAAATCAAGAGATGATATACCTATCTTCATCCCTGTCCTCTCTGGTGTCTCTGTCCCTTCTCTCCCTCTCCTTGTCTCGTCTCTCCCTCCTCTCCCTGTCTCTTCTCTCTCGAGCACTCTCCTGTCTGTCATCCTTCCTCGGCGGGGTTCTGTCCCTCTTCTGGTCCTTTGGTCTGTGTTTCTCTGTGTCTTTCTGGTCCTTCTCCCTTTCTGGGTTCTTCAGTAACTGAAGAGTGACAGACACAAATTGTAAGGTTACCAATTACATCCTACAAAGGTCCGCAGTATGTAAATTGATGTTGGGATGGTTTATTTCTGGATGGAAACAACTTTGGGATAGTCCATTTCAGCAAAAGGATGATATAGACGTCAAGATTCAATTTGTGCAAGGGGATGGAGTGAAATATATTGTATTTGCTTGCACATGTCAACTTCCCTAGTACCCAGCACATAGATTTGCACTATGTGAATTTTATGAATGCCATTCATGCACACAATGATTTTAACTTGTGTCCTAGATAGATTTTACCTTAACAGATTTGACAGACTCCTCATCCTTGCCATCAGACCCATCTTTGTCTTTTCCTTCCTTCTCCTTTTTTGCTCTCTCTGCCCGTTCCTTTTCTCTCTTCTTCCTTCTTTCTTCCTCGCGACGTTTGCGTCTTTCTTCCTCCCGCCGTCTTCGCCTCTCTTCCTCTTTACGCCGTCGTTCTTCCCGTGCCTCTTCGCGTGCTCTCTGTACAAATTTTGTGTAAGATTTAAATGACAGTGAGCTATTACTTTGGTTCCCTCAGTCTCATACTATTTTTTTTCAAGCAGCTTGACCTTCTTTGAATATCAACAAATTGAATTGGTATTACCTAATGTACAAATGAACATAAAATTGAATCCATTTAGTTTTCAATTTTTATTCAACATCTCATCCTTGCATTTTTATTGTCTTCCTTGGTCCCTCCTCTTTGACTTTTGGAGATGGAATACTGCATGTCCTTACTGCATGCTGTACTTAGCACCTGTTAGCTGTAACACCTGATACTAGCTGTCTACTTACAGCTGCAGCTGCACGTCGGTTCTTGATGAAGTCCAGGAGGGGTGTGGTCATCTTTGTTTCTGTCATGCAAAATAAAGCAAAACAAAAAAGAGTAAAAACTACTAGTACTAGCATATTAATGTACAATGGCTGATTTTTTTTTTCCGGTCATTTAGCAATGACTTGCAAAAACAAGTGCAAAAATGAGTGCAAAGATGTAAACCTGAAGCAATAGAATGACACAAATGTAGCAGTCACAGGAGAAATATACTCGTACATGTATGTGATAATAACTGGTAATGTGTGTAGTTTTTATAAGTCAATTGCAAAAACTGATCTGAAATATAAATTTTGTGCTAACATAAATCAATTAAAAAATTTTTTCATTCATTCATTTTTTCATTTGAAAGTTGTTGTACCTTCCTTCTTCCTGTCTCTGGCCTCTATCTCCTCCAGTAGCGACTCAATGTTAGCCGGAGGGGCGTCGCCGGCATTGTCACTCTTAAGACTTTCCAGGAACTTAAGGTAGTCTGGGTCTACAGGAAGGATATCAAAACAATGTACAGGTTAGTAGTATGTGACATAAGATAATGCAGCTTACATGTACAACTCAAAGATTGAAATATCTTAGCCCTGACAATACAGATTCCTAACACACATGTACTATCTCTTCAGTGTACAACAAAATGTACTATTACAAAATGTACCTTGTTCTATTGTTGCACATTTGGTATCTTTCTTCTTGCTTCTTCCTTTTGGCACCTTCTGATATGGAGCAAACTCCACTATGGCTGGATACTCCACTTCTGCAAAGGCAATTACAAATGTAGATGTAGATGTAAGTTGGTAACATGTACATGTATCTGCAGTGGACATTGCCATACATACATCACTAAATGAATTTCTTTCAATTATGTTTAAAAATTCACAATGAACAGTGTAATAGAATCATTATGAATATGAACTGTCAGATCAAAGATACATACTTTTGCTACTAGTGTCATTAAAGATGTAGCCATCAAACTTATCCTTGAAGCCGATAATATCTTCAGGATTCTTGAAGTTGATGTAGGCTCGGCAGAAGGCATGAGGCACCAAGCTGGAGGGTCGAGGGAAAACATGCCAAGATATTTCAAGGGCTTAAAATTCAAATCAAGTGATAAATGACATGTTTACATGTAGGATGCAGATTCTATCAACTACTGAACTATCTTGTTATAATACCATGATCATGTCACTAGGTAACTAGACTATGAATTATATCAATAATTGATAATTATCAATATGCAAACAAATTGTGAATTAATTTTACCTGACAACTTCTAAGTTTAACCACTCAATATGGCGGACATTGCCAACGTCATAATCACGTGACTGCAAATGCCTAGCACTACAGAAAGCGTTCTATTAGCGTGTCGTACCTCATGTCAGCTGCCACGAACAGAAAGAAGTCATGATCAGGGAGAGGGCCCAACTCCTCAACAAGTGTCTCTTCAGTCAGCGTCGGTGGAAGACGCCGTATCACCACCTAAAGATGAAGAATACAAGAGTTCCACGATCTCATACCTTCGCCAAAAGATGTTAACCCTTGCGGTTGAAGAATTATACAATTAATAATTGATTTTGCAAATAAGATCCTCATTTGCATGGGTTATATCAGTTGATCATATTCTCCACCCAATGACAGTCTTATCTTAAAGGCGCTCTATGTAGTTTTTTGTGCAAAAATTTGGATTATTCTAATTATACTAAATTTCAGTGTTATTAACAGTTACTATCACTTTTCAACACATTTGTGTCATTATTTCACATTTTTTACGTATATTTTGTCCGTTCAAACAGTCCTTGTTGGGTACCCGGTGCCACCGGTTTGCCCAGGACAACAACAACAACATACAGGGGTTGCCCTCCCTAGGGTGGCTAATTGACCCGGCATGCCAGGCTTGATTGACAGGGGCACATGTGACAAGATATAGCCTCGATAGAAAAACACTCATATCTTTCACATGAGGTCTGGTGGAATATAATTATCAACTTGGAGTATTTTGTTGGGCATGAATAAACTGTGGTCATTATCCCTTCAAAAGAGATAAAAAATCTGGTAAACGGTTAGGTATTTCAGAAACTGGTAAGCTATCAACTGACAGACCAAGCTCTTCCTCCCTACCCTCACCCTCCCTACATAAGTCAGTAAGTCATCAACTGACACCCCACTGGGATGTAGGTCAAACCACTAGCACTAGCAGTGGACAATACAATGTACCATATGTGCGGTTTGGCCAGAGGTTGTATAGAAGATCATTCACAGTTTTCTAAGCTTCTAAGGAGCAAGGATGTTGTATTTTTTGTTGAGGAGTATGATTTTGGAATACTAAAGGGTTAAGTCACTGTACTATGTAAAGAAAAGAATGAAAAATATACTTTTTGTATTGTCAAAAAAACTACATAGAGTGCCTTTAACAACAAGGGTACTATAGCACTTCCTCATAAATTATGCAAATGAGGTCATGATTTGAATAAATTATGTTTATTGATGTTCGCCTTCACTTAACTTCCAAATGTGGGAAGTATGAAATTCCCAGCAGTTACAACTATGAAATTATAAAAATTTCCCATTAATTATGCAAATTAGGTCTTCATTTACATAATCTATATCCTCAGGTTTTTTAAAATTCTCAATCACATGTCACAAGTGTTTCATAGTCCTATTATTGAACAATGCAGAGTTTTAGAATTTCCTCATTAATTATGCAAATTAACTCCTGATTTGCATAATTGTCATCTGATTATGTCGAGCATCACTTCAGCTACCTACATACCAAAAATCACGACAATCCGTCAACCGGTTCCTTAGTTATCATCCTTCGAAAAATTTTCAACAAATGCTTCTGCAGTTCCAGAACAAGCCGCTAGGGGGCCCAAACTCATGTCACTTCTTCCCTACCTCAAGAACTATCTACCAACTAAAATTCGTGACCCTAGCATGTACAGATCACGAGATATCAAAACCGGAAGTTCTGCTGCAGTACCTAGGAAAGCCGCCAGGGGGCCCAAAATCTAATCATTTCGAGGTCTCATCAAGACCTACCTACCTACCAAGTTTCATGACAATGCATACTAAGCTTCTTGAGTTATGCTGTTCACAGACGGACAAACGCTACTGAAAACATAACCTTCTTGGCGAAGGTAATAAAGGGTTGGACGGTATGGAATTAAGCTGTTAAAATGAACAACATGTCAACTTCTCGCCACGATCCATAGTAACCACACCACACCACACCACGCCCCCCCCCTCCCTATAAATTATTTCATCGCCAACCTTCGTGGGTATTCCTTCTTCTTTCTTTTTCTTAGCCCCTTCTTTTGACCTTGACTCCTTCACGTGAGTCTTCCCCGTCTTGTCTCCTTCCTCTCCTCTGTCTTTTGTCATGTCTGTGAAGTTTTAGCTCCGGTTTTGTTCTATCCAAATTGTTTCACAAGATTCTATTTTTCTATTTCCGCCATTTTGGATGTTATGATCTCGCCAAATCTCGTACTTTGCAGTCTAGTCACGTGAAGGTAAAACAAGAACATTTTCTTGTTTTCCGCGCAAAATGAACATAAAACTGCACTAAAAAAGAATATTAAAAGATTATGCGTATTTTTGAAAAAGATAATGCCAATGTTTTACGTCATACTTTGGAAAATGCGCATCATTTTTCAAAATCTCGTCTTGGGCGGGAACTTTTACTGGTGCATTGTGGGTAAGATTTCGTCGGGCAGCCATTTTGACCTCCAAACACGAATAATTTTGGAGGTCTGGAAAAATTAGGATTTCGTCGTAAAATACCACAAAAAGAGCGGAGGCCAACATGTGGTATGAAATCCTACCAGGCTTCGGCATCATCGTGGTCTGTCTGTGTGTTCCCGGGTTCGTCACACCTCGAATTCAGAAGTTTCAGAACAATGGAAAGGTGAGCTACAAAACAAATTATGTTACGTTACTCACTGTACTTATAACATACTTTGTACCAATATCTGTAAGACATGTGATGAAGATGAAGTTCCAGACTACGTAATAAGTACTAGTGACATGGAACATCCCAGATGGTACCTACTGGCTGATCTTCAAGGTGAGAATTCAAGGTGAGAATGGAACAGAATTCGATATTTGCGAATCAACCGTTGGAAAATAAGTGACACCTTGGCAAAAATTATATGTTCTTTTTTGGCAACGCCACAAGGCTCAGCCTTTTCCCTAATGTTGAAGCAAATCACTATTAAATGAGGTAAAATATTGTATTTCAGCTGAAGAGAGTTGCAAAAGACTGGAATGAGTGGTGGATGATGTCCAGAGACTACAGACTTACTGGTTCTCACTACATAGGAAGGGTAAGACGAGTCTCGTAGATTTGTAAAATTTAGACGAAATGAAATTGGTCTTGTATTGTAAGAATAAAGGACTTCATGTTACTTAGGTATCCATAATATTTTATGTGAAAATAGTGGTGATTTCATTATTGGATCTATCATAACTTCTACATTGCTTGATAAGATTTATTCTATGTGAATTGTGATGTTTACCTGAATGTCTAACCTTCATTGACATTACAATGACTTGTTCATGCTCTACTCTAGGGTCTTGAAGCCATTCCTGACAAGCCCACCAAGAAGTAAGAAAAGCAACCCCACAGTGAAGGACAGCAGTTTCATGGTGCCCCTCTCAACAGTCATCTGTGTGCAGTGAACCAATCACATCATGTGTACCATCAGTGCGACTCATCCACCAACTTTGTCTTGAAACAACTGCTGTTATTAGTCGTCTTGTACATAGAATTCAGGTGTACTTCAATAAAACAGTTTCACAGCCCATTCAGTTTATGCTTCTTCCTTTATGCTTGCTTTGTTTGAAAACAATCGCAGTTTTCAGAAATAAACTTCTGGATACAATAAAACTTGACATTACTTTGGGAGAATTAAGTTTAAACAGATATCTGTTGATTAAATGTGTGTTTCTGTTTGAAGAGGGTGGTCTATATTATATAAAGTTCTACAGATATTCGGTACGATATCATCCCAATCCAATGCACCTATTAATTCTTGAAATCAATGTAAAAAATGGCTCCGCTACTGAGGTGTCGCCAAAAATGAAAACCACCATAGCTCTGTATCAAATTTCCCCGCCCATCCTCTAATCTAAAATGTTATCACCGTACTGGGGATGTTTCGTTAATGGTATTTGAGCAGGTTCTTGGTACTTGGTCAGGGTGCCGGCCCAATCCTTGCCACACGACACTGCAGGTGCAGTAAACAACAACTACAACAATGCAATGATAGTCTAGATAGTGGCGTAGCGGCAGTGCGCTTGACTCGGAACCAAGAGGTCCCGGGTTCGAGTCCTGACATGCACCACTGATCTTGTGCCCTTCACAAGGTCACAAGACTTTCCTCACTTAACTCAAGTGAAAATAAGTATTGTCCTGTATTCGTCCTCTGCGTTGGTGGCAGCATAAAATAGTTGATATAACTTGAGTGAACTGTCACCTACTGAAATGTTGGAGTATAAAAAAAATGATAGTCTTAATTGTCTCCTACGTAATTAAGGAGACAACTTACATAACACGACTAGATTTCCCACGCCATTATTATATAATGGGACAGAGGTCGCTTGATGAGACAGAGACCTTGAGTGCAAGTTACATAACATGTTACGTAATTGTAACGACAGCAAGAGAGCCTACATGTAGTTGTTGATGGTCGGTTCCTGTATCATATTATTGTGACAATGCCTCCCTTTGAAAAATGTCACTATAACTTCGTCTTGATCACTTTAGTCGTTTAAGAGGACCGTGGTAGTTATTTAACTTGTCTGACTGAAACACCTAATTTCACGTTTGACCCTTGGTGCAACAGACAATTGATAATTCGCACGTAGCTCACACAAGGCAAAACGTGCCATATTTAGGCATACTTAATACAGTTATGTGTTTCTGTACTAAGCTGTAAGCCTTGTGAGCCTCCATGTACCGAAATGGACAAACCAACAGAAAGGCAAATACTATGATGTCCATGTATAAATTAAGATATATACATATATCGATATATCTGGTACAAACAATCAGATATTAAAAGCAAGAGTGTTGGCATTTGAAAACAAGAGATGCATCTCAACATGCCCAAAGTGGTTGAACCACCTCAAGTCATCAGACCAAAACCGACCTTTTTGTCTCACGGTTGGCATTTACCGTGAGATTCTCTTCTGAACGGCTGACACAGGATCCACACTAACAAAGGTAAGTCACAACTCTGTCAAAATATCTCTGACAAGTTGCAGCAACCGTAACCATTTCGTCAAGGAAACTTTAAACAATTCAGGATGTTGGTAAACAATTGTTGAAAAGTAAAACTTCTCTTATTTGTGAAGAATCGATCTCGTCATTGTTGAAAAGATATGTTTCTTGTGATCTGTTTTCTGTAACTGGTTGAATAGAATACGTGAGAATGTAAACTCAAGACCACGCCGAAAAGCAGTCACTGTGACTAGACACTTGACAGAAAAATCCTTGCTGAAGAAGAAAAAAAATCCAACCAACATGCAAGTATTTTGAGTAGATAGCTGGTGGCAAAATGCGACTCTATCCGCCCCAGTGCTAGTGTGGGGGGCGGGGTCTTTTTTTGTCGACACTTTACCGATTTTTTAATCCCTTGACAGGACGACATGGCAGAAGCAGTTTTCAAGAAGTATGACGTCAACGGTGACGGCAAAATGAGTAACGCAGAGCTGGTTGGAGCGCTGAAGGAGTTGAAGGTGACAGCCAGTGATGATCTGGTGAAGGTAAGGCAATTGTAAACCCTTTGATATCCCGTGCTTCTGTCGATTTGATAGTGAAAATAGACCCGATGGTAACAATGCTTGAATATGGCACCAGACTGTAATCTCCAAGCAGATCTTTCGGTGGGGGTAAGAAAATATCAAATTAGCCAGCCTGTATCCATTTCCCCACCGAAGATCTGCTGGTTCAAAAATGGTGTTGCTGCCGTTCCTCGTGCACCTATCGAAAAATCGGTCGTGCTAAGATATTTACAAACGGTTTATAGCTTGAATCTGTGACAAATTCAGTCACCCACGCACCCCTTTTTTTATATATATTCCAACATGTAATCACAAGACGTGGTGACGGCACACTCAAGTTTTTCAACTTATATTAATGCCGCCACCAACACAATATAATACTCATTTTCACCTGAGCGAAGTGAGGAAAGTCGTGTAAAGTGCCTTTCCCAAGGGCACAAGATCGGTGGCATGTCAGGACTCAAACCCGGGACCTCTTGGTTCCGAGTCGAGCACTCTGCCGCTACGCCACACGACCCCGCGCACAGCGGGAGTGGGAAAATGGATATAGTCTGGCAAATTTAACACTGTCTTATCCCCACCGTAAGATCTGCTTGGAGATTATATATAATTACCAGACTGTGGTGTCTGCAGACAACCTCAGAAAATGTTTAACAGTCAATTAAACACTGGGTCCTTTCACTTCGCCCCCAGGCGATCATAGCCCGGTACGACAAGCCTCCCCAAAACGGGTTTCTGGAGCTGGCTGAGTTCACAGCGCTGGTTACCGACCTCACGGCCATCACAGCTACTAAAAGGGAAGAAGTCCTGGATACCTTTACTCAGTTTGACAAGGTGAGACAATGAAAGGTAGTGGTACCGGTGCCTATTTTACGCTGTTTCAAGACTGATTCACATGGACTCTTTATACATGTATGTTATTACTAGCATTTGCTGTCGCCTATAAAACATTACAAGTTAGGAATCCCACTGTGGTACAAAGTAAATGCTAAGCAAGTAGGTTTAGACGCACAATATGGCGGACGAGAGCACGTCGGCAGAACGTACTGCACCTGCGCAAAACACGGTTTTCACGGTTTTCGTTGGACGTTTGGTCAATGCTGCTGCTTGCTGCATCAGAATTTTTCATGTGGAAACTACAGACGGGATGTTAACCTTATATGCGCGAATACGACCTTATATGAGACGTTCTGTCGAAGTGCTATGTACAATACATTACGGGTCAGGTTGGTGCAGGCGCAGTACTGTCTGCCAACGTACTCACATACTAGTATCGGTACATCAGCAGAACGTACTGCGCCTGCGCGAAGCCCGTAATGTATTATGCATAGCACTTCGGCAGAACGTCTCATATAAGGTCGTATTCGGTCATAGAAGGTTAACATCCCGTCTGAAGTTTTCACATGTTGTGTTGCAAAAGATATTGTCTGCAACAGGCAAACTTCTGATGCAACGTCGACCAAACATCCAACGGAAACCGTGAAAAAGTTTCGCGCAGGTGAAGTACGTGCTGCCGACGTGCTACTAGTATCACATACGTTGGTGAAGGTTACTCATCCAGGATAAAAATAAATTGATAAAGCCGTTAAATCTTTTCTAACTGGATAATTGAAAGTTTAATGCGCACGCGTAAACGTTTGTACTGATGAAGAGTACCGGATGGTACTTGAAATGTTTACGCATTAAACTTTCAATATTGATGTTTATTTGCAAAATCATGCCCGAAGGCTAATTGCTTGTACAGTCAAGTATACAGAAACAGGAGACAGGTAACAATCTGTCTGGAAAAACCTCTACTTCTACTACTACTCTAGCTATTATCCAGCTATTATCTAATTATCCAGTTAGAAAAGATTTAACGGCTTCATCAATTTACTAGTACAGTATCACATGTTAACTAACTGTGCTCTGATAGGATAACAGTGGCTTCAGTACATTCTGCCGACGTGCTACAAGTATCACGTGTTAACTAACTGTGCTCTGATAGGATAACAGTGGCTTCAGTACATTCTGCCGACGTGCTACAAGTATCACGTGTTAACTAACTGTGCTCTGATAGGATAAAAGTGGCTTCATCGAGACTGGCGAGTTGAAAGAGGTCATGAAAGCCCTGGGGATGGGCGAGGCCGATGACGCCACGGTCCAGGCCATGATCAACATTGCCGACACCAACAATGACGGCAAGGTCAGCATCGCCGAGTTCGCCAAAATCTTAGGCCATGCAGCTGAGTAGGCCTATGTACAACACACGGAGAAATGTGTCAAGTAGTTTCTCCCTGGCCACCGTGCATGGCCCATAATACATGATACCGCTGTAGTTTTTTTCAAAATATTCTAGACAACTAGTTTTTGCTTTGTGGACAACAATCTCCCTTTGGTATAAAATGCGGAAATAGATTTTACCTTTACATATGGGTGCATTACCGTGGTATAATATATAAAACATAATACATTACAAAGGAAACTTAAAAGGAATATGCACATCAAATATCACAGATTTGATATCTTAACCTTTGATAACAGATTTTTCTGGAGTTCATAAGGAGCGAATAAATCTGTCAGTTTGCTAATAAAGAAAATTATCATAAAACGATTTGACCACCCAATACTTAACAATGCAATCATTAACTAAACTACAATTTGTTGTGAGCTTCGTCTTCTTGTTTTGGTGTCTTTCTTTTGAGTCCTTACTTGTGCAAAATAAAAAGGTGCCATCTTCAATCACCTGGTATTTGTGATCTTTGAGTGTTTGTGTCTTTGTCTGTGTAAATGTGTATGTGTATGTGTGTGCGTGTCTGTGTAAATGTGTATGTGTATGTGTGTGTGCGTGTCTGTGTGAATGTGTTCGTGTGTGTGTCTGTGTGCATGCGTGTGTATGTGTGCGTGCGCGCGCGTGTGTGTATGTATGTATGTATAATAATGCATGACAGAACAAAACTGTAACTCACAAAACTAAAGATCACAAAAAAAAGTACAAACCATGGATCCGAAACTTTTCTGCAAAAATGAGGTCGTATGCATTCTCATTCTGTCCTTTCTATATGAAAGCTTCTTGTTCTGTCGAATTAAGTCTTAATAGGCAGACACATCGGCATGCAAATCTCAGAAATAAGAGAGTTTTGAGTAGGGATCATCAACATCTATGACGTCAAGAAAATCACAAAAGTATCAATTGTTTGCAACATTTGCTTTTCACTCCAATCCCACGCAGACGTGGGCTTCTTTGTGAAATTCATTGTATAACACGTTACGGCCCATGCACGTGTGCACATTTCTTTGCATGTGAAGCCCTTTCTGAACAAGCACACGCTGGTATAACCGCCAGAACAACAGCTCATGTAAAACTTCTGTCTTTGTTCATCTCTGTTCATGCAATGGTAAAGTCCACTCTGTGCCGTGCTGCCCACCGGTACTTGTTGCATTCACGTCAAACGTAACGACTCATTCTCTACGGCAATTGGTACTACAGTTACGAATTGGACGGACGGCAGGGCCTAATTATCGTGCTTCTCACGTGTGAGGCCGTCCTTTCTCCCACTCAATTCCTCTCCGCATTGATATATCCTCTATAAATATGGGGCATTCTGTCATTTCTCACATATCAGCCAGCTGCAGGTAGTCGTGATTCGTGGTGCTATCAAGTACCAGAATTGCTACAGTTGAGGGCAACAATCACAGAGAAAAGGTAAGATTTCATCTCAAACCCTTTAAAATCTGCAAAAAAAGTTTCCTTACATTGCAGTTTTGTTGGCCGTTTTGAGCAAGTAAATTAAAGCATAGCATTCATTTAATTTGTTCTATATATGATTCTATCTAGCTAGTTTGAGAGAGGAGCCAGACATGACTTTTCACATCTCGGTGAAGATTACCCTGCTTGCGGGCTGCATGCTTCTGTCTTGCGGTAAGTGAATCAACTTTTTTGTACATCTTTACCCATTTCATATCTCATTACGTATACATGAATGTCTACCCTTCGTGGACGTAAACATCTCATGCCGGCGCTCGTATCTCCATTTCAATTGCTGTTGTTTTTTCTGCTACTCTTGAAATTATCGTCTCAATTTAAAAGACACATACCTTGCACTACAGCATCGGACACTTACAAACCAATGCCACACGGCGGTTCAAACTTAGGAGAGGCGACGGCGGGAACTTCTGAGGAGGGAAAGCAGGTACGTTCCAAGCGATAGACGGGGAAACAGACTATTGGTTTCTATCGTACATGTCAAAGCGCTCCATATATAAATTCAAAGCTAGCCTTTAAGCTGTCACAATTTATCTTGTTTAAGACTACAGAATATCTATTATGTTAACCGTAGTGATCGATGCTAATATATATATGACTGAGAAAAAAAATAAAAACAGTAACAGTAGAAATTTAAAAAAAAATAAAACCTTTCCCTTAATGTTTGAGACACATTACACAATAAGAAATAAGGCCGGCGTCAGGTTGTATGGGGGTACAAAAGAACGGTGTTTATCTATTCACCAACCCACATGGTGACGTTGTGTCATCTCCAAGCAGATCCTACGGTGGCAAGAGAGTATCCATTGGCCATAGGCTAGTGACCACTCCTCTGGCCAATGGAATGGATACAGATTCTTGCTTTATTGACACAACAAAAAGTACAGTCTGTGACTTTTGTATGGTCTTCTACAACTTAAGATCTAACAAAGCTAAATACATGTGTGGATAACGTCATCTTACGTATAGAGTATCGTACGATCTGCTCGGAGATTTCTGTTGTTTTTACGTCCATGTTGACACAGGCTACAGCAGAGCCAGCCTGGGACAGTAACAGTAGCGGAGATGGGTCCATCTTCCCGGGTGAGAACCCAGAGACCGAGACTGCTCATCCTTCCCGCTTGCCGCGGCGGCGGGCTTTGATCTACAAGATTCGGACTGAGACGGGCAAGGCTCGGGTTCTTAGATGTGGTAAGTCTTCTAGTTCTACATACAGTGAAAGTCTATTACAGACATATCAAAGATATTGTGCCAAATTATCTGAACGTTAACTGTACACGTGAAGTGTGGGAAACGCTAGGTTTCAAGCTGGCAAGGGCAAGGCATACTGACACAACTACCCCTTTTTCTCTGGGAAACAAGCAATTATTACTCTATCCCATACTCCAATACCATGGGTTACCGAAGAATGGGTTACTGGAAAATAGTAGAAATGCAATCAATTGGCCAAATCAACTGAATGGTATGCCAGAGCAGTTAGCCAGCCATAGCACACTGTACGACCCGCTTGTCACATGAATTTTTGAATGCTGGTACAGTGGCAATATCCGCCATGTACATATGCCATGCTCTTTAGATATGCATTTATATACATGTATATTCGTTATATATATAACGAATGATCGATGGGGCTAAATGTCCATGGGGCTAAATGCATACATCAGAGTGTGATGTTACATGTACATCATACTGAGTAACATGATGCATAGCATACAAGGATAAGAGATTAAACTAATCTAGGCCTTGAAGATTTCTCTCTTTTTAAAGAAATTTGTGATAAATTCACATAGTTACCCTCCATGTAAATGGGGGGTTTTGTTTTTACTCCGTTTCATGTTTGGTCTGATATCTGAAGATCGGTGAGAAGGAACTGTATGATACTTGGCAGATTGATGGATGGGGCCTTGGAGATTGTGTAGGTTGACTTTGAGCACCTGGTGATTGACCTTGGTACTGCAGTTTAATTTTTTTATTCTATTGTTGGCACGTTATGGTCCGTGTGTGCGATGCTAAGGTAGCATGTAGTTGTGGTTACAATGGTTTAGTGATGTAAATTTGGGCCCCCTAGCTGTTTGCTTTGAACCGGAATTGCTATCTCAATGTCAGATTGTTTGCGTTGAATGATCTCAGAACCCGGTGGATGGTTGGCGATCATTTTTGGTATGTGGGTAGACGCTGATTGTCTTTGCGTTTTAGCGTGCATTAGCAGGTTGTCGTAGATTTGCATTGCTTATTTAAAAGGATTTTCACATTTTCACCCCTATTTCATAATAGGATGGTCTGTTTGACCCCAAATTGGTACAGAGTGTTTTTGTTTATACCTCCAGCTGGCAGGTCAGGCCAATCTATTTTTACCTCTAGACCGCGTCTGCAGGAAATATATCTTATCTTTAATCGGTCATTCAGCAGGGAACTGGGTCATCTGTGGTTTGTTAATATGTAACAATGTGCTTGAGAGGTCATTGACCTCAAACAAACCATGGTAACAAGACACTAAACGCCTGCACATGACAGCTTGGGCAACCCCTTCCAATACGAAGTGCCACAACAAAATTCTTAAAGGATAGACATCTATAGACATCTATCATTCTGCTGATAAAAACAAAGTTTGACTCATAATATCTCTATTAAAATACACCAAAAGATTACAAAATAACAAGCTATTTCATGGAGGGACGATGTCTACGACTTCTCCTTGTTTTATATTGTATTACTGGTGGGCACGAAATGACTGAATACCTCTTTTTTTTGTTCTGCCTTTATACAGTTTGTCTAAGTGGATTGTTCTAAATAGTGTCTGTGTTTTGTCCAATCCTGTAGGCCATAACCCACGTTGCTGTTCCCTGAAGTGTGAGGGTCCATACTTTCCACTCGTCAGTCTAGTGCCGCGGATCATGTGGATGGCTGACATCTGCCAGTGCCTCTGCCAGTGCTAACTTACATGTACCAATAAGGCCCGGTCACATACATTGCTTAGTCTTAGCCTCCATAGCATGCCAAAAACTGGGGGGTTTGGGGGTCTTCAGGGTCTTTGGGAGCTTTTGTGTGCTATTTTCTGATTGCATATAGACAACATAGCCTCCCTTGTGATACTCCCTTGTAAAACTGGGCTAATCAGAAAACAGACCACCAAACCCCCAGTTCTATAAGCCTGCTAGTTTAGTCTTCTGTATCTATGGATTTTTAGGTAGGCTATGTAGAGACAACCAAACCAATGAACCATCAATAAAGATTTTTTCTATGGTATCTTTCCTAGCACAAGGCAGCTGCATTGGGTATTACATGTCTACAACTGTTCCAACAATGTGCCCTAAATTCCCCATGCTGTAAATCTATGTCCTGGCCTGGGACCAAGGTACTATACAAGATAATCTTATTTATGGTAAATGTGATAAGAAAAATTATGACCGGCCAGAGGATAATCTTGGAGGATCTGTAATAGTATATAATAACTATTATTGATCATGTTTCATGTTATACACTCCAGTATCCAGATGTTTACCACAGGATTGTTATCAAAATACCAGTAAGTTATCTACTAATACAAAGTAACCTCCAATTCAATGGTGTCAAAATAAAGGATGACTGACAAAATTATGGCGTAATTATGACATTTTTTTCAACCATAACAAGAAGGAAAACACCCATTTAATGTCTGTGTTCTCTAGTTTAAAAACAAACTATACCGTAGTACATGCTGAACATAAAAAGCATAACAATAGCAGGGCAAATTGGCCGGTTAAAAATATCAATTTTGCTACAAGATTGAAAATCACGCAGGTTTTCATTTAACTCAATACAATGAAAAAATGACCAGAAAAGGTTCAGTTTTACTACGTATACTCTGAAATCCTTTTGTATGCATTTAAACTATATATAACGTGGTATAAAATGAAGATGTGCCACAAAGCAGTCACTGTCTTGCTTTTTCCATGCCGATACTGCACAAAATGTAAAAAAAAAAGTATGCGTAAAGAAAACGTTTCTTCCCTAGAGTGGAAAGCATATCTTTAAGGCCACACCAATTTAATTTGTTGTTTCTCGGATTCGCCCTGTCCATTTTTTTCTGATTTGCAAAAAATTTTTTGTTCTAAATCAACTGCAAAATGCTCAATGAAAGACATATTTTGGCCCCAACGGTTGGGGAAAGTCATTTACTTTTCTAGTTGTTCACGTTTTTCAATGTAACAATGCAATTTTGTTTCATTAAAAGTTCAAAATCTATTGTTTTAATCATAAACCAGGCTGGTATGTTGACTTCATGACTCGTATTGTAACATTTTCAGCTATCATGGGGTGCCTGGGCCTGTTTTTTTTCGCCCTGTCTCATCATATTTTTTCTGAAAAAATTCGAGAAACGACTAATTAAATCGGTGTGGCCTGAGCACACATTTACGCATATTTTAAAGTGTGTTTAAAGGTATGATTCAGTGCAGTGCTACTCGTCGCCGTGCCCGATGATCCTGCTGAACTCGATGATGCTGACCCTGCCGTCGTTGTTGGTGTCAGCGGCGGCGATCATGGCCTGGACCGTGTGCTCGTCATTCCCCACCCCGAGTACAGTCAGCACCTCCCGCAGCTCGGCTTTCTCGATATAGCCACTCCCATCCTGTTACGTATATGGTATAGTTTACATTACGTGGTATCGTAATTATAAAATATCAATTTTTATTTGAGTTTACGTAAAAAGTAGTATAGAAACACCAACGAAACAATATGACATTAGTCTCGTAAACGGGCAATCGTAGGCTAGCCAGTATCTCTGCCGTACTGGGAGTGTTTTCCGCCCGCCCAGTGTCATTAGCGCACACCGGGGAGTTTTTACGGGGTCGGTTTTAATTGCTTCACCTACAAAGTAAGCAGGAAGGCAGGCTGGAAAGATAGGCTGTCTACTACGAGTAGACTGCCAGTATTACGAGTGAAAACAATTTCTTCGAAATCTTGGGTAAAATCTATGCGATTTTGACATGAATTTGGGGTAATTTATACAACAAAGTACTAAGTAATAAATTTGAAAAACCGACAAAGGTAACAAATACATTTCTGTGGTGATATTTTTTGGCGCAGTGTTTCACCTATTTTTTTGTGTGTTATGTGTGGAACGTACACAGCACGAAAACAGACATTTAAGCAAACTTTCCGCAATATGTAAAGAAGTCTTAAAGTTGAGAAAATATTTCAGTACACTTTACGACTTCGTAAAGACTGCTGAAAGGCAAATTCCGCCTTTCCGTCACCTTTCAGTGTGCTTAAATACGACGTAAACATAGCTAATTCCATTACAAATCCGTAAACGTAGTTACCTTGTCAAAGCTCTTGAAAAGGTCCCGGACGTCTGCCACAGTAGCTACCTGGATGGCCTTCATGTCGGCAATGACCTTCTTGAACTCGTGGAACTCCAGAGAGCCGTTTTTGTCCTTGTCGTACTGTGCCATTATTTCCTGGGTATAATTTGAAGAAAAAAAAGGATATTCACACTCAGGTAACTATGATATAATGCCATATTGAATGGCTAAACCTGAAAGTTGTTAGATGAATTTGAATTGTCATGTAACAAATATGACATTACACACATGCAACTTGATATAAACACCCTAATATCTATACCTACATGGCCTCCGCAAACCGAAATATTTGAAGTAAACATACTAAGTTACAAACCCTTTTCACATTCAAGACGACTGAATCAAAACTCGTATTTATTACTATGATAAACATGTATATTAACGTATGTTTATATTTTCGTCATTAAAAAAAAAATACCGACCTTCAGAAACTCTGGGCTGGCTGATATTTCCATGTCCTTCAGCGCTGCCTCCAGCTCTTTGGAGCACATTGTACCGTCTTGGTTGACGTCGTACTTCTCGAAAACTGCCTTTGGATCTGCCATGGTGTCCTGTCAGCAATAACTGTGTCAAGCCTGTGATAACAAAAAAAGCAACTGAAGTCAAACGACTGGTTTACTGGATACCGTTCTTTAAATAATTTCATCAGGTTGGTAAACGAATGAATAGCAAAATTCTTTGATCACAACCATCTATTTTTCACGAGCCGACGTTTCCATGACCGTCTGTCATCTTCATCAGGGCAATTCTGACTGGTTTACTGTGCACTGACGCCAGATGTTACTTTGTGCATGGTGCACTAAAGGTGTAACATAGTTCATAGTATGTATGTCACAATTGCACTACGTTCGGAAATGCATTGTTAACAGTAAAAACTAGCTTAAGTGCACTGTGAACCAATGAACAGTGCACTGTGAACTATGTAACACCTTTAGTGCACCATGCACAAAGCTAACATCTGGCGTCAGTGCACAGTAAACCAGTCAGAATTGCACTGATGAAGATGACAGACGGTCATCGAAACGTCGACTCGTGGAAAAAATAAATGATTGTGATCAAAGAACTTTGCTATTCATGGATGCCGTTCTGTTTCTCACAAACAATTGAATGTAATTTCTCGGGTCCATTTACACAGACAAAATGCCTATATCATACAATACAACCGCCACAATTCTAGCATAGGCGACCTACACTAATTCACCTACTAATGTTTTTGTACATTCTATCAAACAAAACTCACCTTTACTAAAAAAAATGCTTCAGCCAACAGTCCTGAAGAAGGTATGAACGTGAATGTTTATGAGAATAGAATGTGGGTGTGGTTGGAATATATGATGACTTTATTTGGCAATCAAGATAATTGGCGTCATAAGCACAAAAGGTGATTCCGTGTGTATGATGTCATAATTTGTTTTCGATGTTGCTCATATTTGGATCTCAATGTATGTACAGAATGTTCCAGAAATAGACCCTTTATTGAAATGACCACGAAATGACCAATTAAGGCATATAAAAGCAAGGACAAGACACCATTCTTAACATTACAATAACAATATAATGGCATTGAAATTATCATATGCTCAACCTTGAGCATTACAATATCTTTTTTATATGTACTGCATTTATTTTTTGACGAAGTCCATTCATTCTCAGTAGCTTGACCAGTTGTCTTTCCGCGTAGTTATATTTGTATGCACATTTATATATAGTATACGTATATGCATTCCGGTGTTATTAGAGTACAATTTTATTAACATTTGAACCTCTTTTCTGTACTGTATACTAAACACATAGCTGCATTGAGGATGCCTAAAATAACATGTCAGGTCTTTCCATTGTGAGCTGATCACGCGATGCCTGGCGGCCAGGGTACCAAACCTTGGGTCGGCTTGGCGGTAATTTTTCGGCCCTGACCTTTACCAAGCAAAGGCGAGTTATACCACGGACCTATCTCCAGCTGGTTTCTTTGTATCCGCTAACTTCCTGTATTACGCTTAGCCTTCTGTCGACGAAGAAAACCTACTCCCCCGAACCGCGGTAATTGAGGCCTGCTTGGCGGCCCCAAACGCTCTCGGCGCCGAAAGGATAGCACCGAGCTCACGTTGGTCTGGTTACCATGCTAGATGCCTGGGGCATTAGGTCATTAACTTCACGTTTACATTAGCCTAGATCTTCTCTCAGAGTTTTATATCGTACTACTATATTGTATAGAATTTCCAACAACAAGACGTTGTCAGAATCTGCCATCTAGATTTCAATTTTGACAACATATGAAAGACAACTGAATTTTGCTCGCCCTGAATTTGCTACAACATCACTGAGTCCCTATTACATGAGGCAGTGAACCAGAAATGTCGCGCGCTAGGTCGAGCTGAAACAACGTGTACCTGTTGTGATGGCGGCCATTTTCAATCAGCGACAACTGCCGCAGGCATCTGGGAGGTTTGTGTCAGGTGTGACCTTCAAACGTTGTGAAGGACAAACGCTGAAAGCATCAAAAACTACTAGCAAGGGCCTGGTCTAGTCTAGCCTAATTTTCTTACACCACGGAAAACAGTTCGAACTCCTTTTGTGCTAAAAAAAACCTGAAGGCCGCCAAGCAAGGTTTTGTGCCAACTACAGTTGTACTACAACAAAGGCCTGTACGCATGATGTAGTTTCCAAGTAGATCGGACGGGAGCAAGATACTGTCTAAGACCTTTTTCAGTGGGAAAGTGGGAATATCCAATATTAATTAGAGTTAGACGCAAGATAAAACAAATATCACATGATTTCAGATAGCACCTTTTTATTTTGCACCAGTAAGCACTCCATTGAAAAAATACTTAAACAAAAACTGAAGAAACATTACACGTTATTGAACGTCCAAGGCCTTTGACGAGTTGTGACGTCTTTGCAGTGCTTTACTCGTATCAGTATGTGATCTTTATAGTGTATTATCCATTAATGTTTCCTTTGTAATGTATTGTCATTATGCCGTGGTAATGCACACACTTAAAAGGTAAAAATATCTATATCAGCATTTTATACCATCGTCGTCAACAAAGCATTTTATACGATCATCGTCAACAAAGCAAACAGTTGGCTAGAATTATTTTAAAAACTGTGAGATAATGATTATTTATCACACTTCTCCAATCTGTTGCTTTCTATAGCGTATCTACATTTCTAAGTACCTAGCTAACTCGACGATAGTGATCTTGCCATCGCTGTTAATGTCGGCAATGGTAGAGGTGACCGCGGCCAGGGCAGTGGCGTCTTCACTCTCCATGCCCACCGACTCCAGAGCTTTTTTCAAGTCGTCATCGTCGATGTAGCCATCTTTATCCTATCAGAGTACACACAGTTAGCATCTGTGTTAATAGAATTCATAGTTGTAGTGTTTATAGCCTTGTTCCAACACAAAATGGAAACTCACCATGAATTTTCATCAATAATAATTGTTGTTTTATCGCAAGTTCATACCCGTGGGCTAATTGCAGGAACAGAAGAAACATTTGGTATAAAAAAACAGACAATTAGTACATGTAGAACTACTGATAACTACTAAGTAACTACTAGTAGAAACTACTGGGTTTGACTTTTTTAAGACAGAGGAAGACAAAGGATCCCACTTATTCTGTAATTTGTGGGTTTTCGGGTGTTAAGAGGAGAGTTGTTTTCAATGTCCGAACTCGTCGACCGTCGTCAGATGAATGGCCCACTACGCTGACTTTCCGGAAGCCGGAAGCGTGATAACGACCATATATCGACGAGTTCGGCTTGCAAATTCTTGGTGAGTTTATTTTTGTGTTGAAAGTTCAAAGACAAAGTTCTAGACTCTAGTCTACAACAGTTGAGTACAGTTAGTTAACACGTGATACGTGTACATATGTTGTTCGCACACACGCAATCACATACCTACTGGCCGCCATATTAGTCGCTTAAATCTACGTGTCTCGTATCATCACATGTATGGAGTGTGGATCCAAATATTATATTGGCGACTTCAAACGTGAATTCTTGTAAAAAAAGAAGAAGATTTTTTCATCGTCTTACCATGTCAAGGTCAATAAAATGCTGAAGAACTTCTTCCCTTTTAGAAGCTTCGATGGCCTTCAGGTCAGTAACCAGGGACGACAGGGTCATGAACTCAGCCAGCTCCAGAAACCCGTTTTTGGGAGGCCTGTCGTAATGCTCTATGATCGCCTGGGGGCGTAGTGAAGAAAGGAATTAATGAGCGATTCTCCTATTTTGTCATCTTGTCTGCCAGACACCAGTGTGGTGGCATATTTGATAATTAGTTCCAAAAGTAGCCTCTACTAAGCGTCAGATGCACGCTGTGAAAGTAGAAATTGACCAAATAGACAGAGACGGTGGAGTTAGTAAGCTAAAGTGGGGAGATATCAAACAAGCCATTATGACTTTTCTCCACTCCTGCACGTTTACATTTCTGTTTTATTATGTTTTGTCAACTTTGCTTTTATAAAGTATGTGCAAATAAATAAAATCAAAGGATAGCTATATCCACTCGAGCTCCCCAGGTATGTCATATGTCTATTCGGCCAATGTCTACTCTTAAACCAGGCCTATTATAACTGCCATGTCGACAGAGGTACGGAAGTAAGGGGTTCTCCAGTGCCTTACATTAAGCAGTTCTGGCTTGAGTGTCAAATCCAACTCCTTCAGTGCTTCAGCCAGCTCTGTGTTGCTCATTTTGCCGTCATTGTTCTGGTCATACTTCTTGAAAACCGCTTCCATGTCGCCCTGTCACGGATAAAAGACTTGGTAAAGCTTCGACAAAAAGACCCTTCCCACTTATGGTCTCCATTGATTAGCACTGAGGCTTATAGAGTCGTAATTTGCCACCAGCTATCTACTCAAAATACTTGTGTGTAGGTTGGATTTTTCTTCTTCAGCAAGGATTTTTCTCTCAGTGTATGTAGCTATAGCTACAGTGACTGCTTTTCGGTGAGGTCTTTAGCATACACTCTCACGTAGTGTAACAGAAATACATGCAGTAATACTTAAACAAAAAGGACAACTCCTCCAAACTTCTATGGCGTCCACGTACCATTTATTAAGCTGTAGTAAACTGGCAAAGCCTATGTACTATATACTGGTGTGAAGAAAAACATGTTTTGCCGTCTTCTTTAGCAAGGGGGCTTCTCTCAGGATCTGCTTTCCACCCGAACGTATTCCATTCAACAAAGGGCAGATAGTGAGAAGCATAATCTTTTAAACAATCGATTCAAATCAAATCGTTTCACAGATTATCGAGACGTTCATCATTGTTCACTGTTCAACAATGATAAACTGATGACGTCCTGTAATGTTTGCATTTACTGCACAAACTGGTCAGAGCTAAGCCAAAAAGCAGTTACTCAAGCAACTGGATATGATTTTGGAAACGGTCAGACGTTTCATCTAGTATCCACTACCTTTCGTCAGTGACTGAGAGACCAGAGGAGAAATGCAGGTTTATAAATGCAGGTTTCCAGAGTAATTGGCTGGATGTATAACCTTCATCGACGTGGTCAGAGCTAATTTGACAGTTTTAACTCACCTTAGCTGAAGCCATAAGAGCGACGGAGAACAGAGTCAAATGTAGGGGGATAGTTGACCAAGTCATGGTGCTGCAATGACCGACCCTCAACGAGGTCAAGGGAGAGGTGAGGTGTATTTTGTGTCAGACGTTTAGAAGAAGACAATATCACGTATACGGTAAAGGCCAACCGCGGTCGGTTTGGTCTGATGACTTGAGGTGGTTCAACCACTTTGGGCATGTTGAGATATATCTCTTGTTTTGAAGCTGGGTCTGCTTGGAGGTTGGCCTGATCTACGTTTGCAATCTTAAATTTTGAGAAAACAAAAATACAACCATCAACCTTCAAACCATCATTTTATCGTTTTATTGACGACCCTAAAGATTCAGTGACAGATGGTTGATAATAGATCGTTGACACATTGGCTCTCGTCAACTGTAATGACTGACATATATCACAGATGATCTGTGAATTGTGTAAGGAATTGCTGATATGCTGATATGTAATAGAGTATATGATATATATACCATGAACGTATATGCATATTTATATATATATATAACCTACCTACTAGTTCTGTGGCTATCTGTTTTCGCCAGTGTATCTAATATGATCTTGTAAGGATCATCATTTTGCTTAAGGGCACCATATAGTTTCCATCATCAACATCATCATCACTAGTCATCAACATCATAACTATAAACCTTATAGAATGCACTATCAAATTTAGAACAATATCATATGTATGATTGTCATCTAAATTCGTAATCTCCATGTACTTGACGCGATGTGCCCCTATGTTATAATCTCCAAGCAGATCATATTGTGGCAAGGCAGTATCCCAAGAGTGTCCCTTAGCCACCTTCGGTGGAGATTACGAATTTAGATGACAAACATACATATGAGATTGTTCTAAATTTGATACTGCATTCTAAAAGGTTTATAGTACGTCATTAGACATAGTTTTCTGCTTTACATTAGATCTGTCACTCATGATACGGACGCTTGTTCTTCCGAAACTTATTCTTAATTTTCCTGGACGACGGAGAACAGTTCTTCCTCTTCTTGTTCTTCTTACGGCGGCAAGGATGAGCGTTCTTGGCAGTAGTGGTGTTAGGAGGAGTAGTGGTGTTGAAGTCGGGTGGCATTTCGGTAATGTTAGTCGTAATGTTGGCTGGAAATGGAGTGGTAACATTGGAAGGGGGTATCTCTGTGACGTTAGTTGTTGTATTAGACGGCACTGTGGTTGGTTGTATTGGCAGTGGAGTGGTTGTATTAGTAGGAGGCAGTGGTGTAACAGTGGTTGTAGTGTTAGACGGAAGTGGGGTGGTTGTATTAGTAGGCGGTGCTTTAGTTGTAGTGTTAGACGGCACTGGGGTGGTTGTATTAGTAGGCGGTGCTTTAGTTGTAGTGTTAGACGGCACTGGGGTGGTTGTATTAGTAGGCGGTGCTTTAGTTGTAGTGTTAGACGGCACTGGGGTGGTTGTATTGGTAGGCGGTGCTTTAGTTGTCTTAGTTGTCGTGTTAGACGGCACTGGGGTGGTTGTATTAGTAGGAGGTGGTGTTGTAACGTTAGTTGTACTGTTAGACGGCAGTGGTGTGGTGATGTTAGAGAGAGGTACGACTGTTGTTGTAGGGGGTCCTGGACAGTCGGTCTGGTCTGTCATACGGAACAAGGCGGCGTCGATTCCCATCTCTGTCACCTCGTACACAATATCCTTCATAACGTCCTCATCTGTAAACATAGAGATATACGACAATAATGATCATGATAAACCACTCATTAATTCATTCATTCATTCATTCGCCCAATGTTCAAGAGATGAAAAGGCTGTCATATGCTTCTCCTAGTGGGTCATTTAGTCCTCACTCTCAGTGAGTCAAGCTTGTCTCAATATTGCTATCATGATGTTTCTAACATAGGGATCGAAGAAGAGATGCTGTTACAGTCTAATTCATTTAACCCTTAGCCTTGGAGTGGCTTTCGAGTCTTATTACATGGTGACCAATAAGTAAAAAAAATGCTACCTTTACCAGGCAAATTGACCAATTTACATTTCCTAAAATGTTTTTTTTGTCAATTTTTAACTTATACATGTATATTTCTTATGTTGTTTTAACACTACAGAAACTTTCAGTGTGTCCTGTACTCACCTAGTGTCCGCTCCCTGCCCAGAATCCAGGCCATCTCGACTTTAAACAAGCCCCAGACGATGTTGATACATGACCAGACCACCGCATAGCCGCTGTAGTCCGTGTCCAGGACCCAGTACGGGCCCTTCGGCCAGAAACGGGAGAATCCGACGGACAGCTTCGCAGGCACTTCAGGATCCGGTACGTGGGCCCGGTACACAGCCTTGCTCACCCGGCCATGGCTGTCTATGCCTTTGGTAAAAACCTAAGGTGGAAAATAAAACAAGAACGAAGCAAAATGCTTAGTTTTTTTTTCCAACATGGGCATGCCAGGACTCGAACCCGGGAGTCGCACACTCTGCCGCTACGACACACGACCCCACCATTGTTTAGTTTTCATTCTGTCTACAGCATATGGTACTCGTACATTCACATGACGGTGGTACAGATTGTTTACTAATAAAAGTGATGTGTTATTCCTAAATCGAGAAGCTATCATAGCTGGCTAAAGAATTAAGATACAACTGCGCCCTGCTAATCAAAACAGTGTATGAAGGCTAGCAATTCATAAGAAGCTCCATAAATTACAATGTAATGGTTTAGAAAATGCTAGCTATTCGTCAAAACTTTGTCATTTGAAGCTAAGTCAATACTGATAGAGACCAATGTATAGTTCTATCCATGCTGCAACTACGTGATACAAAATATTTATCTAAGACACAGTTGCGAAGACAGTTCGTACCTTGATGCCGCCATGTCTGTGCAGGTAGTACCAGGCTTCAGAACACTTCAAGCTCCGTTCAAACGCGACCGGGAAGCGTGCGATCTCGTACCAACGTCCCATGTAACTCTCCAGACTAAAGTTTGCCTTCACGGGAAGGTCCGGGCACTTTCCTTCCGAGAACTTCCCGAATCTCTGCCCGTCAACAACAACCACCACCGCCGAGAGGGCCAGGAGGAGAAAACGCAACCCCGCCATGTTATTTTCTTCCAAGGTGGTTGACTCTAGCCTGGAGTCCAGCCTTGTTAGCTTTAGTGCCGGGGTAGCGGATCCAGGGGAGCGGACTAAAGCTAACAAGGCTGGACTCCAGGCTAGGTTGACTACGGTCCAAGAAACTGACGGGGTAAACTAGTACTGGACCCTGTCTGTTCACAGTGTACTTAACAGTCGGGTTCATTGACCTGTACTGCTGTGTAAGCAAGTCGCGAGCTGCCCTAGATTCCACTTCCATTTTCCAAGGGTTACGACCTCATTTTGTACAAAAAGAAAAGATATATATATAGAGGCATAACATCAGGTCGTGCTTTTTTTCAAATATCAGAGTAACTTTGTGTAACTTTGTGTAAATTTTTCAAATGATACGAAGATGGCAGTCCTTTATCATTGTCTTCAAGGAAAGTTGTTTTTCTCGACTTTCGTCTATTAAAATACTGTTGTCGTTATTAAAATCATAATAGTTGCCTCAAGTCAATCTGTGTGCATCTATTAATGTCACTCAAGCCTCAGAAAAGTTCATTTTACTCTTTATTTCTGTACTTGTTTTTGTTCGAGATAAAATACATTGTACATGTATATATTATACTCTTTCATACTCTATCACTCTTGGCGTGGTTACCGTGCGTGTAAAGCCACTTTAACAAGACTTACAAAGATAAACAAACTTACAGATGGTTTTCATCAAGGCAACGAACGTCCTGGCAACGGTTCAGGAACGTTCCCCGGTCATTCACCGGGAGCAGCTAGCCTGGTTACCAAACCTATTATAGCTCCCGAGTCCTACATCCTCTCTGCAATTGCAAGTAGAGGATGCAGGACTCGGGAGCTCCAATAGGTTTGGTAATCAGGCTAGGGAGCAGCCTGATATCTTAGATCTAATCGCACTCAATGTTGGCATGGGCACAGGAACAAGAAAATGAGACAGGCAAAACAAACACGATACAATAGACTAAAAGAAGATGCAATAATAAACAAGAGTTCCGAGATCTCATACATGTACCTCCATGAAATATGGGCTTGATATGTAAATGAAAATTTCTGCTTTAATTACGCAAATGACCTCTGCATTAACATAATATATGCATCGTGATGTTAACTTTTGATTAACTTACAGATGTCCCAAGTATGACATTCCCATCATTCACCATTAAGAAATCATAGAATTTTCGCATTAATTATGCAAATTAGGTCACATTTGCATAATTAGTATCTGTTGATGTTCCATCTGCCATAGGTTACATACATTACATGTATGAAAGAACTATAATGTAATTATAGAATTTCCTCATTAATTATGCAAATGAAGTTCCATTTGCATAATTTGCATCTAATTATGTACATCTCTCTCTCAGCTACCTACCTACCTACCAAAAATGATGAAAATACATTGTTCCTATCTGAACTTATTGGCTTTCAAAGATTTCGCCCGAAGGTCCCCTGCAGTTCCAGAACAAGCTGCTAGGGGGACCAAACCCACACCACTTATTGCTGGCAGGAAAATCTATCTGGCAACAAAAATTCAAGACCATAGCATGTTCAGGACAAAAGATACAAAAACCAGAAGTTCTGCTGCAGTACCAAGGTCATCCACCAGGAGGCCCATATTTGACCTTGACCTTCGTCTTCCTAAGACTTATCAGCATACCAAATATCATCACAATCCATCCAGGCGTTATGAAGTTATGCCGCCTACAAAGTTGCGGAAACACAGACAGACAGACAGACAGACAGACACACACACACACACACACAGACAGACAGACACACAGACAGACACGCCAAAAACAATACCTCCATTTTTCATGGAGGTAATAATACTGCTTTATTATTGGAAAAAAATACTAAAACTCGGATTAGCCCCACCCATTGTAACGTTATATCAAAGACAGACTTATGCAGGCCCTTGTTGTTGGAGTACTTAGGATTTGGTAGGTTTTTATTCTGTATTTGGTTCTACACCTTTTTGTACTTTGTTCAATAGTTGTTGCTATGCATTGTACCATGTACCATTGTCATGCAATAATCTTCCTTTTTAAATAGCTGTACTTTGTTGGCGTCTTCCCACCGCTAACAGCCAGGGGGCGCAGTTGTGAGGACAATAAAGCGTCTGCTACCCCAAGTCAAAAAGATTTTTGAATACATCAACCTTAACTCACACTTTCCATAGCGCTAGCTACGTACCATTATAACGATAAAAAATATAATAAAGATATATAACGTAAAATAACAATAGAACATTGAACCAATACAAAACAACCGTTCCTAAAATAGTCTATATCACGTTTGACTATTTTCAGGAACTGTTGTATTTCATTGTCATTGGTTTCATGTCGTCTTTAGAGCAGCAAAGTAAAAAGGAAGATATATTTAATAGTCTATACTGTAACGTTTAGGAAATTTACAAACTCTACAATGCTGATCTTCCCGTCCTTGTTCTTGTCCACGGTGTCCATGATGGTCTGCACGATGTCTTCTGTAACAGGCTCCTCACGGAAGTACTCCTGAAGTCCCTGCCTCAGCTCCTCAAGATCTATAAACCCACTTCCGTCCTGAAGGGGAGATGTGTTACTATGACTACTAAGTACCTAATACCAGCTCAGAAAAGAACACGAAATAGTCATTGAGTAAAGAGACTCTTTTTACATAACCAAGTCTTTTATTCAGCCGACGTTTCGGTGACCGTCTGTCACCTTCCTCAGGGCAGTTCTGACTGGTTCACACTGCACTGCAGCACAGGTGTTGCTGCTATAGATGCATTCCCAAACGTACAATATTCACATATGCGTGGTGAATAAAAGACTTGGTTGTGTAAAAAGAGTCTCATTACTCAGTGTCTTACCAATCTGATGAAACTATTCATGGAAGAAATACGTAGTCATGCATTCAAGTACCAGAGTTATCAACCAATTAAAGGATCGAGATGTTCAAAAACTCATTCTTTCCTAGAACTATCGCAGGGTGGAACTCGCTGTCCTAGATCCTATAACTCGTTTTTTATGAAGCATGTTATGACATACTAAAGACCGTCGTACCTTATCCATTTTGTTGAAGGTTTTTAGCAGTGTCTCTGGATCGACATTTCCGATGCTTTTGAAGTCTGCAACTAAAGTGTCAAACTCTACCAGGTCCAGTCTGTTGTTACCGTGTCTGGAGTACTGATCCATGATCGCCTAGGACAATTAAATGGTAGGAATAATTATGGTCAAAATATTTTGGAAACAAATATCATACTCACCCCTTCATTCAACTAAACTTTAATTCATTTCTATTGATTAAATTTAATAATAACAATAAATATCTCTAGAACATATTTTTAAATATGTATAAACTGTACTTGCAACTTAAGTGTAATAATTTTTAATTGAAACACCAAAATGTCCGATGCACATAGTAACTTGTAAACAGGATTTTGTCTTACTTGCCTTGCGCCCTCCTTTTAGTGTTGTATCGAGAAATAAAGGGCTGACCTGGGGTTTACCAGGTAACCTTTCATCTTGTATATTCATTGTAATAAAGATGGTTTTAAACCCCTAAAAACACTTTCATCAGTTTGATTAATTACCCTTATCCTGCTGTCATTCCTGGCACAATATTTTTCAATAATTTCACGTCTTAATTAGATCATAGACCCCCTTTTTTGCCCTGCAGTGGCATAGTTACTTCCACATTCGTTGCGTTTCGCTGTGGTGTGATGCGTTGCACGAGAAATACCCCAAATCGTACATATACAGGGTGCTAAATAGATGGTACTGTATGTGCAGAACAACAATTGTTGTGCTCCGCAGGACAAGGGTTCTGGGAATGCTATATACTGTATCTATTATCTACCTTAATCAGCCCTTCCGTCGGTACGGCATCAAGATCCCAAAGAGCGTCCTCCAGCTCAGCCGTACTGATGTACCCGTCATGGTCGGTGTCAAACTTCCGGAAGATTTCTTCCACGTCTGGGGAAGTGACTCTAAAACGATTGGGTGATCCAGAGATTATGTGCTGATGACAAGAAAGGTAACATATGCAAAGCAACTGCATAATGTTTACCTCCGCATATGGTCTTCTCTGTTAATTCGTACTCAAACACATTCATATTATCATATGGTCAGACAGGAGTCTAAATCCTTCCTGCTATAAAATCACAATTATGTAACCCAACACTAGTTACCATGGTGACAGACGCCTGGTTCAGGTCATTACTTTATTGGATTGGAGTAGACGAAGAAGAGGAAACGGATCAAACATTAAGTTTGCTTTTGTGTTAATATGGTTATAATTACGCTTGTCTTGTCAATATACTATCCTATTAGAATATCTGAAATATTGCAGAAAGAATTGAGGGTGGGTTCACGCACCTGATAGTTGGAAGTGGAGCCGATGGCACAGTCGGGTCATTCACATCACACACCGCGGCCATCTTCGGATCTACAAACAGCAAAAGGGCTCCGCCTCTGAGGCGTCAGCAAAAAGGGAACAAGTCACGTTGATTCTGTGTGCTCTGTTTTATAGTGCGTAATCCTGCTATGTGAAGCTTACTTCCATCAAAGTTGTTGTTTTTTTCAGTTGAAGATTTTCTTATCACAGTCGACCTATTGTGTTGCGTGACCCATAACAGACAAGGTTAACACTGTGAACTCAGGAATTACGGAACCCGGAAATAGCCTTGACATGCCAAGCTTACATGCCGACATACAAGTTTACGTGTACGTTTACCCAAGATTATCATTCCCATTGTCGAGTTCCAGCTTTATACATTGTGCTGCAAAGACATAAGCTAGCCGTTTTTACTGTATCCAGTGTTCAATAGAGGAAAATCTCGTCTTTCTAACTGAAGATTCCTGTAATACCACAATGAAAGCAGCGCCGCCATTTTGAGTGAGAAGTTAGTGTAATGTTGTCTGCAAGTTGGTACAATGAGGAAGCGATTACTCAACAGTAATAAATTTGCGCTATGAACGGTTATGTCCTAATGAGTATCATGCATTTGTAATTAAGCCCCTACTGATTGCAGGTGACTGTTGGTCTCACCTTGCTGAAATCTTTCAAACCTTGAAGCCTCAAGGACATCCAGGACTCGTAACTTTGCTCAGGCAGGGAAAAATCATTAATAGTTTAGTATATACATGAGGGTGTTTTTTTTTAAATGATGATTCGTACAGACATGTGTTTGTGTTTGCTACGATCTTCTGTAAATAAGCTTTGAATTATCTGGACAAAACGCAACAGATATTCAATGTACTAGACCCTCTTTTGTACAGTTAACGGTTGCTCCCGAGGTTATATGTCGCCGGTGGTTCAACCACTCGTTATTATATTGGGACCAGATTAAATGATAACAACAAAAACAATTTACCTTGAGGGAGGGTGCATGGTACGCCATTTGTAAACTTCTGCAGACGACATTTAGTTTTAGTCTTTGGCTACGGATATGTTATGACCAATGATTAGAGTGTGTGCACTCAGGCTGTTTTGCTGCTAAAGTTGTTCTCTAAATCGCTAATTGCTGATATCCTTATTCAGCCGTTCATGATTGAACAACATGTTCGTTGGCCTATGTCAATGATGCTGTGAATTTCTTTGCTCTACTGTTTTATTTTTCTCTCCATGGATGCTAATGAGTACTATGGAATATTTTCATGCTAGATGATTATGTTTACGGAAGGAAACATATTGTTTTTGCCCTGTTTCCTCTTCTTCTTCCTCTCCAAACCAATAAGGTCAATGACCTGAACCAGACGTCTGTCACCATGGTAACTGGTGTTGGGTTACATCATGTTGCAATTTTATAGCACGAGGGATTTAGACTCCTATCACCATATATATATTAATGTGTTTGAGTAAGAATTAACAAAGCAGACCATATGCGAAGGTAAACATTAATAGTATGCATTTGCTATGCAAATGTTACCTTTCTAGTTAAAACGTCAATTTGTCAACTTTAATGGCAGCCATAACGTCACGTGCAAAAAAACACTGAACTGTTGATATAATTTTACATTTAGATAAACATTCAGACACTACAAAAAACAACACCAGGGGTATTTGTTAGAGCGTATACTGAACTTTATTCATACCACTAACAGGTATTTTGGTAGTTTATAAAACACTAAGAATGGATGAACATATGTCCAAACCTTCAGTTTACACTTCCCTTAATGTTATTAAATAAAACGTTTGTGCATTTGTTTTCAATTTTGTGAATAAAAACATATAAACAACGGCTTTAAATTAAGAAAATTAAAAGGTAAATTGACTACTTTTACATGATCTTGAAGCCGTTTTATCAAGTCTACATGTCATCCGTTTTCACCTGTTTTGCATTTTGCCCGTCATTCAAACGAAAAGCGTCTCAGCCTAGCGCCTGGAAATCAGAATTGAAATTTATTCAGAATTTACAGTAATGTGTGTCATGCATGCTGTGAGTGGATGAGATTTGCTGGTCTACTTTTAGTCGGACTGATTATAATTAGGCAATCTGATATACAAATGGTTGGAATTGATACCCCCCTCCCCCAGATTTGAGGACAATGTAAACTGTAGTTTCAGAATATGATAGAAATGGCAGCATTTAGCAATGTCTTAAACTAGTCGTTTTATTCTAATCTATTCTATCCTATCCTGTTCTATCTATTTCGCATTTAACTTTGGTACTTTTGAAGCACCCAACATTTGTCGTGACCTTAACGTTCATGAAATATAGAGGAATAAACGAAATAAGAAAGTTCCCCTTAAATTTGGTAACACAATTCGTTGCCAAGCTGGCGTGAAATTACGTCTTCTTGTCCAGAATTGTATTTTTACTACTACCATAGTGTAAATTCTATTTAGAGCCGTTTGCCAATGTTCTTAGATGACACCATTCACCTTGTTATTCGGAAACCGTTACTACATAAATCCTATTGCTATATTTATAATTCTAACTGTGATCTAAATTCGTTTGTTTAGTATAACTATCATAGTTACTACCTGTAAGAATGTATCGCTAGATCTAACCATGCACTGTATTATCTCTTGGTAACCGTTTTGGATCTTGAAAGAATCTGGTATAATTCTAGCTAGAGTTTTTTTTGGCACGAGTTCACTTTTCCAGGATGTGTATGTACTGGGCAAACTCGGCAATGTCGATCCGGCCGTCGGCGTTCTTGTCGGCGCCGTCGATGACCCACTGGACGATCTCGTCCGTCACCGGCTCGTCTCCGAAGAAGTGCTTCAGCCCGGTCTTCAGCTCCTCCGGGGTGATGAACCCGCTTCCGTCCTAAGAAACATACGATTAAAGTCAGATCGCAACACTGCTACCCTCTGGGACCTGGTGTGATACGCCGAAGGGCGGTTATACGGGCTATACATACACAGATACTGAACCTGTTAAGTCATCCACCTTCACAGATACTGAACCTCTCAAATCCACCTTCCTCCCGGACACCATAAAGCTCTAGAACAGTGCCACAAGACAAGTTGTAACTCTTAGTGACAGGAACAAATTTAAGATCTGTATCATCCTACCCATGTCTCTGATCTTGTGCCCTTGCTATTGGGAAAGGCACTTTAAACGACATTCCTCACTTCACTCAGGTGGAAATGAGTACCTAGCTTCGGTTAGGGACGTCCCTCGGATAGAATGTTAAATGGAGATCTCGTGTTTGGGGAGAGCCACGTACACCCCACGCACGTTAAAGATCCCATCACACTTATCGAAAAGAGTAGGGGACCTTCCCCATGTGAGTGGTTCAAACCTTACAGTCCGGTCTTACGCAGCTTATACATGTACATACATGTTCTTTACATAAGGTAGTTTTACCTTGTCGATTTTCCGGAAGGTCTCCAGCAGTTCTTGTGGATCTGCGCTGCCGAAGTGCTTCAAGTCTCCCACCAGCCGCGTGAACTCCTGCAGGTCCAGCTGGCCGTTACCGTCCACGTCATATTGTTTCATAAGGACCTAAAATGGTAGAAAAAGGAAAATATATTCCCATAGCCTTTTTGAGGGGAAGAGGTTGCTAGTCTACTGTGTCACTAGGGTATGGCATAACCTCCTGTGCAGGCCTCCGGCGGGTGGGAGTTTTGATACTGCGTTTTGTAGAATTTTTAATGCGCCATGGGTACAAACCCTCTCTGGGCGGCTGGTTGTAGGATGGCCGGCAAAAGAACGCATTAAAACTCTACAAAACGCAGTATCGAAACTCCCACCTGCCCGGAGGCCTGCACAGGAGGCTAGGTACGACATTGAAAGGCGGCCGAAACCCATCCCTCTCCTTCAATCACCTTTTACCTCCCCAGCCGAAAGCAGGTACCTAAAAAAGGATACAAAAACTTGAAAGATGTTTCAGGTTTAACCATCCAAGATGGCGGACAATACTTACGTCATCGCCACATGAGTGCAAAACCCCACTCCTTTCTAGCATATTCCCAATTCCGACACTTGATTGACTTATTATGATGATCCATGGATGTGCTGAGGGTAGTTCGGTACATTAATCCATTACTAGTATATGGAGAGTCTCCTTGTGGAGGTTAAAAGGATTAATACAATGATGGATGATGACAACTTCATGACTTCTGATTCGCGGAATTCCCTGGAGAGGAAGTGTGCACACATGGAGATGGATTGGTTATCATCTTCAAGCAATTTCCTTGTTGCTTGTTATACCCATTACCCTTTTTTATATATTCCAACATGTACTCACAAGACGTGGTGACGGCACACTCAAGTTTTTTTTCAACTTATATTAATGCTGTCACCAACACAGGGGACAATACAATACTCATTTTCAACTGAGCGAAGTGAGGAAAGTCGTGTAAAGTGCCTTTCCCAAGGGCACAAGATCGGTGGCACGTCAGGACTCGAACCCGGGACCTCTAGGTTCTGATCATGAGTCGAGCACTGCCGCTACGCCACACGACCCCACCACGCCACCTATTTGTCGTGGTTTGTACACCTTTTAATTGGTGCTTTAGTGATAGAAACAACGCCCCCCCCCCCCCAAAAAAAAAGAACTATCGTAAAGGAACGTACAAAACAAACCGATACGTCTGTTAGGAAATTAGATGGATCTATTGACATAGTTTGCCAATTTTTATAACTAAGTGCTTACCACCGCGTGCGCCGAGCCATCTAGGTCGATGGTATTAAAAGTGGCATATACTAAAGAGGCTGGCGTGCCAATCTAACGTAACGGCACGCGCCATGAAGTGCCCTGGGAACAAGACTCGTCCAGGCCAACCAACAGGAAACTGCTCTCGTTCCACGAGTGGGCACTCAACTCAACTCTTTCGATCGATTGAGATTAATAAAAATCAATCCAAACTGATTAAACTCCTACAACCGTCTGTGTTTAAGTGTGTACAGCAAACGAAGAACGATATTTCGTTTCGAAGCTACGACTTATTATTCTAGATCGTTTCCTTGCACTTTTGCCGAACAGTAGCCGACTTCGTGCCGAACACCAGCCAACCATAGCCGACCTTGCTCCCGACCTACTCCTAACCATGGGGGCTCGGCAGTGTTCGGGAGGCCATATTCGGCGCTTTATGCTGAGGTCACATTTCCAAACCGGGGCCTGGCCGGACTGTTTCAATTAACGAAAAATGAATGATTTATATCAATCATAAACGCAAACAGTTCCCATTATTTTTTTTTCTATTTTTTTGTGCCTTGTTGTCTTCTATTCCATACTTTTCGTTCCATAAGACTGCCCGGCCGGGCCCCGGTTTGGAAATGTGACCTCAGCATAGGCAAGAATCCCCGACAACCTTATGTCAGAAGACAGCTAAATTCTGTTCGCCGCAACTGTCCCAAAATGCCCCCAGCTTTAGTTTAAACCCTGTCGCTGGCTTGACAAATCTGACCGGGCCCCCGTACGTACGATGAAAACCAGGCATGTCGATTTCTGGCAAGCAGCCTGTTCATTATATTAAGTACCCCTTGCAGTAGATGGTAAACCTTGAGTGGATTAGCAAATCTATCATACACGCCCGTCAAATTGATTAAATCACCACGCTGTGACAACTCTGGCTTAGGCCATGTTGATTTGATTATATGGATGACATCCGCGCGCGCATGAATTTTCGGCCGTTTCCAAAAAAAAAAAGTTTTCAACCATACTGTAAATCGTGCAAAACAGTTGCTAAATGAGCAAAAATACACCATAAGTTGCAAGGAAAACATTTAGAAACGATACCAATGTCGTAGAATGCCAAAATCAAAGGAAAAAAGACAAAAATGTAAAGAAATGAATTCGAAGAGTAGATTATTCGCCATAACATATTCTGGGCCATTTGTTCAACCTTCATGACCATGTAGATTTCATAGTGAAAGCAACTTTTTTTTTTTGCAAAACTTTTTTTTATTCGCACGCGCGCATCAGTTTTGGGGTTCCCAGAGGATGTCATCCATATAATCAAATCAACATGGCCTTAGGCGTACTATATATATCAGAAAAGAGCCCAACCCATTAAGAACTCTCACACAATTTCTATTACTTAACAGTTATAATGGAAATGGAGTAGACAATCGCGTTCTGTCAAGTTCGATAAGATAATCATCTTAACAGAGGTGGCGAGGCGTAAATATGAAGTCTATTACGTCTCATCCATTAAGGCTAACGGTGCGGAATGAGCTCACAGATGGGCGAAGCTGCACACGCATACGTAATACTTAAGCTTAGGTCACATTTCCAAACCGGGGCCCGGCCGGGCTGTCTGTATGAACGAAAAACTAACACTTCATATCAAGAATATACAGAAATAGTGCCCACGATTATCATCTAAAATCTTTCTGTGTTTCCTTGTCTTTTATACCATACTTATCGGTCCATAAGACTGCCCGGTCGGGCCCCGGTTTGGAAATGTGACCTCAGCATTACTGCGGTTTAAAAAAAAAACATTTTGTCCATTTTCACAGAAAGCATTGACTCTTTAAATTTAAAGGTAAGAATGTTGTCAAAAGAGCGGAAGAAATAAAATGGCTTTTTCATGTCAAATAAATTTTTGTTCATCACTTTAAGCTTATCCCTTAGGGAAAGTGGGTAGCCACTCAATTTTGGTCAACGCGCTTTGTGGACAGAATACTTCTTACATTGTATCCCCTTTCCTGCTTTATTCTGTCTTTCTCGAGTTCCTGTATCCATTTACAGCGTTATTTACCCAAATCCTTGGGAATTAAAAAGACGCTGAAGCTTGCATGAATGATGACAGATACGTTGCACAATTGCTTAATGTTCCACAGAGGAAACAAAGTTACAAATTGAAGCAGCAATGACATAATACTGCCGGTGTACCCGCTACGATTTGGGAAAATGGGAAACACAAATTTCATCCCTTCCGCTGTCGATCTGGTAATTTCAATCCACAAGCTGATGAGGAAACTACTAGACAGTGATTGATACCATGCCACATCTGTGCTCCCGGCCGGTAATTCATTTATGTAGGCCACTAATTGCCTTCAGTGTATCTAATATTGCTTATTACAAAACATATTCTATTTCAACATTGCCCCAGTGCCTCAGCGCACGATGGGTGTTCTACGCATGCATTCAACGTACGATGTTTTTTGTCAGGGAATTTGCTAATAGAATTGACCGTGGACAATTATGATCTATATGACAATATGACAATTTTTGTCATTTGTTGACTGTCGAATTTTGTACGACAAACCCACGACTAGCCTACGAATGTACCTAATCTGCTGTCGTAGAAGGGTCTTACAACGAACGTGGCAGAGTCAACATAGCATGTCAACCTGTTTCTCTATTTCATACACTTAAGCTCTGTAAAAAAAACATCATATTCCTTACACAACCAGATAAACCTTCCATCAAAAACATATGTTATTTTACCTCTACTATGACGGAAAGCCGAATATAAAAGTTGAGTTTATTTCATAGTTATTTTTATTTTGTATTTGGTATTTGTTAATAAAAAAAAGTGGACCGGATTGAGCTTAGCTGAAGCAATGGGAGAAATGGAGGACAGAGCTAAACGGAGGAGGATAGTGGATCAAATCATTTTGGCCCAACGACTCTCAACGAGGTCAAGGGATAGGTGAGGTGAGATTTTGCTAACTATATCTGTTCGTGATGCTTTGTAGTATCCTATACTTAGCATAGCCTCCATAGCATGCCAAAAACTGGGGGTTTAGGGGGTCTTCATTGTCTTTTGGAGCTTTTATGTGCTATTTTCTGATTGCATAAAGACAACATAGCCGGCCTGGTTTGAAATACCCCCGTTTTTTGGCTTATCAGAAAACAGCCGAAGACCACCAAACCCTCAGCTCTATAAGCCTGCTACGGAGGCTATACTTAGCCCACTGTGGCGCAAAATGTGCAATAAAAGAATTGTTGAAACCTTACCTCGATCAGTCCCTTGGTCGGCACGACCTTGAGTTCCTTGAGCGCGGCCTCCAGTTCCGCAGTGCTCATGTGTCCGTCACGGTTCACGTCGTACTTCTTAAAGATCTGCTCAACGTTTGCCATCTTTCTTATTTTTCTGTAATTAAAGAGAAAAATATAATTTTTCTTTCCTTCTGTTTTGCAATGTGAAACAGGAAGACAAAAACTAAATTGCAGTTTGCTTTTCCTTGATATATGTTATAGTTGGGTCCGGATTCTAGAATGGTACATAGACGGAGTATTGTATTTTGGACTACCTTTTGTCGGAAATACGTCGTACATTTAAGTGACCTACAAAGATCTGGCACAAAATAGAAAAAATATTGCCACGCCCCGTCAGCAGCCTTATCTAAACTAAAGATGAGACAACTGCAAAACTAGAGTCTACTTCGCATTTATGAAACGGATATCAACTTTACATCAATGAAAAAATACTTACTTCATCACCCAAATACTAAAATGCCCGCGCTCTTCCTATAATTCCAATATTCCTACCTACCACAATACTTTGTAATACGCTTTGTCCGCATACCGGTACAGCTTATATTAATTTCGTTATCATAAAGCACATTTTACGCCTTTATCTCACTCACAAACGCACGTGGTGGTATACTTCAGTACTTCAGTAAAAAAACCAATTGCCAGCTGTGAACTTACCGTTTTGAACAAGTTGCGTGGAAAAAAAAACTATCCTTCTGTAAGCGAAGATGAATGCCGGTGAAAACTATCCTCCTGTTACCAAAAGTGAAATCCCTTCGCAGCGCGCAGTCCTTTTATTGCCCCTCCGGCGAGAGGGGGAAAGTACGTTTTTCATAGATGGGGGAGAAAGATGGGTTTCAAGAAACAGGTTCAAAGTGTGATAAAACATCACGTATCATAACTTAATCTATATTCATCAGTGTCAAATGAATTTAAGTAGCGGATTTCATTTGTATCTAAAGTTTACCCTATACGGACCCTCCCCGGGTATGAATAACGGTCTGTCCCCGACATCTGGTGCAGTGCATATTTTTGCACGGAGCAGAAGGTCAAAGTGCAATTAAGCAAATCATCAGTAATAACCCAGGCCGTACTTTTAAAGCATCACGTGCGGATCACGTGATAACGTTCATCAGGCGCGTGGCAATCTAGTAGAGTGCGGTCAAAAAGGGGCGTGTCCGTCAGAGTGTGACACGCCTGCCACATTTATTGTTTTTAGGGTTTGACCTAGGAAAGTACCAATTACTCTCAAGGTGAGTTTGCGGTCGACCTCATCACGCTAAGTGCACGGCCGCACCGTTTCGCACAGATCCCCACAGGCCCGTGCAATATGTCTGACGAGATTGGCACCCTTTTGGTTTAGCCTCCTGTGCAGGCCTCCGGGCGGGTGGGAGTAGCCTCCACCAGGCCTTTCTACGGGAATACGGATCGTAGAATTCGGTAAAAAAAGAGAGTAAAATTGGCCAAGGGAGTCCGGCCGCGGGGAGGTAGTAGCGCGGCCTGTCAAACCTACAAGGCGGCCAAACTCCCCTAGCAATTATTCTCCTATATATTGCCAGCATAGTTAGTCTGGTAGAGACTAGGGTTGGAGTGTCGATACTGCGTTTTGTAGAGTTTTTAACTCGTTCTTTTGCCGGCCATCCTACAACCAGCCGCCCAGAGAAGGTTTGTACCCTCCGTGGCTGGTTGTAGAATGGCCGGCAAAAGAACGCGTCAAAAATTCTACAAAACGCAGTATCAAAACTCCCACCCGCCCGGAGGCCTGCACAGGAGGCTAATCCTTTGGTGGTGATGCTCTCTGTTCCATGGTTAGATCTAGATTAGCTCTAGTTCTGCTTGCCTGGACCAAAATGCAGGCAGGAGCATATCAGGTCATTTTACGGTCCTCGGCACGGAAAGTGATGAGTTGAGATGATGGCATCAGCTTTCTATTCTGACAGCCATGGATGGGGGTAGTTGAGTGCAAAAACTCGGTCAAAAGCCTATCCGCCATTCATATACCACTACTGTAAAAGGCTACTAAGCGCAAAAGGCCATATATTTTCACGAACGATGGAATTGATAGAAGTCTAGCTGTACACCGTTGTAAATAAATTCAGATGCTCATCATTCTAATGGTATTTCGATTTTTAAAGTTCGGTTTGATTTAAAACTGTGCCAGAAGTCTTCCCAGTAAAGCTATTTTATTGACGGGAGCGGCTGGCGGTATGTATCGATGTACGCTGGCGGGCGATCGGTACTCGACACAATATAATGAGTGAAAGACCTTTATTGTATGTAATATATCTATAGTAAAACTACATATATACAGGTTCGGTTTCTTCTTGCTTCTTTAGACAGTTGTAAATGTAAGAACAGATGGAGTTTATAGTACGAGGATTATCGAGTTTCATGAGGAAAGTGAATTTTTCTTTTCTATCTAAAAATCTAAAACTAGGGAAATAATATTGTATACAATTGAAGAGAATCTTTCTCTCATTATTATATAGAGTACAGTCTACAATAAAAGGACTCTCGTCTTCAATCTTATTTAGGTTACAGTAGTGACAAATTCTTTGTTGCAGAGGAATGTGGTTGTATAATAAAATCACTTAAAGGCACCCCATGCAGTTTTCAGGGCTTGGAACCCCGATTTTTAAAGGTCAATATTGTAGTCATTTATCTACGTATATACATAGTTAAAACCACACTATCCCAATGTATATTGACCATAGCTCTTCTGACGAAAAATGGTTACTGGAAGGGCCCTGGGCTGATTTTTAGGGTACCACCCAGAAAATAAAGGACTCATACCTCGAGGCTTGTTTCCGCAGTGTCCAAAGTATGAAATACTGATTGAAATGTGCTAATGTGGGGCAGTATGTGTCAATTTCATAAATATTGTGTTACGCCGAACGGCGGTTATACCGGCTATACAGATACAGAACCCCCTCAAAATCAATTCTTCTCATTATGCCTGTCTCATATATGCATTTCATGAATGTATTATTTGATTATTGTGATCACAGTCGTCCGTTACCTCGGTTGACGTGTTCTTTTTTGATGACATAATTGGAATTCCCGAAAGAAAAAAAAAGATAACTCATTTTTTTAGTATCGGTGGTGAATATGTCTGCATGGTTTTACTGCCAAAAACATGTCAATTTCACTTGAATACAAAAACGGTATCTTGTGTTTCCGTGCTTTTCAAAAGGTAATGTATTATCATCCAACGTTATTATAAATGGTTATATGGTTAGAATGCAGGTATTTGTTTGTCTTAACTTCAGAGAACCGTATCTAATTGAAACGTATGAGATTTTTAAAAAAGGCAACAATAAATACAGAGGCGTGATTTTTCCAGTATTGACATCCTATTTATTCAGAATAAATGATCCATTTAGCTTGAATAAATAGGAAATCAGTAACTTTATTCAGCATAAGTATGTTGTGACCTTAATCCTGCCCCTGTGCATCTATCTCTTTGAAGATGAAGATCCATTTAGTCAATGAATCAAACCACCCAGGAAGTTTGTATGCAAGGTTCTAGAATTTCAATGTGCATTGTGATCTGTATAGTGTCTTTCTCATCCCCTCTCTCCTTCCCTCACTCTTTCTTTCCATCCTCTCCTGTTCTCTCTTTCTGTCTCTATCCTTCCTTCTTTCTAGATGTTTGTCTGTCTGCCCTTTACTATATCTCCTTCTCACCTCCACCCCACTCTTTTTGTTTCCATCCTCCCCTGTTCTCTCTCTTTCTGTCTCTCTCCTCTGTCTAGCTGTTTGGCTGTCTGTCCTTTACTATCACTCCTCAACTCCGTTTTCCTTCTTGGTCTTTTCGAGCCAACACTAATCCCTTATAATTAAGACTGCATAGGACAGGCATGCTACTGCCCCATAATATCGAAATCATAGCTTCGCTTCTACTTCTAGTTGTCTCGACATGTGAGGGCTCTGAGCCTCTCCATGGAGCCAATGGGTCCCTTCATTTTTAAGAAAAGACCTTCTCCTTAAACATAACCGCAATGAACTCGTCGGCCGTCAGTGTGCCGTCAGAATCCGCGTCTGCAAAATTTACCATCGACTCCGCTTTCTCCTGGCTGAAGTTCTCCTTGTAGTACTTCATGGACTTATCCTGCAGCTCTTTCACGGTCATTTTCCCATCTCCGTCCTGAAAAATGGCAAACGCCACATCTTATAAAGCAGTTTAAACTGTAATTTCCAACGCAAGAGATTTGGACGTACCCAAATTTTCGACTGTGCAACTCTAGTCTTTGTCAAGGAATGAGCAATCCACCATTTGTCTCATTGTTTAGAACAGAAGCCGAACTGTGTAGAACAAACTTCAACCCAACACAAGTACCACCAAACGATTTTGTTAAATATAAAGGCTGATATCAAGCCCAATGATTAGCTAAATACGCCTACTTCGGTCTTCACCGGTACCGCGGTATGCTGAATCTTATAATTTAGGATGCAGAAAAACAAAGGATGAATATATCAGAACTAACCGCGTCGATTTCGTTGAACATCTGTTGAAGACCTTTGATCTGCTCCAATACGTCAAGGAAATGCTTAAACTCGTCTTCGCTAATCGTCTGACCGCGGTCCTCGTCACAACTCTTCAGCACCGTCTGAAAAAAGACGTCCCAACATAGAATCAACAAAAGGCTCCGCTCCTGAGGCCTCGCCAAAAGTCTGTCGACACTTTTTACTCATGTGTTAAGTTTCTAATGATTAATTAGAAGATTGAAAGATGACACCAAACTAAAGGAATAGAACAGACACCAGACAATGGGAATATATATTCTCTTAATAGTAGTGAGCCAGAATCGATGATATAGTTATATAGACGGAACGAACGAACAAACAAATATCGAATTGGATAATTGAAGCTCAAATTGACCTCAAAGGAAAAAAATACAACATTTTCTTGCTTTAAAGTACATCGCTCGTCCACATCATTTACTTCTTGTTATAAGACTACAAAAGATGTATACTTCTACGTTACACTCCCTAGTTCTAACATAATCGAAGCTGTCACAGTTAAAAAGAAGCAACTCATATGAGAACCTTTATGAGTGCTGAATTATTACCTCAATGAACCCCGAAGTGGGATTCAATCCCAGGTCCCGCAGAGCTGCCGTGATTTCGGACCTGTCGATGGTCCCGTCACCGTTCTTGTCGTACTTTCTGAAAACCTCAGCTGCCATGTTGTCCTGGGAACAGAAGAGATCAACAAATTCTACATCTATCTTAAGAAAAAAGAAATATCAAATAGCTTCTTTGTTTCCAATTTCTTTTATTGCACTATTTCAAATGTACATCAGCAGGGGGAGAATAACTACGTCCCCCTGAATTGAGTACCATGTCCATACTAATTGCATCCAGTCAAGTCAGGTTCAATTTATATTGGAGACCCATAAGGTGAGTTATTGTAAAGTCTGATGGCGCAATACAGGAAAGACTGCTGCAGTCGTTTGGTTCTTGCATAGGGAACTGTAATGTTATGACCGTTCCTCAGTACTCTTCCTACAACCACATGTTTCATAAGAGCCGACGTTTCGATGACCTTCTGTTATCTTCATCAGGGCAATTATGACTGCTTCACTGTACACTTTTTTTTATTCATTCACATGAAAAAAGGATACAGGACATGGTGGTGCCTCACTCAAGTGGAGAGCACTTATGTTGACGGCATCACTAAATAAATACATATAATAAAGAAAAGAAACAATCGCAACTTTAAGACAGGCAAAAAACAGTAAATACAAGAAATTCAAGAGCGCAGGTCCGGTTCCCCACCCAATGATAAATGATGGCAAAGAGGACACAGTACATAAATAACAAAGGGGGAAATTGAAATCTTTTAAAAACGTTCTGATGTGGTGATGAAGTTTTGGGTAAGTGATAATATATTGGAGTTAACAACTGATGAGAATGCGGTACTGCCACGGAGTAAAAGGTCAGTTTTTGCGTTGTCAGAAAGAGTTGTAAAATCTAAGGTGTGTCCTATGAGCCTGGATAGTTTGCCAAGGAGAGTAGATCGTTGGGAGTTGTACATGGGGCAGTGGAGTAGGTAATGTGGGACGGTTTCACATTGGCATCCGCAGGTACAAGCTGGGCTGTTCAATAATCCACGAGTAAAGAGACTGTAGTTCAGGCTGCACGTGCCAATGCGAAATCGTGCCATAAGAGCACCAGAATAACGTACACTTGAGCTAGGTGTTACTGGTTCACAGTACAGTGACGCTAGGTGTTACTGGTTCACTGTGCTGAAGCTACGTGTTACTGATTCACAGTACAGTGACGCTAGGTGCTACTGATTCACTGTGCTGAAGCTAGGTGTTACTGGTTCACTGTGCACTTAAGCTAGGTGATACTGGTTCATTGTGAACTGAAGCTAGGTGCTACTGGTTCACTGTGCACTGAGGCTAGATGTTACTGGTAGACTGTGCACTGAAGCTAGGTGTTACTGGTTCACTGTGCACTGAAGCTAGATGTTACTGGTAGACTGTGCACTGAAGCTAGGTGTTACTGGTTCACTGTGCACTGAAGCTAGATGTTACTGGTAGACTGTGCACTGAGGCTAGATGTTACTGGTAGACTGTGCTCTGAAGCTAGGTGTTACTGGTTCACTGTGCACTAAGGCTAGGTGTTACTGGTTCACTGTGCACTGAAGCTAGGTACCAAAGGTAAAGGTGGTTATGTTACCTGAAATATGGTTGTGTTTGTGATTGTGTTTTTTGTTTCTGCGGTCGAGCAGTTTTAAACAACTCAAGGTGCATGACTTGTACAACTTCAAAGGGATTGCCAGGGCCCCTTGCGGCTTTTTTTATACTGCAGATTAACTACCTTTGTTGTTGTTTCTGATTATGGTCGTTGTGTCAGCTACAACAACACTTCTTACGGTAGTTAATGTATGTTTTACAAGGGACTGGTGATGTCACGCGTTATACCTTAAGGCATTGCTCACAGCTGTCGGACCGGTTTTGGCCAGTCAAGCAGAGAAAACTACAAATAATGGCTTTGGGAGAAGAATCTTTAGATCTAAGATAGGCGTACCCTGTTACACCCAGTTGAGCGTGCAAGATTTCCTCATTAGTTGTATATTTTTTTGTTAAAGACATGAAATGTTCTTCTTAATGGAGAAGTAACAGTCCATGCAGTACAGTAGAGGCATACCAAAGGTCCTGTAGCAAGCATTTTAAGTATACACGGAGAGGAACAGGTCATCTGCTTAACCAAGACAGCCCCCCTCCTTTTGATTGAATATCACCCTCTAATCGTACAGGTTGCGTAGTCAGTGACTGTTAAAACATTCAGTTTTTATGATCAATTGTTTGGATGGAACTACAAAACGACCTTGCGGTCAGATTCTAAACCGCAGTGCTACAATCAGTGGCCTTGGCGCGCCACAAGGTACAGCCTCGTCTTTTGGACACGCCCACCAGTCACAACTCGCAGAATTGACCAACAATACGCACAAAATATGGTCTTTTTAACGTTTTCACTGCGTCTGACGAACCTAGACCACTATCGCAACGTTTTGAGCAAGATTTTCATAACGGTTGATGGTGCAAACTGTCAGTGCAGAAGTGACAAGAATCTACAAGTTTGTGATCGTTCAAAAAATGTCAAAACAAAATCTCCGCAAAGCTAGTTCACGTCGTGTGGTGTGAAACATGGCGACCCACTCACCTGTGGTGTTGGGGGCTCGGTGAAGCAACGCTAAGAAGTTGAACAGCAGACGCTGGTAGATACCGACCTTCCCTCGTGAATGCTAGAAGAAAAGTGGGGCTGTAATGGGGCGGTACGGACCGGTTTTCTCTGCACACGTACGGTGAACCTATGATGTCACTGTCTTCTGACACACCACACCCATGCATGTCACTATGACAAGGCTGATACTCTTACCGTATCTTAACCACTATAATCTAACCACTCAAGGCATTAAAATTTCATACCAAAATGTACAACGGTCACGAAAATCTTATAAGTAACAGTGATTTGACCCACATTGACTATATGTGAAGGCTCGTGCGTTAGAAAGATGGCTTTGTTGTGTTAAAGCGAGCGTTAAGGATTTGATAATGAGATGTGTGAAGAATGTGCTAACAAGTGGGTATCGTCGTGTGTGATTTGAAGGCACAATCAAGACAATTACTAACGTTGTGTTGAGAAAAAAATACTATTTATCCTTCTCATCATGACGTAGAGTATCTATTATTAGTAAACAGTAAATGTTTCGTTTTCTTTTGCCAATGATAGGAACTTGCAGGCATAGTTATTGTTAGTTCGTAATTACTATTCAGCCGTGTCGACGATGATTCAGTGTTTTACGTGTCAATGACATTTCGATGTTGACTGCTGGGTCACCTTTCACCTTCAACCTTTGACCGTGACGTCACTGACGATACGGTAGAAAATCTGTTAGGTTAGTAACCTCGGTAGCAGGCTCTACAGAGCACGTAGTGCAGTCGTGTTGCTCTGCGGTACTTTTTTAGTTTATATGATATTTTAATGTAATAAACTCTCGTGTTGATGTAATCCTATCGTCCCTCGAATAGGACGTTAAATGTTACAATAGGTCCCGTGTTTGGGAGAGCCACACCCCAGGCACGTTAAAGAACCCACCACACTTACTATAGTGAAAAGAGTAGGGGACCTTCCCGGTGTGAGTGGTTCAAACCTTACAGTCTGGTCTCAGGTTTGACATCTTGAAGAGGTGATAATCACTTGTTATGTCAATCATTCCACTAAATATGGTAAATCTTCATAAAAATAAATAAATAAATAATGTTGAAAGAAAACATAGAGCTATATCTTAGCAAAGCACTGCCGTAAGAAGAATATAATGGTAATAAAACAAAATAATCATGTGCCATGTTTTGGTTATTTTTCTTCAGCCAATTGCAAAATTGGTGCTGTCCAACACATTTTACAGTGTTCTACAGTGCGTGTATTTTAATAGAGTTACACAATACTAACTGGTAGTATGAAGAAAGACAACAAGACACAATGTACTCTGGTTTCATGTTGTATTTTCACATAGCTTCAACAGCATCCTAAAACAAAAACATATCACACATGCATAGTTTGCTAGTATAAATTCTATGATGGTGACCGTCAAACATATCTGATGGTTTGTTACAATGCGTATATGTAACATTATGTATTTTTCATCAGAACCCGATATTTTGTCAGAATCTTGCATAAAATCGTACATTATTAGAACCAGGGTGACTTTTAAACGATTCCTTGCTGAAAATCTACAGGTTTAACAACAACCCAAATCACCGAAATCTCACTAAATACCCATCTAGAATAAAAGCAGGCGCGCAGATCGATGAGGTGCGAAGCCTTATATGGCAACTGTCACCATGGCAACGCATTGTCACCATGGCAACGCATTGTCACCATGGCAACGCATCGTCACCATGGCCACGCATCAGAAGAAACTTGTGACCATCTGCACAAACTCCTTGACGTCCACCTGTCCGTCCGAGTTGGCGTCTGCCACCCGGACTAACTCGGCGATGGTCGCCGCGGACAGCTCCATACCGACCACGGTGGACAGGCCTTCCCTCAGCTCGTCATGGGACAGGAAACCGTCACCGTTCTGGAAATATCCGACAAGGATGAAACAGTGATTAGTTGAATGATGTACTGGATCTGTATCTGTATAGCCGGTATAACCGCCCTTCAGCGTAACACACCAGCTGCGCAAGCACGCGGCGCGGCGGCAGCTGGCTACATTACACCGGACGACCTAAACCTTGAACATCTCTTAACATTGTTTAAAGATATCTAATGATAATGCTCCTAGTGTACTCGTACTTAACTTGGTGATAGCGAGTTTCACTCTGCGATAGTTCTGGGAATGAAAGAGTTTTTGAACACCTCAATCCTTGGTTGATAACTCTGGTACTAGAATGCATAGCTTTCCTTGTTCTCGTCTGGTCTGGCATTAGGTACTTAGTAATTGGTACGTCCACCAGTTTATTAGTCATTTTGTACACCATGCACGGTCTGGACATATTTCGTCTGTCTTCCAGTGACACCCACTGTAGGTTACTTTTCTTTTCCGTGACACTATAAACTTTTTCAATATATACTTTTCATATCAATTGTTATTATATCTTGTATCTTTTCATGGATACATTAACGCTACCTTGTCTATCTTATTGAAGGCCGCCACCATTGCTTCCTGGGTCTCCTCTGGGTTTCTCAGAGACTTTTTGATTTCCTCCAAGGACTTCACCACTTTAGTGAAGTCATTCAGGTCCATGACTCCCTTCGCGTTGACCTGACGCTCTCTGATCATAGCCTAAATGAAACAATGTAAAACAGTCAGGAAAGTTCATCTGTGTTGATAGTTATATGTTTGAAGTTAAAAACCTTTGTTCCAACACATCACCCATCACGCAACCGCGACGGGGGTCGATATAGTTTACCCCATGTTGACGTCAAGTCAGACAAGTCACATACTAGTAACAAGTCTCACTGCTGGGTTAATCTATTCAAAAAGACTTGATTGACTGGTCGAATGAGCTCTAGATGAGAACAATTCGTTGTGTTGCAACAAAAGTTTTAAACACGTATTACACAGTGAACTTTTAATATGCAACTTTTCAGTACTATATGTAGCCGTACTATGTTTAATGTCAATAGGTACATAACTACACGTTTATTAGTTGCGTTTCTAAACATTGTAAACAAGTTTTCTGTGTCTCAATGTACGTTTTTAACAACAACAACAGTTACTAATTTGACCTCGTCATGCCATTGCTAATTTATAAAGTACCACTTTTTAACACCACATGAAACTCTAGATGGCATATTTCTACTCCGAACCTTAAATAGTGAAAATGGAGAAGAATATTAAACAATAGAAAATTAAGAGAAAAAATGACTTACCGAGACTAATTTGTTGGTCCACGGCAGCTCCATCTCCCTGACTACATTGAGCAGCTCCTCTGCAGAAATGGACCCGTCCTTGTTCTCATCGTACTTGTCAAACAGGGCCTGGACGTCCGCCATCTTGATTCTACACACAAAACACGGTCATACTATTCATTACATCAACCCATCAATAGTTTTATCAGGTCGGTAAGGCCACAGCAAGTAATTTTTATGGATGACATCAGCGCGCGCATTAATTTTCGCCTGATTTGGGGGGAAACAAACAAGAAATTTTATTGCCTTCTGAAAGTGGTTAACATGCCGAAAATGGGCAAAGATGTCTGTTGCCATGCCGGAAGGTGAATGGCAGATAACTAAAGAGAGGAGACAAGAAAAGATTCTGATTTAATGTTTTGTTTCTTACTTTGATGCAGTGATATGTGATGTTGGCTGTGTAGATGTGATGTTCCCACTGAATAAAAACCATTTGTACAATGATTGAGTCAAAATTTTTAAATGTAGGAACCTTGTTTTTTTCGGCCCGCCTTATTATTTTTCGCCCGCTATTTTCCAAATCAGGCGAAAACTAATGCGCGCGCTGATGCCATCCATAAAAATTACTTGCTGTGGCCTAACGTAAGAAAGCAAGAAACATATCTTACCACCAGTGGCCAAGACAATCAAAATGACCTCATGCAGAGAACAGGTGGGTTTTAATAGATGCAATTACATTTGTATTTACTTCAAATCGTGTCGACCAACGTGACCTATAATGATGACTCGGTTGCGGGTGTTCTGTTGTACGTTAATTTACGCGTCATTTGCTCCAGACTAGAGGAACGACCTTTGTTAGACAGTTGGGTTTGACCGACATTGGCGACGAAACCTTCTCACGCATATCTTTAAATGCTATTCCATTGTATATCGTTCATTGAAATAATGAGATATGTCGTTCACGGCCTTTCATACACTCTGCATTTTACAAAATGTCCATGAGTTGTTAGCTAAAAGGTTAAAACTACTTCAGTACTACAGATATAATCATGATGATGAAGTTGTAACTAAAATACACATTACGTAGGCCACACTGACTTAATTTTATGGATGACATCCACGCGTGCATTGATTTTAGCCTGTTCTCAAAAAACAAAAAGATCACGTCTACCGAGGCTCTGGCCTGGCTCTAGGCCTGGGTAGTCCATGGCAGCAATACAGAGCCGGGCACCCAGGCAACCGAAGCTCCACGACTCAAGAACTCAGTACAGTGCTGATTCATAAATTCCGCTAAAAGCCAGCTTGCGCCGGCTTGTTGTATACGTCGTTATGTACTGCCGCAAATTCACAATACCAGCTTTGTATTCCTGTGGTTTAGTAGCATTTTTATTTTTGTCCGTGATTTTTTTATTCGCCCGCGCGCACTAGTTTGGGGGTCTTCAGACGATGTCATCCATAAAATTAACGCGGTGTGTCCTTAACTGCAGGTGTTCATAATTTTCCGACGAAGATATGTATCAGTATACCCCTGGGCATTTACAATTCTACCTGTATTGTTAAGTTGCTGATTAGAAATTGTAATTTAGCCGTTGCTACGCAAATGCAACAGACAACAGTCGTCTAAACTCTTCTTGTTTGCATTGCATTTTTCTAAACTACTTTTTTATGACCTGTGTTTTTTTCACACTTTTTACTTAACTGAACACCGGCACACCTTCTGATTAATACTTAAGGTGTGAAATGATACAATTAGACAGCCCAACTCTCTCATCACTGCCGACAAATTTCACACCCTCAGACGCCCAGGGAATTAAAAGGAAATGCCGACAAACACTCGGGTATCAACTTTTAGATATATGACCTAATAACACAGCTCGAAAACAGACATTTTAGCAAACTTTCCGCAACATGTAAAGAAGTATTAAAGGTGAGAAAATATTTCTGTAGACTTTACGACTTCCTAAAGGCTGCCGAAAGGCAAATTCCGTCTTTCCGTCACCTTTCAGTGTGCTTAAATACGACGTTAACATATTTTATATTTTTACACTTCCTTTACAAATACGTAAATATCTGTGCCAGTGTATCATCAAGACTGTTCACCTCAAATTCCAATTTCTCACATGAAAACAACAATGCATTCTCACCTACACTATAGACAAGTGTTTAAAAAAGTTCACATATTTATCCAGCCTCCAGACCGACCTATACGTGCATTAGAGTGACAATGTTTATAAAAATACAGGTGTTCTTTTCGAGTTTCCAAAGAATCTTTACAATGGCGTTTCAAGTAGGTGATAAAAACAGGTGTATTGTTCGGGTTCCTTGAAAAAATAGTCACCCGACTGTAGTTCTATAGGTGATACGAACACAACTTAAGCCGCACCTTTGTGAAGACAAAGGAATGCAGGCATGGCTGTAGAATGCAGGATTTACGCTACACGGTCCGTAGAGTTCGCATATTTTTTTCTGTCCCGCACTGTTAAGTAGGCTTACGGAAAAATGCACGGGGTCAAATGCATTATTCCAAGGAGCTTTAACAATGCTGATATTCAACAGCGTACGGGCGACCAAATACCTTTACTCGGTCAACGAATGAAATAAACGCACATTCTTACACAACTACTTTTGGTGCAGTGACAAAACTAAGACCACAAGCTCTTGGCGGACTAAAAAAAGAATGTGGGGATCAGAGGGCATTGCCCGGTCTTCGGTACAGATTCAAATTTTTCCACCGATTATTTGCAAATGGTATCTGCATAGCTGTTGTGCTCATTTAACAAATTTCTACTATTCTTCAGCCAGCACCCCGCTGTATAGTATAGCCCATACATGTATAAAGAGTTCTATATGTATAAAGAGTACACACACACAACTGTGAACATGTGTTTGAAAGATTCTCGACCACGACGCGAACACATGTACATGTGACATAACGTGCCCGGACCCACTCACCTCACCAGTTGCAGAGTGTAGGTAATTGAGAGTGGATAAAGCACGAATCTGCCGAGTCGAGTGGAGAGAGTCAGAAATGTCACACCGTGTCTCTTGTCGACAGGTCCTACTGGTGGTGGGTGTGTCTGGGTATGACTCACCGACTAGGGCCACGGCAATTAAATTTTATGGATGACATCCTCCGCAGACTCTAAATCTAATGCGAGCGAGCGAAAAAAAAACAAGGCGGGCCGGAAAAAAACAAGGTTCCTGCATTTTAAAAATTTGACTCAATCATTGTACAAATGGTTTTGAATTTTTGATTCAGTGGGCATGGGAACGTCACATATACACAGCCAGCATCACATGTCACTGTATCTGAAACGAAACATTAATTCAGAGCCTTTGTCTCCTCTACATAGTTATCTGCCATCCACGTTCCGGCATGGCAATATCTTTGCACATTTTCGGTACGTTGACCACTGTCAGAAGCAAAAACATTTCTTTTTCAAAATCAGAAAATTGATGCGCGTGCTGATGTCATCCATAGAAATTACTTGCTGTGGCCTAATTACCATAACCGTGAGACCCGTGCATAAGTTCTGCAGACGGCAGGTAGTACTTAGCCACTCCCCCTTGCTCACCAAGCAGAGGTTGGTGGGGAAGATTGTGACCTTTCTAACATGCCACGATATTAATTGTTTGTCGCTTCGGAATTCCCTCACTAATTAAAAACGGGGCATAGTACAAGGGTTACAATCTTTCCTACCAACCTCTGCCTCGATCCAAGTTGGGCCCGACTCCCCTTGTCCTGAAATGACCCCTTCACATTCCGTTGTACGATACGATAGGAAATGAAGGGCTTTTGCTTTGGAAAGCCGTGTGTGCGATGTGACGGATTGATCCGAAAAACGAAAGGTTATGACGAAAAACGGTTCTTGAAGACTGTTATCGACGGTTGGTTCTCTCATGACCTCTTTGAAATTTCAAAAGAAGTGTAAGACGAATGTCACACAAAGAAAACACAAAGAAGTGTAAGAATGTGACCCCGCCTTAAGCCAAGACGCTATTCTTAAATCATAGCCCAGGGCGTTAACCAGGCTCAAAGATGACATTGTCAAGCAGTCTTTTTTTTTTTGAAACATATCGTATCGTGGTATATCTTTTCTTTAGCGAGTCTATGCCTATGATGATGCCAACACCGGCCGTTGACGATAATCTGAATAATGAAGAATCTACGATAAGTTTTTTTAGAAACATAACAAAGTTGAGATTTACATATGTATATGACACGCCCACAACTGTATATCAAAGAATATTTTTAAATTTCTGTCGCTAATCTGTTGTAGGACAAATGGGTCCGAATCACCAATGGGCTTTCACCAGCTAGAATTTATCTCATACAGTTGCCATTATCTTCTTCTTCTTTTTGCTGAAGACTATTAACGTCCCTGGCTGCCAAACTAAGACAAGTAGAAAGACAAGCAAATCTAGTAGAGGTGATGAGCCTTAATTACTTAATTATCTGCATTTAGTGGTATTTAGTTAGTAATGAGCTCGTTTCAAACGTCACTTGTAGGACATGCATGTTATTTCACAAATTGTCTTTAATCCCTTAACTAAAATATCTATTTTTAAAGAGGATTGACGTCATAAAAGGTAGTGAATTAACAATCCGAAATACTCGTGTTCTATAAATCATATACTTAATGACTGGACATTACGTCGGTAATACGACTTAAGACCATTACAATTCTGGACATGATGACCAGTCATCCGGACATACCTGAGGTGTTTCAAAATTGGCACAAGAAGGTAGAGCGTGACATGCTATTATTGCGACATGCCTGGGTGCCTTTGTGAGTAATTATCTACATTTGTATAGACTGGTTCATTGTTATTGAACAAACAGGATCCACTGGCAACCTAGATGCATTCGATTGAATTATTGGGTCTGGTTACAAAATACAATTACAATTACAAATGCAACACACAGCTGTTTACACACATAGGGATAAAATGTAACCATTGTTTAAAATCTTAAATACACCATACTAGTATTGTAAATATTCAAATGTCTTAGAAGAGTAATTTATCAAAATGTTGTTAAAAACGCCACAGTAAAGATAAAATTTGATATGTCGTCTTTGCTACTAGTACTCAAAGTTTGCAGACTCGCTCAAAATTAACAGTTAAGGTGGCCGAAAAGGCGTTAAAACGGTTTGTACTAGTACGTTTTGAGTAGACAAGTTTTTTTATCTCCTGTGTGTTAACCTATTTCTGCTATTGTGGGCCATTTGAGTGGTAACCCGAATAGGGAGAAAGAAAGAACGATTTGGATTTACTTTTGTTCTAGCACTCACTCACTCATTCACTCACTCACTCGCTCACTCGCTCACTCACTCACTCACTCACTCACTCTGTTCTGGCTCGGTGTAAGATAAAAGAATAGTCGTTTGAACAAAAACTAGGGGTACTTTTCACTGGAGCTGTTGAACATCATATCCGTATATATAAGTTTGAAAATTCATCACATTCTTTTTTCAATTCATCGCTTTATTACTTCCATTTTACCATCTAATGGTGGTATACTAAATGAACAAGAATAAAACTCCAGGCAATATTACGTTTAAACATGACTTTATTCCAGCTAATGTAGACAACCAAGCAATGCAGGTGTCTATGGGGAGCAGTCACCGTATACTAAAAACCTTAATCTACATACACATGGTGAAATGTTGCATTAATGTGAAATATACACCATATTCTACATGTACCAAAGTTTACTTTCAATTGACTATACGTACCTTTATCTCTAATTTACGGGTATGGTGTAATATATGCGATTTAGGGTATCTTGTGTTTTTAAGGAAAATCATAGATGAAGAATCTTTAAAATGACTTGACTGTTAACAACCATTTAGTGAACAATTTCAGGGCGGTAAAACTGGAAATATTCTGAATAAGCAATCGATCCTGTATGATATTGACACATACTGTCCTACTTTCGTCCTTGATCTTCTGGGCGGTACCCTTAAAACCAATCCAGGTTCTTCCAGTAACCGTCTTTCGTCAGAAATTTGGGGCATTTTTGCACAATGAATGTCGATATACATTGGGACAGTGTTGTTTCAACTTAGTATGAGTGACTAGAATAATGACTTTGCAAAATCTGGTTTCCAAGCCCTAAACATTGCGCTGGATGCCTTGCAATTTTTGCAGATTCGCTCAAAATTAAGTTGGTGGCCGAAAAGGCGCTAAACCGGTTTGTAGTACTACGTTTTGTGTAGACAAGTTTTCTACATCCCCTGCGTTATAACCTATTTCTGCTATTGTGTGCCATTTGAGTGGTAACCCGAATAGGGAGAAAGAAAGAACGATTTGGATTATTTTACTTTTGTTCTACCTGTAGCTCTCACTCACTCACTCACTCACTCACTCACTCACTCACTCACTCACTCACTCACTCACTCAAACACTCACTCACTCACTCACTCATTCAATCACTTAAACACTCAATCACTCACACACTCACTCACTCACTCACTCACTCACTCACTCACTCTGTTCTAGCTCGGTGTAAGATAAAAGAATAGTCGTTTGAACAAACGCTAGAGGTACTTTTCACTGGATAGCGATCTTTTGAACATTATATCGGTTTAGAATTTGAAAATGCATTACATTCTCTTTTTCAATCCATCACGTTATTACTTCCATTTTACCAATATGTAATGGTGGTATACTAAATAAACAATAAAATCCAAGCAATATTACGGTTAAACATAACTTTATTCCAGCTAATATTGTAGCAATGCAGGTGTCTATGGGGAGCATTCACCGTAGACTAAAAACCTTAATCTACATACACATGGTGAAATGTTGCATTAATATGAAATATACACCATATTCTACATGTACCAAACTTTATTTTCAATTGACTATACCTTTATCTCTAATTTACGGGTGTGGTGTAATATACGCGATTTAGGGTATCTTGTGTTTTTAAGGAAAATCATAGGGCTATAGATGAAGAATCTTTAAAATGACTTGACTGTTATAACAACCATTGAGTGAACAATTTCAGGGCGCCAAAACTGGAAATATTCTGAATAAGGCAATCGATACTGTATGATTTTGACACATACTGTCCTACATTCGTTCTTGATCTTCTGGGCGGTACCCTTAAAACCAATCCAGGTTCTTCCAGTAACCGTTTTTCGTCAGAAATTTGGGGCATTTTTGCTCAATGAATGTCGATATACATTGGGACAGTGTTATTTCAACTTAGTATGAGTGACTAGAATAATGACTTTGCAAAATCTGGTTTCCAAGCCCTAAACATTGCGCTGGATGCCTTTAATTCATCCCAAATTGACGGTGTGAGCCAACTCTGCGAGGATCCGACCAGAGTGAAGTTCCAATTTGCGTTCCGTGGGTCGCGAATTGGATCTTCTATGGCCCGGGATCTTCTCTGGTATACTATCCCTTTATGTCGGCCAATGTCTACTATATTTCCAGCGATCCGCGGTGCCTGGTAGAGGCTAAACTCTGCGTAGCTTCGCCCTCACTGTTGCGTGAGCATGTTGACGAACTCGTTGTAGTCGAGTTTTCCGTCTTTGTTCTTGTCGGCGACATTCAGCAGCTTGTTGCACGACTCGTCCGACATGTTGATGCCGTGGACTTTCGTCATGGCCGCCTGCATTTCCTCCTTACTCAGGAAACCGTCACCGTTCTGGAACAGGCAAATATTTTCAAGAAAAAATGTTAACTTTGCCAAGAAAGCAATATTTTCAGGACTATGTGTGCACGTGTGTGTGTGTGTGTGTGTGTGTGTGTGTGTGTGTGTGTGTGTGCGTGTGTGTGTGTGTGTGTGTGTGAACAATATAAGTTTAGTATGGATGGATTAATATGAATGGATTGTAAAGATATTTGGTATATGGATAGGTCTTGATGAGACCTCAAATGCTTAGATTCTGGGATCCCTAGCAGCTTGTTATGGTACTGCAGCGGAACTTCTGGTTCAATATGACGTATTCTGAACATGATATACTAAACATTTTGGGGGTGCTAGACAACTCTTGTGCTCAGAAATAAGAAACAAGAACGATGCCCTATAAACCTTCTATATTGAAACATACCTGTTATATTACCTTTTTGCCATTACTAAGAAACGAGAAGAAACCGAATTTACTTAATTTACTCAATTGTAGCTACTTGACGATGTATATATGTAACGTTATCTGTATACCATCCTTTTACTGTGACCTGTACTGAACCCAGTGGGTATGTGTGTACAATAAAGGTCTTCATTCATTCAATATAAAAACCCAATGGAATGCATTTAAACACCTTGTCAAACTCTTGGAACATCTTCTTCATCTCTCCCGCCATGACCTGAGGGTCCGCCATGCTGATCTGGACCTGCTGCAGCACCTGTATGACGACGTTAAACTCTTCCAACTCCAGCTTCCCGTTCCCATTCTGGTCACAGTCCTTGATGATTTGCTACGAGGACATTATAAAAAAGAAAGAAGAACTTTATTGCACAACAGATGTAGTGGGTACAACGTATGGCAAAATAGTTAGTGATGCTAATATACATACAAAGTTGGTGATGCTAAGATATTCTTCTAAAAAAAAAGAAATGAAAGTCGTAATTGAGAGTACAAGACATGTTGGCATGAAAGAATTCATATTGACCTTGTTTTAACGCTAGTGTATACAGTAAATTAGTTGTGTGGGTGTTGGTGCACAACATGGATTTAGAGCAAGGTAGCGGTTACACGAATTTTTCTGGTTGCTTAAAGAAAGTCTTTTGAAAAGAGCAAATAGTTACTTTCAAGCCCTTCTAGTGGGGTGGTTCAGTATACATGTCCTCCTACCCACAATAGTCAATAGAAAAGGGTATTTGCAATCACGTGACAATAACGCAAATATTGTCGGCCATGTTGGATGATTAAAGTTTGAAGTCACCCAGTAAATTTTAATCTGCATTTGTAGCTGCAGCTGCGTGTATTTAAAATATGAACTTCAAGGCAAATTCAAATGTAGGAATTTTCAAGCCTCTACCAGGCTCTCTGGGTCACTGGGGACTGAAAAGCATTTCACAACAGTAGCCGGCTAACTCCACTGCCTTGCTATTCAGTCTTTTGGTCAAATATTTTTTGTCCAGCAACCTAGGGAGCCTGGTAGAGGCTATAACTATCCCAGTATCATCCAATCAGCTACGGCGTCACATCCTTTACAGTACCATCCAATCAGCTACGGCGTCACATCCTTTACAGTATGTGACAGATGATGACAGTATCATCCAATCAGCTATGGCGTCACATTCTTTAGATATATCGTCCAATCAGCTATGGCGTCACATCCTTGACAGTATCATCCAATCAGCTATGGCGTCACGTCCTAACTTTAGATCTTACCCCAACAAGATGATCACATGGAGGGAGGCCAAACTCCTTCACCACCGCCTTCAGCTCTGACGTAGAGATGGAGCCATCTTTGTTTACGTCGTACTTTTCGAAAATAGCCTTGATGTCCGCCATTTTTTATTCTATATGAAAACACATTAATCTTTAATGAGCATTGTTGTCCTGTACTAAATATAACTACACGCAGCAATTAGTGGTAATATATAGAAGATGAGAAAATATCTTTCGATGAAATAACATACTGCGTAGTATGCCAAGCATAGAGGAATCTAACGTACAGGTCTAAGGTATTATACATACAGATACAGTACGCAAGAAACGTACAGTGTCCGTATACGTTAGGGCAGATTTTTTAAGATTCATAAAATTACCTTTAATAGCAAAAATATGAATGTTAAGTGGGCGCTCTTTTTATCTCAGACAAAACAGAGTGAATGAACTTTACATGGATTAGTTTAAGACAACCAACGATGACCTTTCTGACTCGTGGTTCGATTCTGTGTAATGATGTATATTAACATAGTATTGTTCGGTTCTAGTCATGCGTATCTGCTTGGCGACGCCCGCTTATTACAGATGGTGTGTCAAAACACAAAGGGAACGCCCCCTAGTACGTCCAACTCTAACATTTATATTGCTACAAACAAGTGGTATATTTCTTTTTCGGAAATGAATGTTGTCATTATAAAATGTTTTAGGTCAGCAAGGTACAACATAGAAGGACAGTGCGTAAAACAGACCTAATGGTAGGACAACAATTTGTTATGTCAACACAAAGGGCATAGCAGGACGAAGTCATCTATGAATGCCAGTAGATAATATTTTTTTTTTTGTTTGGTCAAACATTTCTATGGCACAAAGACAGAAAAACACAGCGTTACCGGTGTTTGTTGTCGCACAAACCCCGAATGGATTTTTAACTTAGAAAGAGCAAGCTTAAGCCCGTATTGAACGACAGTGAAGTCTTTGTAGCACGTAGACTTGGACGTCGTACAATTTCTTTGTGATAGGTTTTCCATCAATGCTGACAAAACTGACCACCATCAAGCATCTAGCAAAGAAGCCTAGTTTTCTCTCACGAGACAGCAAAACTTTGCAAGGATTTCCTCAATTTGCTGGCGTACATATACCCACGACAGATGTGACAGGACCATAAATAAAGTTTAAGCTCTTAAACTATGATAAATCCCAAACGAATATTGCCTGGACATGATAACTAAGGTGACCCTCAAATTCACCCTTTTCTTACCAGCCAAAACGGAGCAGAAGTTTTACTCACAGTAAGAAATGATTTAGGAAAATGTCATGTACGTAACTGCAAGGGTAGAAATTGTGGCCTTACCTTGTTTGACAGTTGCCAATAGAAGAATAAAGATGTCAGTGTTGACGTGTGTCTGACTCGGCTGTCTTGTCGTGATAAAGGCTAGAAGTCAAGTGGGCTATTAGTCATAGCTGCCACGTAGGCAACGTTTTTCCGACTGTGTGTGTGCACGTGTGTGGACTATGTAATCGGCTGGAACAAATATTCTTTCGAACATGTTATAGCTGTGTTAGGCTAAACCAGATAACTTACAACAGTGAACTTTTTAAAGAAATGTAGGTTCTATTTTATCATTACTGAAATTTAGAGTATTCAAAGACAAGCCTTAAATTTAATTCGACACCTTGCATCTCTTATTTTTAATTAATGAGACATTTCAGGCCCTTCACGTGACTTTGATTTTTCTAGATATCTATCAAGAAAAATTAAAGTCACGTGAAGGGCCTCGGGACAACAGAGACTGTTCTAAATCTGGAACAATAGTAGAAAGAACCAGTCTGACGACTTTCTACTGACAGTGACTATTGTAGACGGATGCCATGTCACAAATGCAGTGCTTACTTTAGTCCAAAGTAATCCACGTTAAAGCAGTGTGGATGTCTTAACTATTGTCCTGTTTGAAATAGATTTGAGTGCAGTTCAAAATGACTTGTAATTTCGAATGGCATTAGAAGTGTAGAACGTAATGGAAAAGTTCGTTGAAAGTATTACGGTCATACAATACAAATTGTATGTTATGGGCGCCCCCTACAAACTGACTCTTAAACTGCACAAACAATTATACGATATGTTTTTTTTTGTCTACCGTTGCTTATGACAAAATTAAGACACAGTTTAAGGCTTAGGCGTCAAGCTAAATAAACGTTATGAGCTGTACTGAAACTTGATACGCATGACTTGCATGGTTATATCAATCTATCACAATGTCAACTCGACAATTATTTAACCTAAATGACCTTTAAAGAAAGAACCACGCAGAAGAGATTATTACATCATTTATGAGCAATTTGAAATTGCTTAACAGGCACTGACTTGAAACACACTTGAATGTAAACACAAAGTTTCCATAGCATACATGTACTAAACTTGACAAGTTTTGTAAATTACTTTTTGTGGAGATTGCATGTCGCATAGATATCTACCAGGACAATTCTAGTTTCCATCACAAAACTACGTCATATTACATCTGACAGCAAATCTTGACAGCAAAACTCTTACCAGTTAGTAGAATATGCCTTAATGAGTGACTCTTTTTGAAAGGTAGAAGCACGTATCTCCAAATTTTCGATGTCCATTGTACATGGGAGGGGGGGGGATGCCAGAAGATCCGCACAAGTCTCGACCTAGTCTCGTGTTCTCGCGAGACTATGCCTATCCGTGATCAACATGTACAGTGGACATCGAAAATTTGGTACGTGTTTCTACCTTTCAAAAACAGTCACTGATTGAGGAATATTCTACTAACTGTTAATTCTACGTGACTGATGAACCTCTTCAACGAAAAACTCTTAATGGTTTAATCAACCAATATGGCGGTCGTGACGTCACACAAAAACACTTGCTTTCCATTAATTCCATACGTTTTCAGCACATTCATGTTCCTCTAAGTTACGCATGCTTAATAAGATATCTCTCCCGCTGCTGGGGTGCTTTGACTCCATCGTTGCTTAGTAACCAGTGACCTTACGAGCATGACATGACCTTGATGAACTCTCCGTAGTTGACCCTCCCGTCGCTGTCCTGGTCAGCGGCCTGGATCATGTTGTCGATGACCTTATCGTCCATGTTGTTCCCCATGGCAGCCAGGCTGGCCTTCAGCTCATCCGGGCTGATGTAGCCGTCACCGTTCTGAGATAATTTTTTTAAATCAAAATTGTTCAAACATATTATGACATCCAAGCGCTACGATGTAAATGAAAAACTATGTAAATTTGTCCATACATGTTTCAAAAAGAGAGAAGAAATCCTGTAGTTAGATCCTGTAGATAGAGACGTAGCACACAAATGTAACAATTGCTTCTTCTATTCCTGTACCCAAGTTCTTTAACTTAGTGCATTTGGCCCGTGTGGGGCGTGCATATGCAATAAAGTCTTTGTCATTGTCATTTATTCATAAGGCTACGCCAATTTAATTTGTTGGCTCTCGGATTTTTTTCAGAAAAAATATGAAGCGACAGGGCCAAAAAAACAGATCTAGGCGTTCTACTATAGCCCCAAATGCTACGATAGGAGCCATGAAGTCAACACATAAGGCTGGGTTAATATGTAAACAATGAATTTTTAACTTTAATCAAACCACTGCATTGTTAGATGGAGAAACTGTGACAACTAGGAAGAAAAGGACATTCCTCAACTGTTGGGGGCAAAATATGAGCATTTTTTAGTTGATTCAGAACCAGAATCTTTTTTTTTTTTGCAAATCAGAAAAAAATTGAAGAGGCAAATCCGAGAACCAACATATTAAATTGATGTGACCACAACAAAACAGTAACAAGGACAGTGTGGCGCTGCACTCAAGTTTAAAACTTTTTTCAATTTTATTTTCACAAAAAATACAATTAACATCTAAATACATAAAGCTGACATAATAGTGCGCGGAAGCACTACCCCAAGATATTAAATAATACTAATGCTAACCAGGTTATATAAAAATGTTATTGAACATGATTGACGAGAAAAATGTCGCCGTCTCAGATGAATTATTAATCTGCAGTCATTATTATCCATTATTAAACCTAAGGTTAAAGGTTCTTAATGTTATAAATCAATATTCAACGCCATACTTAAGATCCCATACTAAATTTACATTAGATCTTACTGCATCTGTATATACACGATATAAATAACGTTACATCAATTTTTTCCATAAAGAAAAGTAGGTATGGTCTATAATCTGATGAATAGGCATAAAGTATAAATTAATTTCCTACATATTTGGAATAAAAAAGGTAGATGCAATAGTGTACAAAATGGTTTCTGTAACTAAAATGTATAGTTAGTGTATACAAGTATAATTCTTTTTTTTAATTCATCAAAATATCAAAACTGAACAATGACAGTGTGGCGCTGCACTCAAGTTTATAACTTATATTAACAGCGCCACACAACAAAATACAATTAACATTTAAATACACAATGTTGACATACCAGTGCGCTTTAGTCCCACCACCCCATGACATGAAAAATGTCAATGCTTACAAAGTTATTTGAAAAGATTTTCCTATAATGTATTTCGAGGAGAAATACCTTGTCCATGCGTTTAAACATCTCGCGCATCTTGGAGCCGAGTTGCTGTTTTGCCTGCTCTACCTGCGCCACCAGTGCCTGGAACTCCGTAAAGCTCAGGGCTCCACTCTTGTCTTTGTCGAATGCCTCCATCGTACACTAGCCGGACAATAGAGAAAAATACAGTTAACTAATCGAATCTAAGTAGCACTAGGACACTAATTAACAAAGTACTTTCATGTGGATCGTGTGGCGTAGCGGCAGATGCTCGACTATGAACCAAGAGGTCTCTATTTCATGCAAATTACCCCGGGTAAAATTAGTAAGTACCTTTTTTTTTAATTTGCAATTCGACATGGAAAATACAGGACATGGTGGTGAGGTACTCTAGCTGTAGCTAATTTTAACCTCACCACCAGACATGCAGGTATACAGCGACACAATACATGACAAAAACAACAGGGAACAGTAAATGGGTGGAAATCGCAACACGGTGATTATGGTAATGAATAATAATGAATGGTAAAAAAGAACATGTTTTGTAGGCGTTAATTTAATACAAACCGTTTAGTATCAATAACGTAAGTTTGGGTGATTGTCAAAATGTTGCAGTTTGTATCTGGGTGTAAATACGGTGATCCTCTAAGTAAAATGTTACATTAGGAATTGTTCGGACATGTTGTGTACATCAAAGATAGAGCCTACCAAGTTCTGTAGATTGCTGAGCAGGGTGACTCTTTGCTGATTATATACTGGGCAGTGTAACAGAAAATGTATGATAAATACCTTGATGAGTTTTTCTGAGACTGGAGCTAACCCGAGCTCCTTGAGCGCGGTCTTCAGCTCTCTCTTATTGATGACGTTGTCCTTACTCTTGTCAAACTTCTGGAAGACCGCGAAGGTGTCATCTGCAGAAATTCTTTAGGAAGGAATGTAAAAAATTCTTTCGAGAAATCTGGTAGCGAAGAATAGTTTTCATCTTCTGGCCAAAGTTACCAAATGATACCAAAAGTTACCAATGGTACCAAAGTTTCTATGTTTTGAGCGATTTTGCCTAGGGTTAGGGAAAGCTAGGGTTAGGGTTAGAGTTAGGCTTAACTTTAAATATAACTATCTCAAGGAATAAAACGATTTTGTAGCTCCTACTTTCTTTTAAATTGCAGGATAAACATGTATTTATACTTTCATTTGAAAAAAATTGTACTTTTAAGTATCCTTAAAAGGATAAATATAATACCTGTCAGTAAATAGCAAAAACTAAGAAATAACTCACGGTTTATGAGACATGGCTATTGCTGTCTTGGACCAGCTCAGGCAAGTAGAAATGTTGTATCTGGCAACTTGACCTTGGTACTGTTCTTTATAGGGTTTTCCATCCTTTGGGATTTAGAGTACGTGACTATGGAGAAACCTTTTAACCCTTTATAATGGCGTCATTAGTTCATCCATTGTAGCAAAAGTAATCCTCGTCTTTTTGTTGGACACATGCTTTAATTATTGATTCTAAAGCAAGGCAAATGGTCACTACAATAGGGAAATTTGAAGGCCGTATTTTTGTGATAAAACCTAATATATTGCCATTAAATATCAGGTCATCATGAATCTATATACTTTCTGTACGCATGCCTTTTGAATATCGTTATGGATTTTTATCCAATTATTAATCTGTACAACTGTCTTTTTATGAGATTCGCCCTTTTCTTTAAGACCTAAGGAAATAATGAATCATAAATGTATTGATTTAAAACCCAGATATGCTGAACGATGTTCTTGGAGTTTTGTTGTCTTCTTTCGATTATTTTGGGTATTCTTTCAATTATTTGCCATCTTAGCACAATTAATGTCAAAGATATGTCTGGAAAGTATGAGGATTCCTATAATACATTATTAACAAGTACTTAGTGCAAGTGAATGATAGATGAATGAATGATAGGTCCCAGTGTTGTTCCCATAGGAAAAATGGAGACGTCAAAGAATATTATTTCCAGTTTAATATCATGATAAACACGTACATAGCCCACAGCTGACATATGATGAGGGTTAATTCCCTTATTTTATTAACCTGCATACCTACAATTATATCACCGTAAGTAATGATTACTCTTCGATTTCGAAGGAATATGTAGTATATGGTGTATCTTATACATGGATAAATTGTATGAGCTATGTACGAGGGGGTCACAAATGATTTACCATTATATCATACTGATGATGAGCTATACATGGACACTAATTAGATCCAGTTTCAGTTTATTCATTTAACCAGCAGTAACACTCATAATAACCTGTTTTTCAGGCAATGCTGGGTGTACAAGCACGAATAACAGACTAGACAATATTACTTAATCACATACAATACGGAATGACGTAACAACAAAAAACTTACACAATTTCACCTCTCTAGTTTAATTTCTTTCACCGACATGAAATGACATAGCCTGGGTACCATCCGGATTTTCGCTACGCAACGCTTTTGTGATTTTTTCAAGCGTTGCGTAGCGAAAATCCGGATGGTACCCAGGCTAGAAATGACAAAGAGCCCGCATAAATTTTGATCGAAAAGAAGTACATCGTCATGTATCAAGGATCATGCTTTTAAATTTTGTCAACGTTAACATGCGATTACTAGACCAAGTACATTGCTAAATTGAGCTTGCAGCCTATTCGTAACATCTTTAAATATGTCTCATCCGTTCTCTCTTGGAAATAAAAGCAGACAGATCTAGGCAGAAAAGAAGTAGCCTCCACTAGACCTTTCTAGGGGAATACGGATCGTAGAATTCGGCAAAAAAAGAGAGTAAATTGGCCAAGGGAGTCCGGCGGCGGGGAGGTAGTTTCTTTTCCTCCGAACTGCGCGGCCAGTCAAACCTACAAGGCGGCCAAACTCCCCTGGCAAATATTCTCCTATATATAGCCAGCGTAGTTAGTCTGGTAGAGACTAGAAAGAAGAGAGAGTGGTTCGGTAGTATCTGTGACCTCTAGCCCGACATGACCTTGATGAACTCCTCATAGTTGACCCGTCCGTCGTTGTCGACGTCGGCGACTTTGATCATACTGTCGATGACGCGGTCATCCATGTGGTTCCCCATGGCGGCCAGGCCGGCCTTCAGCTCATCTGGGGTCAGGCTGCCGTCACCGTTCTGAAATTAGCAAGTCATATTATTCATCTGTTAACGATACTATTTTTTTTTATTCCAACATATAATCACAAGACGTGGTGACGGCACACTCAAGTTTTTTTCCAACTTACATTAATGCCGACACCAGCACAGGAACAGTACAATACTCATTTTCACCTGAGCGAAGTGAGGAAAGTCGTGTAAAGTGACTTTCCAAAGGGCACAAGATCGTTGGCATGTCAGGACTCGAACCCGGGACCTATTGGTTCCGAGTCGAGCATACTATTCATATGTTTACCTTTGCATATGTTTATCCTGTTTCTTACTTTTCTTCTCCAAAAAAAAAACAGAACCTCAACCAGACGGGTATCCCCATTTTTCTTCTCCAAAGAAAAAAATGACCTCTACCAGACAGCTATCACTATGGTAACTCGTGCTGTAGCAGACACGCAGTGATGTTGAATTACATTATGTAGCAAGTGAGAACAGACTGGAGGGGCTGGTCAACACATATATAAAGAAGGGACTTTTTTAAGGTCTTTAACTAGACGTACAGACAGACACGTGGGTACAAAAGAATCGACCTACATTCAAGGCTATAGATGAATCAACTTATACTACTACTTCTAAGGTCAGGAGTTAAGGTATCCCAGCATGCAACACAAGAGAAAAAAAGTATTTCCTTCACGGAAATGTTAATGCTACAATTTTTGTACAATGTACGTACATGCAGATCAACACGATAACGGTACAGTACCTGGTCCATTCGTTTGAAGATATCCCGCATTTTGTAAGAGAGTTGTCCCTTAGCCTGCTCCACTTGATTCACCAGAGCTTGGAACTCCTCGAAATTCAGAGCTCCGCTTTTGTCCTTGTCAAACGCTTCCATGGTGCACTGTTCATGTAGGGATCAGTACAATATGTTTATGGTCAGTTAGGCCACAGCAAGTAATTTTTTGGATGACATCAGCGAGCGCATTAATTGTCGCCTGATTTTGGAAAAAAAACACATACATACAATGCAATGAACCATCTCTTACACAATAATTCAAATCATTACAAATCCCTGATCATAATAATAATCATAACAATATTTTGTAGCGTAACAAATCGTTGATCATAAAAATAATCAAAACGATTCAAATCATAACAAATCATTGATCAGAACAATAATCATAACAATGATTAAAATCATAACAAATCATGGATCATAACAATAATCAGCAATATTTGAATCATAACAAATCATTGATCATAACAATAATCATAATAAGATGCATTCTTACCTTGATGAGCTTGTCAGAAACAGGAGACAGCCCGAGCTCCTTGAGTGCTTTCTTCAGTTCCTTTTCGTTGATAAGGTTGTCCTTACTCTTATCAACCCTCTTGAAGATGGCCAGAGTATCGTTTGCAGAGATTCTAAAGACAGTACACAAAATAATGTTTTTCATATAGCGGTATGAATATCATTTTACGGAAAGATCTTATAAAATTCTTCACTTTCAGTCAATAATCGATTTGTGATTATTAGTGTTTAAACGACAGCAGATACTTACATGATACAAGGCATATACTACGTGTTATATATAGAGAGATTAGAGACATATAATAAAGAGTTCTTTATTGCAGGTTCATGCCCAAGGGCTAATTTCAAACAGACGTTGACAAGAACAATGAGTACAGAATGTAGTGATATAAAACTATACGTTTTTACGTAATACTATACGATCTACTTATTTAACTTACTACATTGTATCTCTACTTAAAACTAATAACATTAGTATACAGGATAAAGAGTGGATATGCAATACATAAATAGGAAAAAGAAACATAACTGTTATTGCATTCTATTCTATTATATTATTCTAACCATATATACTAATATCAATATCAGTTACTGTATTACGCTAAAAACTAGAAAGGCCATATTTGCTTTGGAGCAAATACAGCGATGGGTTCACCACATTTTACGACATGGCAGGGAAAGAATGAGAAACACAAGGGAAAACAATGATTTACATTGATAAAACTATAATATGAAGTAACATACAACTAAAACAACAGTTGGATAGCTATTCCCTACTTTATTGGTTAGGATTTTTAATTGCATAATGCAAACTGTTGATTTTCAAAATAAATAAAAAAACGTTCATGCCTCGCATTCCAATGCTGGAGCAGAAAAGCTTGAAATACCTACCAAAACACTTGAATAAAGACATACTGTCAGTATGGAAATGCTCTGTGCAGGTGTTAATCAAGTTAAATCCCAACAGCCAATCAGCAAGAAATGCTCTGTGCAGGTGGAAATGCTCTGTGCAGGTGTTAATCAAGTTAAATCCCAACAGCCAATCAGCAAGAAGTATAGAGGAAAGCTGCATGCCTATTGGTTGATGCCCTGCATTCCATTGTGATGACTCATGCCCAGACGTGGTAAACACGGCACACTAACACAGTAATACATTTGCTATAACACAGCCAAAAAACTCAAATAAAACTATTCTAAAAGCCTGTACCACAAAAATTTAAAAAACGTCTAGGGGTATTTGCCCACTGTACCTCCATACCAAATTTCAGGACCTTAGGCCCTAAAATGAAGAAGCTGAATCCATTTAAAAAATGGCAGGAGAAGGAGGAGAAGAAGAAGAAACATCAGAAAAAGCAATATGGGTTCACCACCACTTCGTGGTGTGGTGAACCCATAACTATAAACCAAGTAACAGTGCACTGTGAACTATGTAACACCTTTAGTGCACTATGCACCATGTAACATCTAGCGTCAGTGAACAGTAAACCAGTCAGAATTGCCCTGATGAAGATGACAGACGGTCGGCTCGTGAGAAATAAATGGTTGTGATCAAAGAACTTTGATGTCCATTTGTTTACCAACCTGATGAAATTATTTACGGATAAAAACTTACCGTTTGCTGGACATGACTGCCGTTTCTGTGTTCAGGCTGATGTGAGAGAGACGGTAACCGTTGTACTTGGTACTTGACCCTGTACTTCATTTTATACCTTTATAGGTCCTCAGGGATTCTATTATGCGGTGATGGGTGAAGAAGGCTCCTGATGTCATAGAAGTTTTATTATAGCATGGTTTGCGTCAAGGCTAAATCCATTCCTTATCCTTGACGATGCTATGATGCTTATTTTTGTATTTCATAACGTAAGCTAAGGAATTTGGGTATTGCAGCTCTTGTATTATTCATGGAAGATAAAAGATGCCCTTGGAAGCTAAAATAGGCATGGCCAGTTGAATGCATGAAGTCTTAACATTGTATAAGGCCACAGCAAGTAAATTTTATGGATGACATCCTCCGCAGACTCCAAATCTAAAGCGAGCGGGGGAAAAACAAGGCGGGCCGAAAAAAACTAGGTTCCTATGTATACATTTTAAAATTTTGATTCAATCATGGTACAAATGGTTTTGATTCATTGGGAACATCACATATACACAGCCAGCATCACATATCACTGCATCAAAGTAAGAAACAAAACATTAAATCAGAGCCTTTTCTTGTCTCTTCTCTTCAAAGTTATCTGCCATCCATCTTCCGGCATGGCAACAGACATCTTTGCCCATTTTCGGCATGTTGACCACTGTCACCGGAATTCAACAAAATTTCTTGTTTTTTTTCCATAATCAGGCAAAAATTAATGCGCGCGCTGATTTCATCCATAAAAATTACTTGCTGTGGCCTAATTACACCAGTAGGAACTCTTCTGTTTTTCTACACCCATTCTACAGTATGCATGCTATGAATTCTGTCTTAACTCAGGTCAGTGTGATGTCATGGCAATTGATACTGAAGAATAGATAAGTTAAGAGCACTTAAGATGTATTATTGACGACCGCCTTACATAACTAGAGGGTTGAAGTGAATAGACGGTGCGTCAACGTTGTTGCCATGGGGAAAAGGTGTGTCATACCTTAAAGTTTCGTACATCTGTAGCGTAAAACGTGACCTATAAATGAAAAAAAAACATTGCATGACAGGGATATACTTTGAAACTTTTATTACTGATATAATCTTATTAAGTGAGACAATATAGATCAAGTTATGTCTACAAACGTTCTGGGTAAACATATATCACACTGTTAACACTCATGTTGTCCTTGTCACGAGAGAAAGCCATGGTGAGGTCTCAAGGGAAACTGTCGACATCAGAAGCCTTTTTATGGTCTTTACAATAGAAGTTCATATGTCAGCAGGTTCCTGTCAAATGTGCGCAACAAATCGTACAAACAAAAGACATGTGTGCTGCCAGTTAGGTGTCTTTGCGCATGCTTAAGTCGGCAGAAGAAATATTCTAGTGAAAACATAGACGATGTAGTTACGTCACCTTTCTTACGTATGCGCACGTACTAACGCAATGGTACCACAATGGATGATCACGCAATATGGTTAAGTTAAGTGATCTCCAAGCAGATCTTTTGGTGGCTGCAAAGTCAGTATGGTAACTGTCTAACAAGTAAATACAGCTTGGCGAATTTCATACTGTCTTTGCAGCCACCAAAAGATGCTTGAATAAGTATAGAGAAGTAACATTTGCAAAGCAAATGCATAATGTTTACCTTCAGACATGGTCTGCCCTGTTAATCTTTATTTTAACACATTCACATTCATGTACTACGAGTATATGGTGACAGGAGCAGAGCAGACCATGAAATTGCAACATTATGTAACCCAACACCAGTCACCATGGTGACAGACGTCAACAAATCATGTCATTGGCCAGGTCAGAGGTTAGTGTTTGGAACAGAAGAGGAGGAAGAAACTGTGTAAAAACAATATGTTTTCCTTCGGTAAACATAATTATAGGTTATAAGTACTATACATAACTAGAGTTCGATGATCTCATACCTCCATGACATGTGTATTGTTTTCATAAATCTTACGTATGGTGATGACCACCTGTAATTGGCTTACATTTTTCACCGCATATATTCAAATCATATGAGGCCATTTGCATATATTGTATCAATTGATCATACTCTCCACCAAATGACAGGGTTATCTTAAGAAATAAGGCTATTCTAGCGTTTCCTCATAAATTATGCAAATGAGGTCCTGATTGACATAAATTATGTTTAGTGATGTTCACCTTCACTGAACTTCCAATTATGGCAAGTATTAAATTCCCAGCAGTTACTACCATAAAATTGTACCAATTTGCCATTTATTATGCAAATTAGGTCTTCCTTTACATAATCGATATCTGCCAATGATCTTGTCGTTCTCACTAACATATGTCTATAGAGTTTTATAGCCCTAATATGAAATACAGCTGATTTATAGAATTTCCTCATTAATTATGCAAATTAGATCCTGATTTGCATAATGATATTTTGATTATGTCAAGCATCACTTAAGCTACCTACATACCAAAAATCATGATGATCCATCAAACGGTTGTTCAGTTATCCTCTCTCGAAGATTTTCAAAGAAACCACCCTGCAGTTCCAGAACAAACCGCTAGGGGAACCAAACTCACGTGACTTCTTCCCGAGGACAAGAGCTACCTTCCATCCAAATTTCATGACCCTAGCATGTCCAGATCGCGAGATATCAAAACCGGAAGTTGCGCTGCAGTACCAAGGGAAGCCACTAGGGGGCCCAAAATCTAATCATTTCCAGTTTTCGTCACACCCTACCAACACACCAAGTATGAAACTAATCCATCCAGGCGTTCTTGAGTTATCTTGTTGACCAACAGACTGACAGACGGACAGACAGACAGACGGACAGACGGACAGATAAACGCAACTGAAAATATAACCTCCATGACACATTTCATGGAGGTAACAATACAACTGATGAGACGTCTGTGACTTTAAACTACTACTGTATTAGTTGAGAACAGGTTAAATAGCGTATTTATATAAACTGGTCACACATTATCTTAAGACATCCTATCCAGATTAAAATGTCGAATGAAAAGAGATATGCCACTTGTATTCAAATTAGTTCTACTCCTAGTTTGAAAACAAAAACAAACGCTAGAAACATGAATTATGTACAAATGATTCTATAGCTAAATATGTGTGTATCTATTATGACTATTGTCTTGGATTGTCAACCAACGTAAAGTGATTAGCTCTTGGAATTAGAAGAACATCATCTCCAGAAGGATCTTGATCCAGGAAAGCAGAAATATCTGAAGAAAAAGAGGAAAATAATGCAACTTGCAACGTCTTGAATCAAAAAGCCAAACAACTAAATCCAGGAAGATCTCTGAAATGCCATTCTATGATATTGGCTGTGGATATATACACTAATAATTATACAAATATCATAATTGAATGCAGAGTAAGGTTCTATACATACTGGAGAGGCCTCTATGAGTGGAATGAGCATCAGGATGCCGACCAACAGCAGCAGTATCCTGATGATGGTCCACTTGTGGTACTTCCACACGATAAACTTCATGGTTCTGAGCGGAGACGTGAACCACAGGAACGACGTGTCCGGCCGTCTAAAAAGTTCACAAAAGGACGAGGATTACGTTTTAACCTGCGATTATAAATGCTTTGAAATGTTGCAACCAAACATTGCAATGATTTTGACAAGCATTGTGTAGGCTTTACTTGATTTAGTTTAACTACAAATGACTACACAAATGATACACATTATTCTCATTAAAAATTTTGTCGACTGTTAAACTTCTAGCTACTGGGATGAGTGAGTGAGTGTGTGAGTGAGTAAGTGAGTGAGTGGGTGAGTGAGTGAGTGAGTGAGTGAGTGAGTGAGTGAATTAGTGAGTGATCGAGTTAGTGAGTGAAAGAGTGAATGAATGAGTGAGTGAGCGAGTGAGTGGGCTAGTGGGTTAGTGTGTGTGTGTGTGTGTGAGTGAATGAGTGAGTGAGTGAGTGAGTGAGTGAGTGAGTGAGTGAGTGAGTGAGTGAGTGAGTGAGTGAGTGACTGAGTGACGCAAATGGGTATACTAAGTATCTGTCAACTAGATACTTCGGTAGACTCACATCGGTGGTTCTAACACAGGGTGTGTGTTCGGCTCCTCCCTCCCCCTTCCGACTGGCCTCTGCTTTGCCAGGGTGGCCGGCAGTACTTCTAGCTCCAGTTGGACTTTTCCCTTCAAAGTCGTCAAAATATGTTGATATCGTGTTTGATGTTTGCATAATTATATGAATAAACACCTCAAAGGTTTATCATGAAAGTTCATATATGTTAGTAGTAGTAATCATGATAGTAAAATGTTGAACGTTATTCCAACACAAGGGTTACACGGAGATAAAATTTTCAGCGACCATTGTCCCCTTCATCAGGATAATTAAGAGTTTATATTTCAAAATTTTATATTTCATTTAACGGCTAGATAGAATTAGAGTAAAATTCACACAAAATGATACAGTGATAGATTATACGCTTTATGTTCACTACGATTTAATACTCACTGTGACTTCGCTGGACCCGTCTTGTTTCATCCGCTGACACGGCCACCACCCCTTGAGTCGCCGTACGTGGAACAGGGACACATTTTTTACTCCTTCCTCTTTAACTGCCGTCTTACAGTCTTTTGCCATCGCCGCTGGTTGGACCATGTTCACCAAGTTCAGAGTCAACATGCCTGAAAATAGATGTGCGCGCATATATCAGACAGCGTGATAGAAGGATCATTTTGTTCAGATTAAGGCTACACTTGTAGCTAAACTAACCTAAACTGAACTAAGGTAAAGTAAAGTAAACTAAACTAAACCAGCTCTTTATCATTGAATGAAGACCCAGGTAGTCATCCGGTGAAAACTAGTCATTCTCTAAACTAAACTAAACTAAACTAAACTAAACTAAACTAAACTAAACTAAACTAAACTAAACTAAACTAAACTAAACTAAACTAAACTAAACCAAACCAAACCAAACCAAACCAAACCAAATCAGGTCTTTATTATTGTAGCAACACACTGGACCTTACCCAGGTAGTCATCGGGTGAAAACTTGTCATTCTCCCATAGTTGGATGAGAAGTTTTGGATATTCGCGTCTCTCAGTTTTGTCGATACTCCACACATGCGTCTGCACAAAATAGTACATAGTTACATACAACCATACATAACTAAAAAGGATGTAAAGTGTACGATACAGTTCCCTGTATGTAAATATTATACGTTTGGGAATGCATCTATAGCGGCGACACCTGTGCTGCAGTGCAATGTGAACCAGTCAGAATTGCCCTTGAGGAAGGTGACAGACGGTCACCGAAACGTCGGCTGAATAACAGACTTGGTTGTGTAAAAAGATTGTCTTTACTCAGTGACTTAGCAACCTGATGAAATTAAGTAAGAAGTAGAAAACTGAATAGTATCGCCTGCTAATGGTTTTACCTTCTTCGTGATCGACATCACCCTTTCCGCTGCGATGTAGTTAAAAGGGAAGACAAATCTCCAGTTGAAATTTCCCTCGCCGTTCATGGATCTGCAGAATTTTAAGAAAAAAATTAGAAAAGAAATACAAAACCTTATGTGAATTCCAATCTACATGGTAACTTCCAGGTTTAACCATCCAACATGGCGGACAACTGTTACGTCATAGTCACGTGAGTGAAAACATCCAAAATATCGATGGAACATGGAAATCCTTTTTTTTCTATACTGATAAGTATAAAAAATTCACCTGTAGTGAACATCTGTAGATTGGACATCCTCTTCCAGACCAACCAAGTTACTGAAATATAGTCATGAACAAAATTAACCAAAAACCAACATTCTTTATATCTTGATATTCAGTTATAGTTATATTATAATATTTGATGTGATATTATGACGTTTAATTAATTTATCATTTTAAAATAGATGGATGCTGAGAAAACCCTCTTACCCTTTGACATAGATGTCACTCATCATTTCTCCAGTCACAAAACTCGTCTCGTCCAACACAACTTCACTCGTGTTTAAGACAGCCACACGCAGTTCATATCTAACAGAGAAAAGAACATCTTATCGTGTATACTAACCGCAAAGAAATCGTATACTAACCGCAAAGAAATCGCTAATTTAGGCAAAGAATATGAATAATATCAAACTCTGTTTGAAGATCTATGCCAAGTTGCCACTGGGTTTAACATTGAAAAGTATGTAATTACGCTCACACATATGTGTTCTTCCAAGTTGCCTCATTAAAGCAGGATTTTTAATATGCATATCGGTATGATATGACGTGAAGTACTTGTACTCACTCCTGAGGCACACGTGGTGAGATGTTAACCTCGGGTCCAGGCGGGCCGTACGTTTTAGGGAAAATATCAACCCACATCTGCAGTTTCCCCTGGAACATTCATGGAGTGTACTGGTTAAGACAGATGACTTTAAAATGTAATGGCGCTATTTCAAATAACATAAATCCATGCATTTTACGTATTTGTAATTAACGCTCATCTACAGTGTTGTCAATACATTAAACTGTCATTAGATGTGAGAGTCCATTGTACAGTACATCATGCATCCGATAGTGGCGCCTGGTTTCCTCAAACAGATGTTCAGGGGAATGACGTGAGTCTTAACCGTTTACCTCGAAGAATGAAAAGTATGCAGGGAACTGCTGCCTGGTTTGTTCGTAAGTACACATAGCATTCCATCTAACAATGTCCACGTTGATGGAAAAAATAAAACTTCTTAACCTGTTCTAAGCCAGGCTGTAGCGGACTGTACAGTGCACGGGTCTCCACATGTTCCGGTACCAGGCACAAGGAACGGAGAACCTTCAGGGCCAGCTTCTGTCTCCTGAGCCACAGGTCATCCTTAGCGGAAACGTCGTCTGGGAAAAAATTAGGATTTCAAGCTTTAACTAAAACCAGTACCTTCTCAATGGCCTGTGACGTAAATAGTTAGACGTAGCATCATATGTCGTATGTCTGAAAGTAAATGTCCGAAATAGCTGACCAGACATCGCCATGTTTTGTCTTCAGATTGTTACCTACGTATACATTTGCTGTCACACCAATGAAATACCACAATCACGACCTAGTATAATAGTACACGATGACTCACCAGCATCGGTGAGTGTGTGTGCCTTTCCGCAAAACTCCAGCGTGAGACCACTGTCCCCTTTGAACCTCGGCGGTGAGAGACCATGTCTGACTGAGTACTGCTTCAGAATCTCCTCCGGTTGCTGGCTGTCCCTCCAACAATTTATGGTTTTCCTAAACAAATTTGAAATATCAAGATTAATTTTCAATACAGCATTCATATGCTCATAGATGTAATCAGAATTTATCTATTCATTCACTCATTCACTCTCATTCACTCACTCACTCATTCACTCACTCACTTACTCTCTCTCTCATTCATTCACTCACTCACTCACTCACTCACTCAATCACTCACTCACTCACTCATTCACTCACTCACTCACTCATTCACTCACTCACTTACTCTCTCTCTCTCATTCATTCACTCACTCACTCACTCACTCACTCACCCACCACTCACTCTCACCCACTCACTCTCACTCACTCACTCTCACCCACTCACTCACTCACTCACTCACTCACTCACTCACTCACTCACTCACTCACTCACTCACTCACTCACTCACTCGGTCCCGTATCGACAAAAGTTTGTGTACCATTTGTGTACTCATTTGTAATCAAACTAAATCAATTAAGTGAAGACTACACAGTCCACAGTTCCTCCATCTCTTCAGCCATTATTTAACCAGAATTATTTGTGACCAGAATTATTTGTGCAAATTTGTGCAACTTGCAAAGTTAACCACCTAGCATGTCGAAGGGTCGCTACGTCATGGTCACGTGAGTGCAAACTGCCTATGAGATATGAGACCCTCACCTGTGGTACCTGCGCGGCAGCCCGCATGTGGCCCTGTGACGTGATAGGTAGCGATCCTCCAGGTCTATCGTGGTCTGTCCAATCAGATCGTCCGCGCTGAGGACGTCCTTGTCGTACACGGAGATGTGCAGGTCCTTGTCCTGTGGCAGGCGCGTCGTGAACTCGTACATCCTATATGTTAAAGAAATAACAGCGTAAACCTGATATATGTATACCAACTTCTTTTATCCTTCAAATATAATAGCATTGAGGAAAAGCTAACCGAAGAAGCATCGAGGGACGTAGGGCGCATTATGCAGGTGATATTTCGCCCATTTCGCCCACTTCGCGTTATGTTTGAATCTCTCTCTGTTCGTTTTCTTTGAAAAATGTAAAAAAAAAGTTACCTCCCAAATATCGGATCCAGGGTATTTGGTATGTAGTTCTCGATGTCGTCCACTGTGTAGTCACCACAACTTATACTCAGGTAGGGATCGGCCTACATACAGAGTAAAGGAACAATAAAGCAATCGTCAAAAATAATCTTATATCCGAATCTGACAAGTACCATCATGGTTAAAGAACGGTCAGTCATCGGGTCCGACCCTACAACTAATTGCCTTTCTTTAGGGTCCGACCTTACAACTAATTGCCTTCCGTATTTCTTTACAATACAGGCTATCTAGTTGCTAGTAAGATGTTTGATCACCATTACGTCTAAACACGTCCTAAAACTTACCAGTCCTGAAGTGTCGTGCGGCTGTAGACCGATAGCCCGTACAACGTAGACCCTCACTACACATTCTACAGGCATCTCTGGTAGGTGCGGTTCGGTCCTGTGATCTGTGCTCTGACCGACGATAGGGCTTAACTTGACGGAACCCTATTTAATATGGGCATAGATTCCAGGCGTTAGAATATGGTGTTCATTGACCAACTGTGTATGCAGTCGTCAGCTACGACAGTATAGCAATGGCATAGATGTCGCCTTCTTACACAAAATCGTAGACATTTATTTATATGGGTTTATTCGTGATCAACTGCACTAGGGTTGCATATTGCCAAATACTTGTCAGCGTAAATAATGTCACGTGTCTGTAACAGTAATTTTCGCGATATTACGTTCGGAAGTGATTGGTCAATAATTATCCTGATGAAGGAGACAGTGGTCGTTGAAATTTTGATATCTGTGTATTTTTGTGTTGGAATAAACTTAAACATTTTACTATGATTACTACCAACACAGATGAACTTTCATGATACTGTCAGCGTTCTTTGTTAACAGAAAAATGATCGATTGAAACATAATTAAAGTTTGTTGATGATGAATTTACCTTGAACTGCCCAGCGGTACCGCCATCGTCTTCATAACTCTCCCTGCCCCGCTCTAACGGGTACAGCTGCACGAAGTCTGTCAGACCTTGGAAGGCCGGAACCTTTTCAAGTTCACAGTCATACACCTAGAAGAAAACACAATACCATAATTTATCATCTTCTAGCCACATGACCATTGTGATATGAGCTTAAGGAAGGATGGCGGATATCATCTGAAAGCTTCTCTGAGCTGAACTTTTACTATAATGACTACTAACGTTAGTACTTTATTCCGTTATGTTTTAAGGCCACCTCCTTGTCATTTCACAACACAATGACACAATTTTGAATACATTTCGTGCTACCTTTAATGCAACTGCTTAATACAACAAGACCATAGCATGTCCAGGACAAATAAACCAAAAACCGGAAGTTCTGCTGCAGTACCAAGGTCAAAATCGAACTTCACCTTTGCCTACCCAACACCTACCTACATTCCAAATATCATTACAATCCATCTAAGGGTTCAAAAGTTATGCTGGCTGCAAATGTCCGGAAACACAAACACACAAACGAACACACACACAGACGCACCAAAACAATACCCCCGTTTTTCATGGAGGTAAAAATGGCGTGTAAATACCTCCAACAGATCATGGCGCAGAGAAGGATCTCCTTTCTCCAGGTCTCCGATGGAGGTGTAGAACAGACTCCACCAGTCTATGTCAGTCTCAAGCACAGGGGGTAGACTGGACCCTGTGTTCTGTAGGAAGCATTGGCACCTTTGTTTTAAACATTGTGTTCAACTCCTTTGTATACTTGCTTCGTGCTTTAATGTATTAGATAATGCACTAGGTAATGCACTAGTTAATGTACTGGATAGTGTACTAGTTAATGTACTAGATAATGTACTAGATAATGTACTACTTAATGTACTAGATAATGTACTACTTAATGCATGGGATAAATAAATGTACTAGTCAATGTACCAGATGATGTACTAGGTAATGTACATAATGTACTAGTGAATGCACTAGATAATGTACTAGTAATATACTGAATGTAGACTCGCCATACTCCATGTAGCAGTGAACACTACATAACGTGTATGGTGACAGGAAAAAAAAGATATGGTCAGTAATTTTGTTTTTCGTTGTGATGATGGATTCTACACATACAAATGCTGGATTGCCAACCAATTGGAACATATATAGAGTGTTTAAATCAGACTATACCTTAAGTCGTGTTTGCAGTTGTGACAGCCTATCAGATGTTTGGTCTGAAATGAAAATATCAAAAGACTATTAATCAATTACCAGACAGACATACATTTCCTTATACATTGTAGAAGAGCGACAACTATTGTAACTGTTGTCAGACAAAATCACTTGTAATTCAAGTACATGTCTATTAGCTGTATGCCAGTACACATCTACAGGTAGAATGTATTCATCTTTTAGGCCACACCAAGTAAATTTTATGGATGACGTCCAAGCGCGCATTGATTTTGGCCTGTTCCTAGAAGAAAAAAAAAGAAATTCCGCTTCCTTTAACTATGACCAAAGAATCACGATAGTGCCGCAAATCGTCAGATCGTGAAACCCGTAACGCCGAAAGCCTGTGCCTGGTTAAAAAAAATTGAAAACAAAAATGAAAAAAAAAAACAAAAAAACAAAATGGCACTGAAAAAAATCCTGTCAATAGTTCCAAAACAGTGCCGTTTTTGGAACTATCAAAAGACAGGATGTTCCTGTCAGCAGTGCAATATTTCTAATATCTAGGCATCTTGTTTTTTAGGGCCCTTCTTGTTTTTTTTCGCCCTCTCGCATTAGATTTAGGGTATCCAAAGGACGTCATCCATAAAATTTACATGGTGTGGCCTTAACATGACTGTCCAAAATACATGTCCAAAGCTTTTATAATGTACCCTTGTCGCAGTCGATACACTGTACTGGTGACGATGGCTGCATCTCATACAAGCTGAGAGTGTTAATGACGTGAACTCCCGCTAGAGGCTTGAACCCGAATAGCCTGTTGTCGTACACCTTTATCGTCATAGGGGGCATGTAGTCAGGATCTACAGGCAGCTCCTGAAAACGCCATGAACAACGGTTGCCACGGAATAAAGATAGTCAAGTCAAAGTTTATTGCACAACAATGGGAGCAGATACAATGTATGGCAGATAATAGGATTACAAGCTGGTATTGGTGTAGCAAAATTCGACATATATATTCAAAGGGTACTGTGTTTGGCAGAATGTTTTTATTCAATAGAACTACTGACTAAGACCTAGTACCGATCTACTTGAAGACAGTCATACTTCATAGATAGCTATTTAGCAGAGGAACTCAAAATATATTTTTCAGTCAAATCTAAGGAAAGAACCCTGAAAACTTAACTACCATGTACATATGAGGCTGCATTCAACTTGAACGAGAGAGGGAGATGGGGCACAACAGAATACGACACGTACCATTTCCGTGTGCAGCAGGGGACGCCTAAAGTTGGGGTTGTCCTTGGCGTTGGCGATCACACTGGACCTCAGCACAACTTGACCCGCGATTGCAAACTCGACTGACGGAGAATTGACCACGAGAAGATGGCACCGCTTCATGTTCCTCACTCCCCAGGAGATCACCTGTGATACACGCAGTTATACTTATTTTTACATATCATATGCCACAGCAAGTGATTTTCATGGATGACATCAATGCGCGCAAGATCTCTGTTGCCATTGCGGAACGTGGATGGCAGATAAGTATATATGAAGAGAGGAGACAAGGCAAGGTTCTGATTCATTGTTTTGTCTTTTGCTTTGATGCAGTGATGCATTTCATTCCTTTTATATGCGATGTTCCCACTGAATCAAAACTATTTGTACAATGATTGAAAACTTTTATTTTTCAAAGTTGTTTCAGTGACAAATGGATGTTTAGGTATAGCTATCATTTTTTGTATTTTTGGCCCGCCTTGTTTTTTTTCCGAATATCGTTTTAGATTTGGAGTCTGTGGAGGATGTCATCCATAAAATCTACTGCTTGCTGTGGCCTAAATGTATGGGTATCTAAGAGGTCTGCTTTAAGCTAAAATCAAGCACAAATGTATTCTATACAGCATTGTATAAATGTGCATGTTTTTATACAATATGTAAAATATTCACAAAATAGAAGAAGAAGAACTTTATTGACACAACGTAAGGTCTAAGACATGTAGATATACAGACAAATATAGATGGGTACAACGAAAATATGCTACGTACAGAACAATAGGTGGGTCAACTAATACTACCTGTTCTAAGGTTTAAACATTCTTTGATATATTTACCTATTTGTACACGGTAAGGGTTATTGCCTTCTAGGATGAACTTAGATTTATCTGTAGCATGAAATGTAACAAATTCTGTTGAGCAGGCGGAGAGAAGGTTGAACAGCTTTATGCGTTTATCGTTATATAGTGTACAATTCTGATCAGTACTACTCACGTCAATGGCCATCCTCCTCATTTTGGGTCGGATGGTATCTGGTATGGTGTACACGTGCTGCAGATCTTTGCTTGCCTTTGCTGGGGACAGGATGGGTGGCTCGGCCCCATTGCCTACCTGTAGTAGAGAAATACATGCAGATTGAGCAAGAATTTAGTTGTTATGACGGTGTGACGGAGACCCTGAGCGCCCATGGCCTGACACCGCAGCAAGCCACTCGACTTGCCCAGAACCGCCTTCTCCACCTCCCCGCGACGCCCCCATAGCGCGACGCCCCCATAGAGGTAGAGGCGGCCGGATAAAGTAAAGTAAGTAAGTTGTTATGATAAATCAAGTATACTGAAGTCATATTAGATCTTCAAATATATAATGAATGTGAAATTGACCCATTACGTACGTACATAAATACACACACAAAAAATCACACACACACGCACATACACAAACACACACAAACACACAAACAAACACACGTACAAACACAAAGAGAAGGAGCTTAGGAGAGAGAGAGAGAGATTGACAATGAGACACATACGTACACGAAACAGTTTGCATGTAGCCAGCAGGTCTCCATGATGTTTGCCCCCAACAGAGATCGGATACCAGCGCAGTTTTGTGTCTCCCAGCTGCTCACCTGTAGCCACCTCAGGTGTCATCTTCACAGTCCCCAGGTGTTCATTGCGCTGGGACACAAGTTACGTAACTCCCGTAAATAATTTCACCAGGTTGGAAGATACTTAGGGTATAGAATTTTCTTCTTACACAACCAGTAAGGTTCTCACCTGCTTACGTTTCGATGTCGATCAGACACCTTCCTCAGAGCTTCTGACTAGAGTTCTGCAACTCGCCGCTATTTAATGCCAAAGTAGGTGGCGGGACGAGGGGGGGATACAAGTTCAGCCACGTTTGGGATTGCATTCTCGCCGCAAAAGCGCCACCTACTTTGGCGTTAAATAGCGGCGAGTTGCAGAACGCCAGTCAGAAGCTCTGAGGAAGGTGTCTGATAGACATCGAAACGTAAGCAGGTGAGAACCCTACTGGTTGTGTAAGAAGAAAATTCTATACCCTAAGTTACGTAACTGTTTTTTTTTTCAAATGGCAACAATGGATTATCGAGTTGACTGCCATTCAACATCTTATATAAACTACATTATGATACTATTTGATAGATATCATCTATTAACATAACATACATGAAGATGAACACCAAGTGCTATTAAAAACTTTACAAGATATATATGACAACGTCAAAGCAGAACACTGGCAAATACTTAATGTCATGCAGGAATGAACGTATAGTGGACACATTATGTAACCATGTTACCAGATGTTTCTGAAGGAACGAAGAAATGGCGATTAACAGTAGATGATAAGTGTTATATAGTGTTGTTGTAATATATAGACTTTTAGCACTAGAATTAGAATGTGGCCTTTCAGTAATCTCCAAGCAGATCTTTCGGTGGCAAGACAATATCCATTGGCCAGAGGAGTGTCCATTAGCCACCGGTTGGCTAATGGATACAGGACGGCCAATGGATACAGGATGGCCAATGGATACTGTCTTTTCCCACCCAACCGAAAGATCTGCTTGGAGATTAGCCTTTCAGTGTTCAATACTCCATGTTTTATATCCTGTAAACCACATTGTGTCACATGTGCATGTAGGAACGAATATGCAATAAAGATTCATTCAATATTCGATAGAGAACCACGTATTACATACCCACAGGTCATGGTCGTACACTTGCACCAGCACAGGAGGCGGGTTAGCGGCTATAGTCTCTGGTGCCCCGTAGATCTTTAACTCCTTGAACACCAGGGTTTGGTTCCAGACGGGGTTCAGCGTCTTTTTGACAATGTTAGTCCTCTGACTTCGGCAAGAGAAGAACACAGACAGAAAGGGATCTGTTTGCAAGGGAGAGATTTATAAAATCAATTTATTGTCATAAATCAAATTCCAACTATATTGAAAAAATGGTAATCGCCAATATTAGACTGTTTGTGGTATATCATTGTAGCTACAAATGCACATAAACATTCAAACTTCAAGCTGGCAACTTCCATGTTAACCGTCAAGCATGGCGGACAATGACATAGTCACGTGGGTGCAAACACTAATCCAACACGTTTTTTTTAGGCCACACCAAGTAAATTTTATGGATGACGTCCTTTGGAGACCTTAAATCTAATGCGAGAGGGCGAAAAAAAAAACAAGAAAGGCCCTGAAAAACAAGATGCCTAGATTAGAAATAAACTAAGAGACGACAAATGTTAGGACACAAATTGAATGAGGTGACACAGTGTAACAAGCAAGAAGTTATTCATCATCAAAAAAGCAATGAATCAGGTGGAACAGCAGTTGTCGTCCTGTCCTGTTTCTTTCATCACATTCTGCAGGCCTGCAGAAACAAAGCATGTGCTCTTTACCCATTTCGCGTTACGGGGTTCACGTCAATCTAACGATTTGCGGCACTGTCGTGACTCTTTGGTCATAGTTACAGGAAGCGGAATTTCTTGGGGTTTTTTCTAGGAACAGGCCAAAATCAATGCGCGCGCGGACGTCATCCATAAAATTTACTTGGTGTGGCCTTATCTCTTACCGTCCATGCCATCTCTGTCAGCAGACTGCAGATCCCTGGCTTGGTAGATGTAACAGTGTAACTTGTACTCATGGCCTGTTAGAAAAACATGAAGTACACAAGTCATAAGTTACACCATACCGGTGTACGTTAGTCGAGTAAGAAACAAAAGTATAATATACAAGATAATATCAAGTAAACGTTAAAAATTGCCGTTATATTCATACATACCCTCTGTCAGTAGGTACAGACCAGGCAAAGGATCCATGTCAACATCTCCAGTATTTTCCTGCGTAAGGAAAGAAACGTCTGGTTCAATGACAAACATTTCGAACGTCAGCCATTACGAAGGTGTTGCATATTTGCTACAAGTGAGCCAATTGTGATGATGATGGCTGTTTCTTCGCATCCGAAGATCTATGTGTTGGTGATTGATACTCATAGTTACATTAACGCCAGCATTTAAAAACAGACTGTAGAGGATCGCAGACTGTAGGACTGAGCCTTGAAACTGACCGAACCAAATGTGCATGTATTGTGACCACTTTGTACATGTTTGTAACATTATGTATATATATGTATATAACATTGTGTTGTACAACACAACTATATACAAATAATGTTACAAACATGTACAAAGTGGTCACAGTATATGCACATTTGGTTCGGTCAGTTTCCAGGTTCAGTCCTACAGTCTCTGTAGTTTTTATGAATGTATTTTTTAATGTGTGCCCACGGATATCTGAAAAAAAGATCCACGGATCTGAGATATACCCTGGTAAGATAGATAAAGTTGAAACTTGATTTTTAAACTACCATGGCATGCAGTACTGATAAACCACAGGTGTCCCCTTGTTCTGTAGCCACCCGTTGCATCTGCCCAGCGGATGTGGCATCGTCTTCTACAGTCAAACCGCGCGGGAGTGTGTTGCGGAAGATACGCTGGGCATCATTGTCCTTAAACACAAGAAAACGTGCAATGATTTATAAGAAATATTATTGTTAAAGAGACTGGATCCCTGTTGATGCGAAAATATCAATATAATGATATGAAACATCAACCTGGATATGTAACCATGGAAGGAAAATATAATAGAAAGCAATATGATGTAGCCCAACACTAGTTACCATGGTAACAGACAGTCTGGTTAAGGTCATTGACCTTTTTGGTTTGGAGAAGAAGAGGAAACGTAGTAAAAACAACATGTTTTCCTTCGGTAAACATAACCAGTCATTGTATCTTGAATCTGATGGTACACAATTTTTTTTTTCTGAAGGAAGTACGTACTTACATATTTTATGTACATTGAAAGCTCTTCCCCGTGCAGTTGATGAAGGAACTCTGTGTCATCTCTGTCCTCGCTAAACCACGCTTTCATCCTCAGGAGACAAGGAGTCCTTCCATCCTTTATATTCTTACAGCCAGGGTCCTATGTAAATATAGGTGCGGAATGGCTTAAAGAAAAGTATACATTTCCCAAGCTTTCAGTTGCAGTAAAGTACATTAGGTAGAGTGTAAATGGAAAGTACAGGGAAGCTAACTCCGTCAAAACGCAAAGGGCTTTCTTGTTGGTCAGAAATTACGAAAAGGACTTTCATGGTTGATTGATGATATACTAAAATGACTTTCTTGGTTGCTTGATAAAGGACGAAAAGGACTTTCTTAGTTGCTTGATAAATACGAAAATGGGTTTCTTGGTTGCTTGATAAAATGCAAAAATTGATTTCTTGGTTGCTTGATGAAATACAAAAAGGACTTCCTTGGTTGCTTGATAAAACACAAAAAAGAGCTTACTTGGTTGGTCAAACGCGCGACTTCCGGGTACTTACCTTGAGGTTGACATAATGTACAGACCCACAGAGCTCACCGCGTGCCCTCGCATCGGAGCAGTAGAAGACCTGGGCAGGCTTGATGCGGCGGTAGGCCACGCGCTTATCATTGATGACAAGCCACAGGAAAATATCCGGCAGACTCAGCTGTGGCTGTAATAAATAAATAAATAAACATAACTAGAGTCCCACGATCTCATACCTTCGCCAAATGATGTTAATCTTTATGACTGACAAAGCTGATCATGATTCCTCCTGATTATGCAAATAGCATCCTCATTTGCATAAATTATATCAGTTGATCATATTCTCCATCAAAAGACAGTTTTATCTTAATAAAGAAAGCCATTCTATCATTTCCTCATAAATTATGCAAATGAGGTCCTTATTTGAATAAGTTATGTTTAATGATGTTCAGCTTCACTTAACTTTTAAATACCCCAAGTATAAAGTTCCAGGCAGTAACCATTATGGAATTATAACATTTTCTCAATAATTATGCAAATTAAGTGTTAATTTACATACTCAATATCTGCCTGTGTTTCTCTCATTCTCAATTTCACATGTCACAAGCTTGAATAGTCCTATAATGTAATGCAGCTGATTTATAGAATTTCCTCATTAATTATGCAAATTACATCCAGATTTGCATAATTGTCACATAATTATGTCAAGCGTCACATAAGCTACCTACATACCAAAAATCATGAAGATCCGTCCACCGGTTCTTGAATTATCCTCTTTTGAATAATTTCAAAGAAATGTCCCTGTAGTTCCTGAGCAAGCCGCTAGGGGGCCCAAACTTGCGTCACTTCTTCCCGAGCACAAGGCCTACCTACCATTAAAATTTCGTCACCCCAGCTTGTCCAGATCACGAGATATCAAAACCGGAAGTTCAGCTGCAGTACCATTAGAAGCCGCTAGGGGGCCCAAAATCTAATCATTTCGAGGTCTCATCAAGACCTACCCACCTACCAAATATGAAGTCAATCCATTTAAGTCTTCTCAAGTTATCGTGTTTACAGACACACACACACACACATACACGAACGCCTCTGAAAACATAACCTTCTTGGCGAAGGTAAATATATAGATTAAGGTAACATTTGCAAAGCAAATACATGTTTAATTCGCATATGGTCTGCTCTGTTAATTCTTACTAAAACACATTCATATACTTGTATATGGTCAGACAGGAGTCTAAATCCCTCCTGCTATAAAATTGCAACATGATGTAACCAACACTAGTTGCCATGGTAACCGTCAGTCTGGTTCAGGTCATTGAGGTCATTGTTTGGAGAAGTAGAAACGTAGCAAAAACAATATACTTTCCTTCGGTAAACATAATAAAACCACAAGCCATAAAACTTTAAGTAAATGACCGGTTCAAATTTCAATTAAATTACAGCAATTTTAAAAATTTTTTTGGTTAGCCTAATCGACCTACGGACTTACATCATCTGATAAGTCCATAATAGTCTTCAGGAGCCCCGCAATATCGTAACTCGTTGTCTGTTTGGCAATACGATTGTGCCCGGTAGCTTCGTCAGAAGTGCCATCGATGTCGTCTGACTGGGGTATGAAGCTGACTTGCAGATCAAGGCCTCTTAGGTCACACTCTGTCTGCGCGTTGCCCAGGATGTCAGCAGCTCGTTTGGCGTCATACACAAGCCGTGACAGTTGGTGTAATCTGTAGGTCTTCAACTTTCTGTCAAGGTTGTTGAAGACCCTGCAGCTTCCTTCGTCACCACATTCTATCAGCATCTGTTTCACCAACCTTTAGACAGAGAATAATTAGATAAATGAAGACGTATATTGCAGTAGTTTTAGTTCGAATTTTAAATTGGTAATTGGCCACAAATATAGCAATACAATGATAAACTATTTTTAATAATCATCTTCTACCTACGTGCATTCGTTGGTGATGTCAGTCATGAACTGTTTCACGGCAGCAGAAAAGTTGTTGCTGATACATCTCTTCTCACAGATAGCCTTAAGCTCATCCGCTTTGTCATTCTGTGTATCAGAAACATACTATTAGCAATAGAAATACAATTTCGTCCTCTTAATATGTGGTATATCTTCCACGAATGTATTAATATCTCCAAGCAGATCATACGGTAGCAAGGCAGTATCCATTGGTCAGAGGAGGCCGAAGGTGGCCAATGGATACTGTCTGTCTGGCTAATGGATACTGCCTGGCCAATTTGATACTGTCTTTTGTGGCCACAGAAAGATCTGCTTGGAGATCATCAATCTATATGTTTTAGGCTAAACCGGTTTAGGCTGAAAAGATATAGGAAGAATAATGCAAATATTAGGTAGTAATGAATATAAATGATATTCTGAAAAATAGAATGACATTTTATGAGACATGGGAAAAGTATCATAACATATATTGATCCGTATTCTCATAGGCTTCAGACCAAAGTACCCACCAGTGTCCTGTGTAGGTTGATGAGGGCGTTGTGCGTCTGTAGTCTGTGTACGATATCCTCCCACGCACAGGAAAGGGTCAGTACAGGGCACGTGCCGTCCCAGGGTACATGGTACAAGTTCTCTTCTTCACCTGAAATAACAAGTAAGGATATATTCTATAGTGTTTGTACTCAGGTGATTGTGACGTAAGTATTGTCAGATTCCAAACGGTTTTGTAATATTTTAACGTGTCAGTCCTATCAGTTTTTCAAAATATTTGGTCACTTGTTTCTCTTTTAATTACTATGTAAATTCGTGCTTTGCTTGTCTTATGTAACATGTATTGTCTCATGTGTTGGTGGCGGCATATAAGTATAAGTAACTTGAGTGTGCCGTCACTATGTTTTGTCAATAAATGTTGCAGCAAAAAAGTATTATCTGCCATGTTGGATGTTGAAGCTAGATGTTCCAATGTAAAATTTCAATTACATAATAACAGCATAACAACATCATTTAATAAAAGTTTATAGAGCTGCCGTTCGACCTGTTGGAGAGAATTGATACACATGATGCATGCATGGTTGTATATATATTTTCTTTTAGAAGCAAGATAAAATGTGTATTTTGGTTACCGTCGCTTTGCATAAGTTGAGTCGGTGAAGTCGATGAAAAGATGGCGAACTTCTCCCAGCCCGGTGTACTGCTGCCGTAGTGGCCCATGCTGACTTCAAACCTGACGTCTCCACCTCCTCTCTCTATTAACGTGGCCTCAAGCAGGGCCACAAAAACTCTGTAGTTACGCGTAGCTCGTAGGTCCTGGAGACAGTGGTGTTAGAGACAGGCAACAATGGTTAATACCTTGAGTTCATAGTCTACATATGTGGGTGTCTTACGACAGTTGCATTTTTTTTATTTTCCAACATGTATTACAAGACATGGCGACTGCACACTGAACTTATTTTAATGCCGCCGCCAACACAGACTAACTCATGAAAGGAAAACAGACATGCTCATTTTCACATGAGTTAAGTGAAGAAATTCGTGATAAGTGCCTTTCCGATGACAGGGCAGGATTCGAACTTGGGACCTCTTGGTTCCGAGCCGAAGGCTCTGTCCTTACCCCACGCGACCCCACATATTTCAAATCGAATATTTCAGCTGCAGTTTTGTTTTCTAGCGTTTTGCAATACATTGAAGAAATTCAAGGTTCTATCACAAGCAAAACATATCTTAACGAACGTTTTTGGTTCACTAATGCAAGAGAAGTTGCTTCCGCGTAATCTATAAAAGTCAGTTAAAACAAAACCTACCTTCATGCGATCCATGGCCTTTCTTTTGATGTCAGACACTCCAGGTTTGCTCTTGGCCTGAGAAAGTTCTGTTCTTAGCTCAACCATCAGTCGCCCTCTGTAGGCCACACCTTCTACCTAATACGACAACAGGAGGAACAATTTTTTAACCAACATATTTTCCCTGTGATAACCACTTAATCAAATATACGAGTCTAGTCTAATGCAGCTTGTATTTACCGAACTACCAAACAGGTATATTCCATTTAAGGTAGTTTACTGTTTATGTATAAACAAAAAACAAGAAAGCAAAGAGACACGTTTAAATATAGTACATACTTTTCCCTTCTCCATCTCATCTTCCAGTGATGAGGAGACGTTTGTTCGTCCATCCATGGGTGGTCCATACAGATTGAGGTAACATGGTCCAAAACTGGGCAAAAATCCTAGAGGCAATGGGAATCATGTGTTTCTTTAGTGTTTGAAATTTACCGGTAAAGCATTAAAAATCAATCATTCAATCAATCAATCAATCAATCAATCAATCAATCAATCAATCAATCAAACAAGCATTTAGTTGTTGCACGTGTCTCAGATAAGAAATATTACAAGAAGTACATCAAACAAGTTAACTGATGATTCAAGCAATGATTGTTCATGATAGTAGGTCAAGTACGTCGCTAATGATTAACCGTTACCCGACAGCATGCATTATGTTAATTTTTATTCATGCTACATGCGCAAATTGCAGCACAATGTATTTATGCATACATGTACCATGCTGCGTGCACACAACATGAAAGTCATCCATGCACGTGCACATACACACAAAAGCAAAAGCGTAATCCACCTTTGTTGCCAGCAACACCAAATGTTAATGCACCTTTTTGACCAGGAAAAGAGATTCTTTCACTTCTAAGAAAGGTGGTGGCAATCAAGTCATCAAATCTCATGCGGTCCCTACAGCAGTCAAATAAAGAATGTAAGTCATAGAAATTTTTATCCAACTGTGAATAAACATCAAACGGTCTATGTCCTCGAGTGTTATATTGGACATCAGTCCCAAAGGTATTTATTAGGATGATGTGTCCCATTGATAGTTTACATTGATAATATCAATGTAAACTGAAAGTTAATGTTCAATGATATATCAAATATATGACAAATATGAATCAGGAAAATGTTCACGAAGTAAAACATTTAAGATAGTGCAAGAAAAGAGGGACAAATTTTCAAAAAGGGTAGCAAATTATTTACTCATCGTATATCTCAATCTTGACTTCTTTGGAAAGCGTTGGGAACTGAAATAACATAAATGATAAAGTTATGATGCAAAATGATAATTTATCAGCATATTATATGAGAACCAAAATGCAACCATTACCGAAGAAACAAGTACAAACGAGGATAACATATACAATGCTAATTGTACCTTATAATCAATTCGTAGCTCCTGGTTCCAATGTGGATTTCCTTTGTCTTTCAGCAGCTTTGTTTCCAACTGGAAATCATAGAACAGAATATCCACAATATAGACGGATTATGTATATCAATATCTATATCGGTACTTTTATATAAATGATAAACCTAAGATTGTCAATTTTAAGTTAAAAAACGTTAAAAGAACACAGTCACCTTTTTGCCTGAGAAATGCACCAACACATACGCATCGGGCAGGCTGTTTCCGCAACTTAGCAGAGATCCCCCATCGGCTGATGAAACGAAAAACTATCTGTTTGATCAACTACAAAGACCAATTTCTATTAAAGAGCCAATAAAGCAGCGTCAAACGTTAAAGATAAATCAAATAATATTCCAAGAAAAATTGACGTGAGTTTGCTAAATTAAATGTTCCTTTCCTTTTTTGTGACTTTTGTTCATTCTGTACAATCTGTACTGTACAAAATGCATTTTGTATACCTGACAGCTTTTTAAAGTAGATTTGACTTCAGGCGGATGAAAGAAAAAATGTAACATCTTACTCTCAGGGAGGTCCTTAGCGTGGTAAACCCTCACACATAGATTGGCTGGAATCATCTTTGTTATAGCTGGCCGAAGAAGATTTCTGGGTGAACACATTTGAACATATAAATTTGGAAAATAAAACAGATTTGAAGTTAATTGCCAATATAACCAACCAACCAACCAACCAACCATTCATTCAGTATAACTATGCCGTATTATCTTTTCTTCAATATATAGTATTCAACACAATGCACTTACAAAACACGTAAAAACAACCCAGACGTGGAAGGAAACTTACTCTTCGATGTTCCCTTTCTCCGTCAGTTTATCATCTGGCTTCTCCACCTGAAATGTGAGACAACTAAATGATTTCCGTCCCAAATACATTATAAAAGGACTCCAGTATTATTGCAAAGTAACGATTGTAATGGCTTACCAATATCTTATATCATGATTATAGAGATAAGAAATTGAAAGCTCCCATTTCTTTAAATTGGTAACGTTACAAGATAGCAATACAAGTGTACAAGTGAGAGAGTAAGTGTGTGACTGAGTGAGTGAGTGAGTGAGCGAGCGAGCGAGTGGGTGAGTGAGTGAGTGAGTGAGTGAGTTGGTAGTGAGTGAGTGAGTGAGTGAGCGAGTGAGTGAGTGAGTGAGTGAGTGAGTGAGTGAGTGAGTGAGTGAGTGAGTGAGTGAGTGAGTGATTAATTCATTAGTTCCCCACTGGAGCCGAGTCCCCATGCCCCAGGACCACCAGACTGGCTTTCAGGAACCCTCTAGAACTGGCGGCTACGTCATCAGGGTCAGTCAGCAGCATCCATTTACTCAGCAAGGCATGCTCTGGGGGAAGAGCACATTATCATGTATGTCTCAACCTCAGACAACAAGTAAAATTGATGTTTACAAAGTTCAACAATAACTCTGTCCAAGAGAAGCAAACTAGGGTAAAAGATAACTGTTGAGCTTTGTCATTGCATGATCTTGATATATTTCATGTATCAAAATATTTCAATAAAAAACTTATAATCGGGAGGTGTTTCAAGTAATCAAAACTACCCAAAGCATAACAATGAATGACGACAGTCCAAAAGTCAAGCAGCAATTTTGGAGAAGGCATAATGAAGCTATGTTAATAAGGCTCTTATGCAATCGTAGTTTTTCTTCCGTATTGATTTTATAGAAAGCTGTTATTTACCTGGCTGTTGGTAAATAGTCAAAAGGTCGATCTGGAAGAACATAGCATATTAGGTAATTGATAAAGCATACACACAAAATAACATTAAAACTAGAAAGGCCGACATTTGCTTTGGAGCAAATACAGCAATGGCTTCACCACATTTTACGACATGGCAGGGAAAGAATGAGAAACACAAGGGAAAACAATGCTTTACATTGATATAACTATAGTATGAAGTAACATACAACTAAGACTACAACAGTTGGATAGCTATTCCCTACATTATTGGTTAGGATTTTTAATTGCATAATGCAAACTGTTGATTTTCAAGAAAAAAGAAGCGTTCATGCCCCGCATTCCAATGCTGGAGCAGGAAAGCTTAAAATACCTACCAAAACACTTGAATACAGACCTACTGTCAGTATGGAATGGCTCTGTGCAGGTATTAATTAAGTTAAGCCTGTTAAATTCCAACAGCCAATCAGCAAGGAGAATAGAGGAAAGCTGCATGCCTATTGGTTGATGCCCTGCATTCCATTGTGATGACTCATGCCCAAATGTGGCAACACTGCACACTAACTCAGTAATACATTTGCTATAACACAGCCAAAAAACTCAAATAAAACCATTCTAAAAGCCTGTATCACAAAAATTAAAAAAACGCCTGGGGGTATTTGCCTACTGTACCTCCATACCAAATTTCAGGTCCTTAGGCCCCAAAATGAAGAAGCTGAATCCATTTAAAGAAATGGCAGGAGGAGAAGAAGAAGGAGGAGAATCATGAGAAAAAGCAATATGGTTTCACCACTTTGTGGTGAACCCATAAAAAACTAAAATAAAAACGACTGTAAGAATGCACATCGTTATAACCCACCTTGAACGATCCTATCAATGCATCCCTTCTCCACCTACGTGAGTCAAACACCTGGAAATAACACACAGATAAAAGACAATTCTCATAGTAACATCTGATTTATTGATCAAAAGTGATAATTAACCGTCTGAAATTTAGGGTATCTTAGTAATGATCTTACCGTGAATGACAAGCACTCCTGGAGTAGGTTAGCGGGTGACTCGTGGAAATTGAAGAAAAAAGACTGAAAACAAAATAATACAGTTCAAAATCACAGAGCAGATGTATATAAATCAAATCCATTAGTTATAGATTATTTGATATAATTATTTAATATAATGAAATACCTTTATGGTACATTCATGCCACGACGGGCTAGGTACAGGTCAAGATTTAACAGACACATAACAAACGTATGTAGAAAAGTGGAGACAAAAGATACACTACTTGACTTAGACATAAGGAACATGCAAGGATACTATACTAGGCTAATACAAAGTGTTCTAGTTACTGAGCTATACAGAGTGGTCAACTTCTTCTCGCTTTTTTGTACAATGAAAAATATGGAAACAGATCATGTTTGTGATACAGGGTTTGTCTAGACGCATCAAAAATATGAATTTATCGTTTGCATTTTTAACTGTACTAGTAGTATCATTTTCATCTAAAATAGCGTTCGTCCGTTTCAATGCGTTTTAATTCCCTACCACTGAGACCACTAGTATAGTTTTATTCATAAATCTCGTATCTATCAGCAATGGTTTGGATTATGAATCTGAAATAGAAAAGAAATTACCTCATTGAAGTTTGGATCGTGTTGGTGACGACAAACCCGACTTTGTCTGGTTCTCCCGGCCAGTGTAATCTTACACACCGGGCTGACGTTCTCTCCGTACAGGCTTCTACCCTCAATCAGCCGAACCCTGACCTGGAAGTCCTGTACTGTCTCGGACAGCTCCTCTTCCTTCCTCAAAAGTGGTCTGTGTGGAGCAGAGTTATGTCGCACCAGTCATGAACCATGGCAAGCTGACGAAAAATGTCTAGACTATGCATGATGTACATAATTACTAATAAACTGGTGGACGTCCCAACCACTAAGTATCTGACACCACTCCAGAAAAGAACGAGAACCAGCCATGCCTTCAAGCATCAGAGTTATCAACCAAAACGGAGGTGTTAAAAAATCGTACTTTCCAAGAACTATCGTAGAGTGGAACTCGTTGCCACCATCACTAGAAAGCTTTAAACAACTCGAGTGTAACAAGTCGTTCGGGGTAATGTAGCCAGTTGCCGCCACACCGCGTGCCTGCGAAGCTGGTATGTTATGCCGAAGGGCGGTTACACCGGCTATACGGATACAGATACAGGTGTACAGACACATTTACGTTCAGGACAGCATTATTTTTCCGTAGTGCCACCTTGCGGTAATCAGTTGCACTTCATTTCACCTTGGCAGGTAGCACACTGAGGCAGACAGCTTGGTAACTGCCTAAATATCGCCAACTGAGACCAATTAGGTTAAAAAAGGTATAAATTGGACTTAAGCATACAGAAAATAATTTTGTTTATAGAGTTTGAGAACCCACATTGTAAATGTAGCCACGTCTAGAAAAATAAAAGCACCTGCCTCTCATGGTGTAGTCTGTTACAAGAAGAGACATAAACCGATAATTTACTCACTTAGTCCCCAGAATGATTGCTGAACCCTTCACCACTCCTGCCGAGTTTTCTACATCGTAGTTGGCTGCTTCCATGCCGCCCCAATGGTCGGGCTGGTCGACGTCGTCTCTTCTCTCCGCTGTTTCTTCACTGGTGTCATCATCATCCTCATCTATGTATAACAAGTAGTATAAGTTGATTCATCTATTGTCTTGTACGTAGGTTAACTTGGTTATACCAACGTAATTGTCTGCAGTTTAAGAACTTACGAAAGTCGCTGTACATGTACTTTTGTTGTGTCAATAAAGTCCACTAATACAACAAGCAACAACCATGTTAATGATAGAATATACTATGCAACTCACATTTCGTGACGTAGAATAGGCTAGCTGACACTAATTTTGATGTACCGACAATGCATTAACAAAGATAACTACATCAAAAATCTACAACTGAAAGGGGAACTACGATACGTGCTTGCAATTTGCAACTTAGTCGCATTTGTGAAGCAATTTTTATTTTATGTCTAGTGGTGACGTGAATATAAGCATTTTGCTTGAGCGCGTCACCACTATGTATTGTATTTTGGCATGTTGAAAAAAACAACACATTTTTAGTTTAATCCACGTATTCATGATACTTCGCAAATGTGACAGCAAATCCATGACGAAAGTGTACACACACACATTATCACAAATTTTGGAAGAGGTCACAGTATATCAACTATGATTTCTGTTCATTATCTTTATGCACCTTCTTCAGAGTCTGATTCAGATTCAGACGGAGGCATGGGAAGTGAGCTGTCCTCGGCTTGTCCAGGTGGGATATACGTCAGCCTGAGGGTCACTTTGGACTGGAACACAACAGAACAAAACAAAATTGCAGGTTTAATTATCCGGCATGGCGGAAAACATTGAATCGTAGTCACGTGAGTGCAAACACTACTAAATGTAGCTTGCACGAAGTATTCAATTCAAAATAAACAATTATCCGTTGATATGATTCCAAATTGCCAAATTCAGATCAACCTGAATGCTCCTCATGACACTCTAGCATATTCTGCATTTCATAAGGTATATACGTGTTAATTAAGCACGGTGTTTTTTTAATGTAATTGGCGATAGATATATGCTAGTTATAGACACATTATCAGTGGGAATATTGACATTTCTTACCTGTAGTGCCTTTCCAGTCTCATCGTGTAGATGGGAGGATAGCGCTGTCTTGTTGCCGGGGTTGGTGAATACTTCCTTTAGGGAGATATTTGCTCGACCAAATACCCTGTACACCAATGGAAAATAAGATACCAGTATTATGGAAAAGCTAAACTATTTGCATAATGGATAGTCTCACAGAATTTGAAACTTTGGTATGTTCCTGGTGTCTGCATCTAAATAGCCGACATAGCCACCCTTTGGCGTTACACACCAGTTTAAATTGTCAATGTGAAGAAGGTGTCAATTCTTTTGTTTATTGTTTCTGGTGACAATTGTAATGGTTATTTAATGTAGTGACCATACCTGTCCTTAAATAGTCTGATTTTTTCCTTAAGCACCACAGACAACTGGTCAGCCTCGATGTTCAGCCCCAGTTCCACCAGGTTCCACGTGATATTCTAAGCAAATAAATATACATTTATTCTATGTTCAACTTGAAAAGATGTAAACAGTGCTTCAAATAGTGATAAAGTAGGGCAGAGGAAGGCAGCAATGAGAGTCAATTAGCTGTTATCTATAATTCATCTCCGGCCTTGCGGGACCACCTCCGATCCAGGCTTCCCTGCCCCCGCAGTGCAACCATACCACCGGAGGTGTCCAGGGGTGTCCCGGGTAGAACGGAGATAAACCGACCGGTCTGGAGAGTGGGCCGGCTGGTCCGGGGGTGGTCCGAAGGCGGGCCCGGAGATGTACATGTTCCGGTGGCTGCATCGGAGGTCTTATACACCATTGTTTACCCCATGACTGCTTTAATATTCATCAAACAAAGAAGAAATGAACTAAGATTCAGGAACTAATGTACATCCCTTTCCGGACCACCTCCAATCCGGCCCCGGAGATTATTTTTATTCCTGAATTCTCATATCTTCTTAATTAGATGACTATTAAAACAGGTATACCGGTAAACAATGGTGTATAGACGCCTAAAAAGTTACAGGTACGTATGTATGCTGAAGACTAAAGAACCCAAATGTTATAGAAGAAGTGGGTAAATTCGCCTTCCATTGTCTCAAAAGAAGAAGTCAAACCCAGCAAAACTACTACCATGTGTGTTGTAGAATGTAGTATGGTGTTTGTATATATATAATTGGTTTATTTGCTTGTATCAACATATTTACAACATATCTCGCAGCCTTGACATACAGGGCTGAATTCTGATCAAGTTGTTTACAATATAAGTTATTAATAGTAGGGATATAACACCATTGTATTTTCTTTTTGTTTCATACATGTTGCTTGTATCCGCAATTAGCCCTCGGGCATGTATTTGCAATACCATTTCTTTCTAAACGTCCCATGGTTTCGTAATGCTACCGATATTCTCTCTCAATTAGTGGTAACGTTTGATGATGATTGTTGCACACACGTACACACTGCAGTTTAATGATGGTAGTTACAGCTTTACCTGCTTGTTCCATCTGGCAGGACGGGGAGAACCTTCGTCTCGAACTCTCACATCCACTGATGACGTCTTGAATGTCTCACCTTGAAGCACGAAGAAATCAGACACAAGAAAGAAATCGGAGGTTCAAAAGCAAAGTGGATATGGTTTATGATTTACATCATACAATTCAATATTGTCTTATGCCACCCTAGGATCTGCTTGAAGATTAACATAACTCTTGTGGGTGTGCCTTCTGTACAGCTTTAAGGCCCCATTAGTATTCTTACTAGTTTTTAATATTACTACAATTGTATATAATGAATGACATTTTATAGCAGTGTATTGTATTGCATTTTTATGACTATTGTATGCTATTGTAGGAATTTTGTATTTCATGTCAACAATTGTTCGACTTTGTAATTTGTATTGCACTGTATTTATATTGTTGTGTTTGGGAGGACAACTTGTAAAGGTGTCAATACACCTGTTTTGTCCTCCCTTCCACTTGTTTGTACTTGTGGTTAATTCTAATAAACATAAACAAGTAAACAAATAAACAACATCTACCTCGGAACTGAAGCCCAACGTACAGTCGATGTTCCTGCGTGTCAGCAAGCGACGCTTCGAGATCCACAGAGACACTGGAACAGACCAGCGCCATGCTGCTGTCCCTCTGTGAAGCAAACATGACACAATTTTTACGGCTCTCGGTGACAAATGTGCAGATGTTAGCACATTGTCGCACCAAATCCGTAGTGTGTTTTGGACACACAGTTAGACAGATTAGCCTAAGAGGCTCGGTGGGCATCACTCGACCGGTCGGGGGGTGGGGGTGGGGGAGTCGTGTCAAGGGCCTTTCCCAAGGGCACAACGTCTGACCACGGTGAGTATCGAACCCGGGACCTCTCGGTTCCGAGTCCAACGCTCTAACTGTTGCGCCACTACGCCAAACATGAGACAATAATTCTAGACATAGAACATCTAACTATATATAATTATACCTGCAGTAATTAACACCTAATTGTTACTATTTTAGCCTCGAAAGTCGGCAAACTGTACTACATGTAACTCCCCTGGCATGTTATCTATCTGGCCAATTTCTACACTTTCCAGTCGCCTCTAAAGCAAAGGAGAGGCTTCTACTTTTTCTTGTTATTTAGAATATACAACTTATTAATTACCATGGCCTAGAGAGAAGCATGTGTCATTTGCAACCAATTTCCAGTTTTCTAATTAAACCGTACGGCACGACTACGTCCTTTTGGTAAACGTCAGTCCATCTGGCGACCTCATTGTTTTCATTTTGTCTCCTGGAAGTTATGAATATGTAATGTCATACACTGTCTGCTGACATCACATACGTCAATCCAACGTGCAACTTTCCCACACAGTCTGGAGGCCGTGTCACTGAACTGTGGACAGTACAACATGTCAATGTCCAGACTTATTTCTTTCTCACTGAGAAGGACGCGCACATGTAATACGGGTTCACTGGCACTGACTACAGACACGTTTTGTTTATGTTCAACAGCATGCTGTCAGGTGTTTTACCAAAGAGAAAAGAGAAAATATCTTGTCACTCTTTCATGTGTGTAACCTTTTTGCTTAAGCTTTACTTCAGTGTCTACATCCGACCATGTGGCAAGTAAACCAGTATGTAAAACACTAAATGTTTCTTCAAATCACATTCAAGCACATGCTGTTGAGATCTTAAGTAACTTTACACATACACATTACTAGTACTGGAAACTATGTCATCTACATAATTATGTGGCCCTTCACAAGAAAAGGATAGGAAACTAGATACAACCTACACGTTATATAAGCGATAATAGTTAATGTATGCCAGTACCCTTCACATTCGAGACCGCTTGTATTTGTTACATAAACACGGTCCGGACAGATCCACAGATTTCAATCAAAGAAACCCACATCCACGTTTCCTTGACACGACAAATCGGCCAACCAAAGCTTGCCTGTGTAGGCTGTGTCTGTCAAGATCGCTCATACATACATACATACATACATACATACATACATACATACATACATACATACCAGGGCTTGAAATACTGGGTACATGTGCACCTTAGTGCACCCAAAATTGGAGCTGTGCACCCATTTTTTTTCTGTGGGTGCCCTGGTGCACCCAAATATTTTTGCAGGTATTTTTGTACATATTATATGTATACAGTAATACTGGGTATTCTTGGCATCTAAGGGTCAGAAAATCTTTGTTGTAGTACTTGTTTAAGATTTTGAAGTCAGCTCCCATTTCAGATTCAAGCTCAGAAGAGGAGCAGTAAGATCTGTAATTAGATTTTGTTTTATATGGTGAACCCAAAAAATTTCTGTGCACCTAAATTTTTAGGTTGGGTGCACCAGTGTACTTATTCCCAAAAATGAATTTCGAACCATACATACATATGCAATGGTCATGGCAAGGGCAGTGTAGTATTCAATCTCCGTGGTCTGGGTTATTTGCTATATATGGCAATTCTGTCTGGTACATGCAATTTTATTATTCAGGGAAAAAGATGTTGAATATATTAAGTCCTCTCCCTATAAAATCATATCATATAACCAGTTGAATTCAGTACGAGTGTATTTCAGTCTGGTAGACTGCACGGTTGCCACCAGCGTTGATTTCGTCAAACAACACACAGCTAGGAGAAACAAAACATCCTTCGGAAACTGGTCAGACGTCATCAACCCACATACTGCTAGGACATCAAAACGTCTCTTAGCAGTCAAGCAGCCGTCATCAAAAACACACAGCTACGACATCAAAACATCTCTCAGTAGCCGAGAAGACGTCACCAAACCACACACGGCTAAGACATCAAAACATCTCTCAGCAGCCGAGAAGCCGTCATCAAAATACACACAGCTACGACATCAAAACATCTCTCAGCAGCCGAGAAGCCGTCATCAAAATACACACAGCTACGACATCAAAACATCTCACAGCAGCCGAGAAGCCGTCATCAAAATACACACAGCTACGACATCAAAACATCTCACAGCAGCCGAGAAGCCGTCATCAAAATACACACAGCTACGACATCAAAACATCTCACAGCAGCCGAGAAGACGTCATCAAACCACGCACGGCTAAGACATCAAAACATCCTTCAGCAGGTGAACTGCAGGTTTGTCACTTTTGCTGAAGGTATAAAAAGTCAACTTCCATCATCAAGTTCCTTGACCTTGTCGCACGATCGCAAACAGGGGACATTTTGGGGTGTCCGCTGTCCTGTTACATGTAGGTAAAGGCTGTCTAAAATCTGTCGGCGGTTAACGTTGGTTACGGCATCGGACGGCCTAGCTATATATAGGGTGAATTTGACCGCACCGTGGCCGGTCTCGTCAGGCGGAAGACAGACAAAGTAGTTCCGCGCGGTGGGGAGCCATAGAAAGCCCGACCTGTGTTTTTACTGCCTTTTATGTTCAAATAGACTGAACAAAGAAGGTTTTGTCTTTGAGATTTTGAGCAGCATACGTTCACAGATTGTTGTCACCAGTGAGGCCATCATGATTCGAAAGCGTCACGCTTTTGAAGTTCAAAGACAGTTCTACCTGTTCATTGTCCCCCTTGTTTTGTTTTGGGGTATAACTTGTGAAGGACACCACAAGACCAGCAAGCTTAAGAGATGCACGATGCAAGCATCACTGGCGTGCAAACACATTACGGTTGCGATATCCTGCAGGTATCCGAGTTTCGAGCTAACCGACCTCCCCACACATTTACCAGCTAACGTTGCCAGCCTGGATGTCTCGATAAACTCCATCAAGAACCTGACACATCTCCCACCTCTCAAGAACCTCTGCACATTTTATCTCCAATACAACCGTATTGAAACTGTCTCTTGGATGGTACTCAGAAACCTACCGGCTTTACAATATCTGTTCCTGTCTAATAACAGAATTACGCGGGTCAACTTGGGCGTCGTGAAAGACTACCTTCCTTATCTGAAGTTGGTAGATTTGTCCAACAATAGCCTCACAACTTTGTCTGAGAACAACTTAGGCCTCCCCTATTTTGAAAAAGCGGAACTTAATATTGGGAAAAACCCTCTCAATTGTGACTTCAGAATGTTTTGGTTGATTTGTAGGGCTAAATGCTATCGAACGTGTGTTGAGGATGGGGGATCAGATTTATCCTGCTGTTATAAGTGTAAAGTCTGCTTTCTTGACTTTCGGTCTAGGCGCGACAGTTTGCTGTGTGCCGGACTGCCTTTGGATAAGGTCGTCCTTCCTCCTTTTATGTGTGAGATACTGACATTTACATCTCCTACAACTCTTATGACGCAGACGTGTACTCTTGGGCGGGTTGCAACAACTCGTTCTGTTCCCAGTCGAGACCAACACACTGACGGAATGATCACCCAGGGCACGTTTGGCTCAATTTCATCGAAGACTGAACTAGAATCTTCTGTGTCCTCGATTCCACAGACACCTGCGTCTACAAGAAGTATTTTTGGTCAAACTCTTTACAACACTACACCTACTCAACAACTAGAAACTGATCACGGCGGGGTAAATATAGTACAGACTGCTCTCATTACGTTTGCCTGTTGTGTGGCATTTCTTTTCATCACGCCACTGGTGGTGAAAATAATCATGATGTGCCGATCAGCTAGTTCTGAGGAGGATAATTCAGTGACTACAGATAACGTCACAAGTCAATTGCAACATGTCATTCCACCTATAGAAAACTCTGCCTACCATCGAAACTGCAACACGGCGCCTTCGCAACAGCAAGATTCTAACAACATATCCCTGACCCGAATGTTACCACCGATTCAAAACGCCATGTATCACAGGCAATGCAATACAGGGATCCCTCAACCACCTGATTCAGGTTTGGCTCAGATAATTCCACCGATAGAAAACGCTGCATATCATCGAAACTGCAATACAGGGGTAGCACAGCAAGACTCTACCGACATATCTTTGTCTCAAATAGTACCACCGATTTCAAACGCCATGTATCACAGGCAATGCAATACAGGGATCCCTCAACCACCTGATTCAGGTTTGGCTAAGATAATTCCACCGATAGAAAACACTGCATATCATCGAAACCGCAATCCAGGGGCAGCACAGCAAGACTCTACCGACATATCTTTGTCTCAAATAGTACCACCGATTTCAAACGCCATGTATCACAGGCAACGCAATACAGGAATCCCTCAACTATCTGATTCAGGTTTGGCTCAGATCATTCCACCGATAGAAAACACTGCATATCATCGAAACGGAGGGACAGCACAGCAAGACTCTACCGACAACTCTCTGTCCCAAATGGTGCCACCAGTTCTCACACTGGAAAACGCTGCACCCGGAGATACACAAAACTCAACAAGACCGAGACTGAACAGTAATTGTGCTGCCTTACATAAAATACAACCATCAGGTCACAACATTAATTGCGTCACAAACAGCCTGGGCCTAGCGTCGTTACAGAAGTTTCCTCATACAAAAATACTTGTAACAAACGTGGATTCGCCTCCAGGGACACCAAGCATTATACAAGCCGTGCAACCAATGTGTACTGTCGGCAGAATTAATTCACAAAAATCAGAGGCTGTAAATGACTTGGACAGAAGGAAAACTGTCTCAATACCACCAAACAACTTGGGCATGGAGTCGTTACGGAACCCTTGTCACTCCAAAATGTTTGCAACAACCCCGGTAGCAGTAAGGAATCCGGGCAAAGGAGGTAACCCTTCCCGTAGACCATTGCCAGAGCTACCAATAGGAGTGAATTGCCCTCAGTCTACCTATGCACATCCTTCTAGCCCTGAAGAAAATGACACAGCCTCTGAACACGAATACAACGAAACATCAGACTACGAGAAAATCCCTTAAAATAACATTTCCCTTGTTTAAAACTGTTGGACTTTTTCTTTTCAATATTATAGGATGACTTTTATATGACACGCTTGGAAGGACACACTGTCAGACAATTGTAACTAAAGATATGCGTGTGTCTGGCTTCAAGATATTGGTTGAATGTATGCATTACGAAATGCAGTGTGTGTGAGGGTCAAAGACTTTCTACAAAGGCCATTCAACTCTATGGACAAATGCATTTTAGTTCAGTTTTAGTTTAATTCTAAAAACAATTAGATGGTCCAATTTATTAAACGCTGACAGGAAATATCTGAACGTATTGCGTTTAACACATTAAGCACATATTTCACGAATTAATTGTGTACATTACTATTGCTTAATAGCTGTTTTTCCTGGAATTTAGACTGCACAAAATGATAAAAGAACTGAAATATAAGCCACTGTGTCATGCCTATTTCATTACGAGTATGCTATAAAACAAAGTAGTTTAGTTGTGTTGTATTGACTGAGAAATATTTTACATATACATGTAGCTATGCTTACCGAAAGAAAACATACTGTTTTTGCTCAGTTTCTTCTTCTTCTCCTCCAAACAGTGACCTCTGACCTGGTCAATGACCTGAACTAGACTCCTGTCACCATATATGGGAATGTATTTGAGTAAGAATTAACAGAGCAAAACATATGCGACGGTAAACATTATGCATTTGCTTTGCAAATGTTACTTTCTAGTTTCCAGATCCATTTTCAAGCTATCACTGATACCATAACCTATCAATTATAAGTGAATTCGGCTTCTGCTCGCTTCGTGATGGTGGGAATGTATATTATGTTTTATATCATATGGAAGGTCCCTGCTTCCCCAATACCATTACGTACAACAACCGCGGAATAGTTAATATTCATGCCATGTCATCTTCCCACGCAGTTGAAGCAATCACATGTAGCTAGCTAGATATTGTATCGCTATTAGGCACATGCCTGGCTGACTGACAGTGGCAATTATGTAGGGTCACAATGACTTCGAATTCAATCAAAACAAGACCCATTGAGTACATGACTTTTAAGACTGTCACAGGAAAGTTACAATGGAAACTCTCACGCACCGTCCCTGTTGCATTCCAAAACATGTTTCAGAATGGACCACGTTTTAGAATACAACAGGCATTCCACTTCGTGTTATTCCAAAACATATTTTAGAGTGGGCTACGTTTTGGATGACATAAACATTCCGTTTCATAGTATTCCATATTGTATTTTGGAATGGAATATGCTTTGGAATGCAAAATACCCCCATAATCCATACAGCAAATGCCAGCCTGTCCCTTCTAATTCTTCAACAATTCCGTACACGGTCCGTCTATGTGTAAATAAATCTCTATACCCGAAGTCTTACCTGTAGTGTAGGTCCCACGTCACGGTGGGTTGCTGCAAAAACCTCACAAGACCCTCGTCACTATCCATACAAATTTCCGCTCCAATTCCTCTGGTTGTTGTCTTTCTTTTTATCGCAAAACCAACGCCTTTGTCTCGACTCCTGAGACGGTTTACAAAACTTTTTGTTGTTGTCGTTGAATGATTGAAATATTTTCTACTCTGAGATGTCACTTCCAAGGCCATTGCCTTGCCCAGCCCTGTAGGTTTGAACTTTGAACTTTATTTGATAAAAACAACATGGCAGGAGAAACTCCTGAATCGTGTTGTGATTTTACAACGGTCTAAAATTCAAAATAAAACAGTCTAAAATTCAACGATACAGATAAAATGCAATAAGTCATCATTAACTAAACATAGTACATATAATGTATACAATTTTACGACAAGTTCACATACAAATGATAACATCTGTGTCCATAATATCACCAGAGTCCATAATATCGCCACCTTGAGAAACAGTGTGCTTAAAGATATCTTTACTGCAACATACCCTAGATATGTACATTTGATGTGTAAAGGAGTGCATACCAAAAGTATGTTGAAGTAAAAATATCTTTAAGCACACTGTTTCTCAAGGTGGCGATAGTATGGACCCTGGTGATATTATGGACACAGATGTTAACTAATCTGCAGAAGAAGGTTTGAAGGCAGGGTACGTTATGTAAACACCTGAACACGTCCACTTTTTCATCACAAGACCATGAACTATGTGCAACGCTGAACAAACATTTCACGTTTCATTGTCACTGACCTCTTAAGTTAGGGTGCACGATTGACTAAAGAAAAGGGCTGACAGAGAAAAACAAACAGTTGAATATAACCGTGGCCTTTTAGAAAATGGCTGACAAAATGTACACAGACGCCAAGAGATATTTTTGTTTTCTATCAGCAACACCAACTAATTCTGCATAGACAGTAAGAAGAAAACTATATCAGCAAGAAACTTGTTATAAAAATATTATACTGTCTTTTGGTGCTAAAACGTTTGTCTCTATAATTACTTGTATGCACAACCCTGGGTAGCCTTGACCTGATAGTAACCTCTGAGTCAGTTGATTAATAACTCATCGATTCATGTTTTCAAAACGGTTGCTAAAGTGGTCATCAGACGTCATTAGATATGTAGAACTAGCCTTTAAATATTAGATCTTCTATCTATTTTGGAAAATTCCCATTTTTACACAACGTAAAAATTTAAGTATTTCTGTACGTTTAATTTCTATTTGGCACGGGTAGTTATGGCTTTTCGGAGAGGGAATTTAATTGTTCTTTGACATATGACAAAATATTGACAAATTATCCAATTCATACAATGTGTAAAACTGCTTAAAACTGCTACTGAGTGACTTCACTTCAATATCAAAGCTCACAAAACATCTTAACTATTATTAATATAGATTAATATCATTTCAATAGCGATAAGAAAATGGAATGATACTTGAAATAGTTAACTCTTGTTGCCAACTATGAGTGACTTAACTTCAAATATTTGAGAAACGATTGTACAAAATGTAAAGGCAAAAAAAAAACGACGGCGCCCATGATCAACCATGTGTTCAAGTTCTCTCGTACGGTATATATTGTAACCTTTTGAACGTAGACGTAATTTGATACACGTGTTTGTGACTTGTATAGTGTTGTGAATATTCAAGTCACACGTTAGAGGTACGGGTAACATACTGTTGACGTGCCTATACCATGGCTAGCGTTTTCACGTTTCACAAAACCACCTGTTGTGGGACTAAATCTTCGCAGGAATGCCCCATTCACGAAAGGGGGGTCACGATAATCAGAGAGAATCAGAATTGTATGTAAATATGATAATCCTAGGATTTAGAGAGAGGCCTAGTAAGTAAAACGAATAGTGAAAGTTTTAAGCCCCTGTCACCATGATGATAGCCTAATATGGCCTCCTGAACACTTCGGATCCGAATTCCTCCCAACCATTGATAGTCAGTACTAGTTCGGGAGTAAGGTCGGCTGTGGTTGGCAGGTGTTTGGCAAGCTTAGGTCGGCTGCTGTTTGGCTTAACGTATACCATACACATATCACATATAGTATGAAAGTCAAGCCATAAAGTTCATCGCACAACGATTGTCACAGGTACAATGTATGGCAGATAGATAATAAGCTTGCTAGCTGGTATGAGTCTATCAAAACTCTACATATAGGGTCAACGTGTTCTATGTGTGGCAGACTGTTGAATAGAACTACTAAGAACTAGACTACACCCTGGATAAGCCATGATGGTAACATGTCTAGAATAATCTTCAAAATGCACAGCAGAAACGCATATCTGAATGCCTTACCTGCTAGGACGGAGCGGCTCTGATTTGTGCCCTTCGTACCCCAAGTCCTGATCCTGTTTGTGAAGTCAAGCCGAACTTAACGCTATTTGAACACGTAACCTAACCCCACTCAGCAAACAACTACATTTTGTACTATGTGTAGTATCACGTAGCTTTTCAAAAGCTTCAGAAGTGGCGAAGTTGTACCACTACCTACAATCTTTACAATTCGTCCTAGTTTAATGAGCTTAGTGGAGATTAGTTTTGTTTCAAAGTATACCTACTAATCTGATGTCAGAAAGGAAACAAAAGAAATTCTCGGGTTGCTAGCGAACAGAGAGGCGGTCTGTTTTAAGAGGCCGCTGCTTGTATTTCTTTGTGTTCTCCTAATGATGTTTGACCGTGTTAGAAAGGGAACGCTTTACCCATGTTTATTATATTATCTAGGGTAAATCTACAAAATGACCAACAACAAATGACTAAACACACAGAGTACAGTATATTTCGAACAGTATAGGCTTCTTTCTGCTGGAATTGATTTTGGCATTAACAATATCATATACGAGTATGTTGACCATCAGTGATAGGTAATTGATGTAATTGTGTGTTGTGAATATTGACCAAATGAATGCAAAGTTCACCAGATCGGCTATGTTTTTGGTGACGTCTCAGGGAGGAGCCTAATGGTACAGTATTGTGTGCAATTCGCAAGAATTATAGGAATGGTACAGGCATTTTGTCCACAGGCATGCGGAATGTCCACAGGCATTTCTCTGACCCACATCCATGCCCACATTCCTGGAACCCTGAAGACCTGTCTGCCCCAGATGGCTCTACTTTCTGTGACCCCGGGGCTCGTTCACTATGCACTCAGGGGAGGAGTGTACTGTATCTGTCTAGACTTAACCAAAGTCCAAGTACCAAGTCTTCTTCAAAATCATGAAATGATGGCAGTGCCATGCAAACAATAACCCTAACAGCAACCACCGTCGCCATGGCAATGTATGTTTTCATTGCCAGTCTTGTTGGCAGTGTGTGTGGTGAGCCCTGGCGCATTACAAGGCATTACAAGGCCTTTGAAGAAAACAAAACCATTAATGGATTTTCGTCAACCTGTAAGCCTCACAGCACACTCCGCAATGTGGGTAAATCACAAGATACATTTGTGTGGATGAGGAGAATACTAGTTTACGTCAATGCACTAGTATATAGCCTAGATGCCAGATTGACCATATGCAGGCTAACAGGCAAACATGAACCTACACTGGACTTTGCATAGCCTGACCAGGCAACTTTGTGCATATATGTTGTAAATAATTTCTATATGTGTCTTTTGTATATATATTAGTTTAGATGTATTATTTTTCAATGTGAACGCTGTTTTTCAAATAATGTGACAAATTGTACCTAATTCAGGGGGATGCGCTTCTGCTCCCCTTGCTGTTGTACATTTGTAAAATGATGAGCAATAAATAAAGAACAAAGAACAAAACATGTCCCAGGAAATTCTGCACGACCCCCTGACTTCTAAAGCCCCTGGCTAAGGCCGGGTAGGGACATTATACTTCTTTTCCCGGGGCTATGGCCGAAGGGATTAGCAGATCGGGCAGTTTTCGGGAACAAAAAGCACCATATAAAAGACAACAAAAGTGTTGACAAAAATTCCTAACGAGCACTATTTGTATTTATTGTTACCTTCATTTGTAATGTGAGATTTTAAATGTGAGATTTCTACCTCTATTTTAAATATGATATAATGTTTTGACCTGATACTCTGATATTTTAGATTATTATTATTATTATTATTATTATTATTATTATTATTATTATTATTATTATTATTATTATTATTATTATTATTATTATTATTATTATTATTATTATTATTATTATTATTATTATTATTATTATTATTATTATTATTATTATTATTATTATTATTAACATTATTATTAACATTATTATTATTAACATCATTGTTATTATTATCATCATTGTTGTTGTTGTTGTTGTTGTTATTATTATCATTATCATGGATGTTGTTATTATATTCTCGTTCACGCAAACGGCCCACCCGGGCTCCTGTTTGGAAACGTGACTTATACCACAATAACACAGCCCATGTGCACACAGTCGACATTATATACATAGCTATATAGATTTCCTGCGTATGTAGTCTACACACGCACCTGTGCACAACAACATTTCAATAGGCCGCCACTTAAGCTCCCAGGGCTTGTAAATGTAGACAAGCACTTTACAACAACCTGACTTTCCAGATGTAAAATATCCTGGGTGCAGGTGTTTTAGAGCGCGTTTGTAATTCTGTACATTAAACAACCTGAGACACATCCACGTAAGGCCCCGTTCACACGAATACGCTGTAAGCGGTTTCGATCCGATTCCACCGAAGCCGGATTCAAGCTATGGCCCCATCTGATGAACGCTCCAAATCGCATTGAAAGCGCCTCGATCCCAAACCACCTCGGGAGGTAGTTTCAAACCGGTTTCACCAAATCGCGATTTGCATCTGAACGCAATGTGATTGCAATGTGACTTAACCGGTTTACTTTATATATTGACCCGGTCATGGATTATATACTGGGTGATGTTTCTTTACTTATATGCAATGCCAAAATTTACGTGGCAGCAACTTAAAGAGCAGTGATGACCGAATAAAGTGCCCATTCTAGGACGAGCTTCACCGCCTCTGGTGGGACCACGGCTGCATTCGGCCGAGGTACGCTGGGAGGGGGGTACCAGCAAGCAGGACGTTGACCTCTGACATTAATAACACGCTTCCTTGCGTGTTTTCATCAAACAACAATGAAAGGTAGTTTCGGAAAATCCTGCTCGGATGCGGTTTAAAAGGAACGTGTGGCATGTGGACCAGATGTGAGGAATACGATTTACCCGATCGCGGTTCAGGCGTCTCCGTGTGAACAGGGCCAAAGAACCTGCGCCACAGGAGAAGGCAGCTTGTTTTTATGCCCACTGACGCAGGTGCGGCTTGTAATTACCAAACGAACAATGTAATATAGCTCTGAATGTCACGGAGCGGCAAAATATTACATATCTAAGGCTGAAATGAATGAAATTATGTGCTCTTTGGTGTCAAATGTGTTAACGTAGCTATGGCGTCATTAGATTCGTTTTGCCTGTAAATCCAATCGTCGATGAAATAAGAGCATATAATAAAAACTCAAAATGAGCTCTTTCAATGACCCTATTCATTTGTGCCTCTTTCAGCGATAAATAAGGATTAGAAATCTGATAAACCTTGCAAAAAGATACCAGACGATATCATATACCCCGCAATATGGGAATTTCGTTTCTTTATTTCCTGTAACAAGCTTCATTGACATTTGATCTCGGCAGTTCACAGCACAAGACACGAGAACGCAGCTGGCTAATCACCAGGCTTCATACACACTAAAGGTCAACACAATCAGGTACTACTGTGAAGAAAGGACGCTCCGTTACAAGTCTACAAGAGCCGTGCAAACAAAATGTCACCAGATTGTTTATCCAATAATTCTCGATATAAAATTGCTTCAGTTGTACATTACCTGAACATTTACATTCGACTAGGCATTGTCAATATCTCTTCATACACACTAAAGGTCAACACAATCAGGTACTACTGTGAAGTAAGGACGCTCCGTTACAAGAGCCGTGTAAACAAAATGTCACCAGATTGTTTATCCGATAATTCTCGATATAAAATTTATTCAGTTGTACATTACCTGAACATTTACATTCGACTAGGCATTGTCAATTTCTCTTCATACACACTAAAGGTCAACACAATCAGGTACTACTGTGAAGAAAGGACGCTCCGTTACAAGAGTCCACAAGAGCCGTGCAAACTGGTTGTTTATCAAATAATTCTCGATAGAAAATTCACATTACCTTAACATTTATATTCTACCAGCCATTGTCAATATCTCACGAATGTTGGTCCCACGAATTGCTTTCGCGAAAGCAATCATCTCTGACTGACATTAAACACAATTGCAAACATTCATTTTTTTCCGTCGCAACAGGTTTGAATTACCATAATAACCATTATACATAGTCATGCGATTTGAAATGGCAGCCTACCTAGGTACCTAGACAAGGGATGTACCTAAACATTTAACATGATTGTCAGAAGAATATAATAATAATTCTCACACCATCAAAGATTCGGCGTTGAGCAATTATGATATATTGGATCAAGGACATTTCCAATGTCCTTGATTGGATAGAAAGCACTGCACATTCGTTATCTTACCTATGGCTACATTAGATACATTTTAACTATATGAAATCAACTGCCGATATCCCAAGAAGTTTGAAAATTACAATCTCTTTCAATAACTATATCTATTTGTCAATATTTACCAAGAATTCGAAACCTGGTCATCATTATTGTAAAAAGACATTAAACTGTTGACACGTAGGCCCCAGTATGACAACATGTTTTCTTTTTGTTTCCTGAAAAAAATACTTCCTAGATCCTTGACATTTCATTTCTGCAGCTCACAGTGCCCTATAGCTACACGCGGCTTAGCTGGCCTACTTACCATGCTTCATATAAACAAACGCAATCAGTTACTACTGTGAAGCAAGTCTATTTTTGACGGCCTTTCGAAGAAAATGTCACCGGACTGTACATGTGTGTCCAACATTGTGAAAGGTGAAGGAGGGTGGCTTGTATAAGCCTAATAGGCTTCCTCACTTCTCCTGCAGTGTTTTTATTCAATTTACTCCACTTCGTATTTTGTATCTTCATGCGAACAATAAATAAAATAAAATAAAATAAAATAAAATAAAATAAAATAAAATAAAATAAAATAAAATAAAATAAAATAAAATAAAATAAAATAAAATAAAATAAAATAAAATAAAATAAAATAAAATAAAATAAAATAAAATAAAATAAAATAAAATAAAATAAAATAAAATAAAATAAAACAAAATAAAATAA